CCTTGAATCCATTAAATCTGGCTTCCTGTCCACTCCCAAATCCACCACGTACTCCTCATCCTTCCCCTTAAACCCGTGACCCGTCCATGGCCCATCTTGGCCGTTGTTTTCTGCTTTTGACTTATTTTCCTCTAGCTCAGCACCCAGAGCTGTCTGGTGTGGAGGTTTTTTTGCTGTCACTTAGGCCAGGAACTCCTTTCCAGAACCACCTGTGTGACACATCATATTACGTTAGTCCCTAGCCTCCTGAAACTAATGCCCTTTTCAGATGTTTGATCTCCTGTTGCCATTTATGTTGCCTTATCACCCGTGTTTTGTATCCATCAAGCCCCCCCCCCATTTTAGAACTCTGTAAAATCTGGGTTCTTTCGGAGATACAAGGCTCTATGAGCTGAAGGCTGATGCCTATGCACATGTGGCTGAATAGGTGCACATTCTGTCTGTTTTCTTGACTTCATCTTGTTCCCCACTCTCTTTCAATTGTAAGTATTTTAGGAAAACCATCTAAGGGAAGAACTGTATGGAAATTCTGAAATTGTAAAATTATAAATGGGGCATAAGAATACAAACACATTATACAGTGAAGGAAATAAGGGGGGGGAGAGAAAGGCTTTCCTGTTTACAGACACTGCCAAATAAAATAATATTTTGAAGGGATTTGCCACCCACGTGACTGTTATTAAATATAACCTCCAAACAGAGGTGAGATCAGAAGGATCAGCATCACCCAATGGAACAAAGATAACTGGGCAACAATTTTTTACTTTTTGAATGTTGTCTAGATTTCTACAACTGATTTAGGGTATTTTTGCACTGCTGAATCAGGAAATGGCATCCATTTCTCTACATCAGGTCAGGTTTACTGTAAACTGAATGGTGGGCATTGATAAAGGTAAGTACACGTAAATTGCATGTTGCTTCACCATTTTTCAAACTTCAGGGCTTGAACTTCCGTTTCTTGGAACTCCTGGAATGCTCAGTGGCAGGGAGGTCTCTCTTCAGAGTCCAACAGTAGTCAGCCATCATGACTGCGTCCCAGCGACCCTGATACCTGGTCTCCATCTCTTTCATGTCCTGATGGAATCTCTCCCCCTGCTCGTCACTCATTGAGCCCAGGTTCTCAGGAAACCGGTCCATATGTGAAAATAGGTAGTGCATCTTGACGCTCATGTTGCAGCTCAGGTTTCTGAAAGCAGTCAGCATGTTGTTGACAAGTTCTGCGTAGTTTCTGGCCTTATTGTTGCCAAGAAGGTTCTTCACTACCAGAACAAATGCCTTCCACGCTTCCAGTTCTACTTCGTTCATTGAGTTTCCAAACTCTGGATCTCCGATGAGCTGACGGATCTGAGGACCGTCAAAGATGCCAGCTTTCAACTCCTCCATGGTCAATCCTGGAAAAGCCTGGCACAAGTAAGTGAAGCAGTCACCATCCTTGTCCAGAGCCTTGGTGAACTGCTTGATTAAGCCGAGCTTGATGTGCAGCGGTGGGAAGAGTATTCTGTTTTTTTTATATATATTTAAGATATTTATTACGTTTTTTGAAATATTACAGTAAAAATGAGAAAGAAAAGAGAAAAATACAAAATAAAAACAGTTAAAAACACACATATTTCCAGTTACTTATTTTCCTTTAGCTTGTTTCCCAGACCTCCTCGTACCTCCCTTTTTTGTATTCCACTTCAATTTATTGGTTCAGCAAATCCTTACCATTAGATTTTAACCCATTTATAACCCTTTTTTCATATTCTCTTAAAGCATTACAGCTAGAAACCACTTAATTACTATCCAACATCATTCTATCATTCATTAATTTTACAATATTTCTGTAAATAGTCTTTAAATTTCTTCCAATCTTCTTCCACCGACTCTTCTCCCTGGTCTCGGATTCTGCCAGTCATTTCTGCCAATTCCATATAGTCCATCACCTTCATCTGCCATTCTTCCAAAGTGGGTAGATCTTGTGTCTTCCAATACTTTACAATGAGTATTCTTGCTGCTGTTGTAGCATACATAAAAAAAAGTTCTGTCCTTCTTTGGCACCAATTGGTCGACAATGCCCAGAAGAAAGGCCTCTGGTTTCTTCAAGAAGGTATATTTAAATACCTTTTCAGTTCATTATATATCATTTCCCAGAAAGCCTTAATCCTTGGGCACGTCCACCAAAGGTGAAAGAATGTACCTTTAGTTTCTTTACATTTCCAGCATTTATTATCGGGCAAATGATAGATTTTTGCAAGCTTGACTGGGGTCATGTACCACCTGTATATCATTTTCATAATATTCTCTCTTAAGGCATTACATGCCGTAAACTTCATACCTGTGGTCCATAACTGTTCCCAGTCAGCAAACATAATATTATGTCCAACATCTTGTGCCCATTTAATCATCGCAGATTTCACCGTTTCATCCTGAGTATTCCATTTCAACAGCAAGTTATACATTCTTGACAAATTTTTAGTTTTGGGTTCTAACAGTTCTGTTTCTAATTTTGATTTTTCCACCTGGAAGCCAATTTTCTTATCCAGATTATATGCCTCCATTATCTGGTAATAATGAAGCCAATCTCTCACTTTATTTTTTAGTTTCTCGAAACTCTGCAATTTCAATTTGTCTCCTTCTTGTTCCAAAATTTCCCAATATTTCGGCCATTTGGCCTCCATATTGAGCCTTTTCAGAGCTTTTGCTTCCATCGGTGACAACCACCTTGGGGTTTTATTTTCCAATAAATCCTTGTATCTTATCCAAACATTAAACAGTGCTTTCCTGACAATATGATTTTTAAATGCTTTATGTGCTTTGACCTTATCATACCATAAATATGCATGCCATCCAAATACGTTATTGAAACCTTCCAAATCCAAAATGTCTGTATTTTCAAGAAGTAGCCATTCTTTCAACCAGCAAAAAGCTGCTGATTCATAATAAAGTTTAAAGTCTGGCAGGGCAAATCCACCTCTTTCCTTTGCATCAGTTAATATCTTAAATTTTATTCTGGGCTTCTTGCCCTGCCAGACAAATCTAGAAATATCTCTCTGCCACTTCTTGAAGCAATCCATTTTGTCCACAATTTGCAATGTTTGAAACAAAAACAACATTCTAGGCAATACATTCATTTTTATCGCAGCAATACGGCCCAGGAGTGAAAGCTTCAAATTTGACCAGATTTCTAAATCTTTTTTCACTTCTGTCCAACATTTTTCATAATTATCTTTAAATAAGTTCCCATTTTTGGCTGTCATATTAATCCCCAGATATTTCACTTTCTTAACCATAGTCAGACCTGTCTCATTCTGAAACCTCTCTCTTTCAATCGGTGTTAAATTTTTCTCTAAAACCTTAGTTTTTAGCTTGTTCAGTTTAAATCCTGCCCTCTGGTGGACAGAGACAGAGTATTCTGTCTCTGTCCACCAGAGGGTCGTTGATGACGTTCCTTTCTTTGCAAGGCACCAATTCCTCCCGCACAGGCCAGTCCTTCTTCGTGTAATGCTGAGCACGGTCCCTACTATCCCACATGCACAGAAAACATGGGTACTTGGTGAAGCCAGACTGTTGTCCCAACAAAAAGTTCACCATCTTCAGGTCAACACAAATAAACCACTTATGCTGATCATAACCAATTTTCTCCAGCACATACTTCACCGCTTCATAGTTCTCCTTCAGTGTACTCGAGTGAGCCAGGGGTATAGAGGCAAACTGGTTGCTGTTGTGTAGCAGAACATATTTCAGTGATCGCTTGCTGCTGTCAATGAACAGTCTCCAATCTTTGGGATCGTACTGTGGCACTCCAAGCTTGAGCAGAAGCTGCGCAATATCTGCACAGTACACCAAGTCCTTCTCTTCCGAGAAAAAACAGAGGTCCTCTTGATGCGTTGCGGAAGAAGCTGATGCGAGCACTGTCAGAGAGGTTTTTTTCCTTCAATCTGGATGCCAACAGTTCGGCAGAGTCCTTTGACAAGGTGAGGTCGCGAACTAGATCATTCAACTCCTTTTGGGAAAATGGATGTGAAGCATCCATCTTCAAGAACCACTTCTTCTTCTTCATGTCCTTCAACACTGGAGGTATCTTCGTCACTAATGTCAGGAAGTTCTCCGAAGATAGGCACTGGAAGTTCATCACAATGAGCTACAGGACGACGTGCTGATTGAAGATCAGGATACTTGAGGCTGCTCCGGTTCTTTCTGTTGATCCCACCAATTTATGGAGCCGCATCAATTTATGGAAGATTTCGAGGTTTTATGACTTCAAACTCATCCCTTTTCGACATAATCACCCAGAACTATTGGACCTGAATACTTCTTGTCATTAAAATAATCATTTCCAATCAAAACAATTATTCGACATGGCATTTTACCCCCACCAACCTCTTCTAAAATGCTCCACACAAGCGTACATGTGAACAAAAACGTAAAAAAATGACATGTGGCCAGAGCTCAAAAACTTGACCTGATTGAGCAAAACCAATGTGATTTTGGGATTCAGTGCATCAGATTCGTCCTAAATCAACTGAAAAAACGCAGGCAACAAATTTGTTGTTGACCAGTGTTACATGTCAATTCTTTGAGATAGCAATGAACATAACTTCCTTGAACCAGTTATCAAGGATATAACATGAAGTGCCTTTCCAGCACTGAGTGATTACTAATTGTGCAGCTACCAGAATATATATAATTAACTGTTTCCACAGAAAAACTGCATTACATTTATTAAAAAGAAAATGACAAAATACATAGTTTAGGGTCCACAATCACATTTATACTTCTAAGTGTACAGCTCTCTGTAATCACTAGTTTCCAAAATATATGGACTTCAGCACAACTCCACCACATTATATATAACATTGTATAATGTAAGTTGTTTTCTTATATCCCATTTATAATTTTACAATTTCATAATTGTACCCAGTTAATTTACTCCTGATTTTAGATATTTCTTTTTACTTTATCATCAAAAGCTCCTTGGGTTGTATATTATTTTGTTGTTAAGACATGTTTTTCTTTATGTGTGTATTATCTGTTTTGTTGTTTAGAAAAATAAAACAAAATATACATATTTTTAATGTCCCTTCTGGCATGGACATGATCAGATCCAAATTTGGTTGGGGTGAAGGACAGCTGCATCCAGGGATTAGTTGCTCTTATTGTGTGACTGCACAGCAGTTCAATGCATCCACATGTGCATATTTTTTGCATTGCCCATGCCTAGTCTTCCCTCCCATCTCTGGGGGGCTCCCTCCTTGGTTAAGTGAGAATTACATGGAACCTTAGTCTTACCTGAGTAGGAAGTCCTAGCTGCTATTCAAGTCCTAGCAGCTACTCAAAAGGGGGATAAGACAGGAAAGTTGTTATAGGAGGAAGGAGATAATGTCAAGGGACAAGGGAGGAGGAATAAAAGAAACCAGCACCCAGGGGTGGGTGGTGGAAAAGTGTGAAAGGAGAATGGAAAACTAGATTATTTGTATTTATTTCATAAAATTTATATACTGCTTGATTGAAAACAACAACCTTCAAAGCAACTGCTTCTGAGTGTTATTCATTCTATAAGACACATTTTATTAACAGTGTGTCCATTTCATTCTGATATTGCTGTAATTTTGAAACACTTTTCAAAGGCACCCCAAGGTGAAGTGCATTTCAGTAATTGTTTTACATTCCATTCCATACTTTAAGACTGGCCCTTGGATTGGAGATAGTATCTAAACATCCATTTGATGGCCCCTTAAAGACTTTTTAACATACAAACATCCACTAGATACCCATTTCCTGTTTTGTACTTCTTGGAACTGACATAGGAGTAACTTTGTGTTCAAAATAGGGACATGAAGGGACCTAAAATTTGGGTTTCTCAGTCCACCATATTTGGTCCAATATTCTTCTCTGCAAGGAGATGTGTGTGCTATGCATTCCTCTGCCACACACCTTTGATAGATCCCTTCACCTCCATTTCCTCCTTTTCCCATCAGTACAGAAAATAAAATTACATTTAATTACAGAAAGTGCCTTTCTAGCTACAGATGATGGGCACTATATAAATAACATAGTAGGAGTAATCTCACTGTAGTATCCACAATCCAACTCCTTCTTGAAGCAAATTGCTCTTCAACTATTGCCATCTTGTGGCTTCTGACCTGTTACACACTTTCATTTTATCTGTTAATGGTATTAGTTTGAATTGGAAACACACACAGAGGCAACCTTAAAATTAAATGTAAATGAATTAGAAATGCCTAAAGGAGATCCATTAGCATAAATCCAATCAAGGAAGTTTATTTAAGTTGTTACAAACAGCTTAAAATGTTAGTGTGTGTTGGGGGTGCTAAGTAGCTTTTGCTTATGTTCCTTAACTTTTAGTGTCACACTGCCTCTAGTCAGGACATCTGTGTGTATTTTTAAAGTGTGCTACATGCAAATAAAAATGCTTCTGAAGTAACAGATCATATTACGGAAACATATTTACTCATATAGGAGGATATGTGTTGATAACACAGAAACACCGGGCCCCTGGTAAGCAAAACAACTAATAAGAGTAACTAATCCCAGGTAAGAGAGTACAGTATAGGATTAACAACATTAAGCAGAGTCTGCTGGAAAGCCCTCTGGCAGTAGCTTGCTTCCACCCACTGTTACAGACACCTCCACTTTTTCCTAACCGGTCCTAAACACAGGCCCTTCCATCTGATGGCATAGGAACATCCCTGTTCTTTCCTAAGCTTTCTCCCTGCCCCTCAGTCAAGGCCACACCTTTTTCCTACTCCATTTCTGATTCTAGACTTTTAATCTTTTTTGTATTTCACAAAAATTCAGGTTAACAGTACTAAACCTTATACAAAAGTTGTAAGGAACACAACTGCAAGGTAATGAACCCCATTTTTAAGCATATGCTTTCTGAATAAGTATTATTTTTTTTACAATATGTTGCTCTTAGTTTCAGTTTAAATCTTTTCACAAATTAAGGTAATAGCATAAAACTATTGCATGTCTCACAATTTTTGAGCTGTAAAAAGTTCCAGGGGCAACAATATTGGTTTAATTTCTTTTGGATAATAGAGCACTGAATACTTACGGTACCTTTGTAACATTTGCTTGATGTGCAAAGCTAAAAGCAGAGCATAAATGAATGTGAAAGAGAAGTCCTACAAGGCAGATACTGCTTGTTCTCTTTCTTTCTCTCACACCCAGCCACCCACCCACCCACAACCTTAGCCCTTGTGAGGGGTGACACCTTCTGCAAGGTCTGTTGGGGGTAAAGGTAAAGGGACCCCTGACCATTAGGTCCAGTCGTGGCCGACTCTGGGGTTGCGGCGCTCATCTCACTTTATTGGCCGAGGGAGCCAGTGTACAGCTTCCGGGTCATGTGGCCAGCATGACTAAGCCGCTTCTGGCGAACCAGAGCAGCACATGAAAACACCGTTTACCTTCCCGCCGGAGCAGTACCTATTTATCTACTTGCACTTTTTTTTTTGGTGTGCTTTCGAACTGCTAGGTTGGCAGGAGGAGGGACTGAGCAACGGGGGCTCACCCCATCTCAGGGATTCAAATCTGATCGGCAAGCCCTAGGCTCTGTGGTTTAGACCACAGCGCCACCCACGCCCCCTCTGTTGGGGGTATGTCATTCAAAAAAATCCCAGAGAGGTTGCTTCAAATATCAGGAGGCCATCTCCTAACTATTAGCACCCATTGATGAAACATCAACAGCCATCTTTTATTGTTAGCCAGCAATCTGCCTAACAAAAGAACTATTGGTCAACAGTCATAACAATAGCTAGACCTAAAAAAAAAAAATCATGTCAGAAAATGCCTAAATAAGAATTTGTTACATATTATGTTTCAGAACATAATATCATGCAGTAATATTTCCAAACCATCTCTCTTACCCCACCCTCATAAATGTTAAGCATCTTAGCAGATTTGGAAAATGGATTCAACATTCTCAAATCCTTTAAGAGTGGAGGGGACTATTTGCTTTTATTTTTAAAAGTCCTAGGTTTCTGTTCAGGTTAGTTTAGGGGGGAGTTGTTTTTATTTTTGACAGTGAAGAAAGACTGAGAAAATAATGACTAAAACTTGCTAAAATGTCATTTGAAGCAGGTGGTTTAAGCTTACAGGAACACTAGATAGATTCTCAAGCAGTTTGCAGGGAACTGTGTGTGATTATATAAAAAAGTACAAAACAAGAGCAAGGCAGATGTTGTAATGGCTGCCAGTGACTGCAATATGACACCTGCTTTAGTTCTGTCCCTTCCTTGCTACTTGATATGGTAATTCAGGAAGCTAATGCTGGACTTGAATCCTCAAGAAAGCTAGGCCACAGATCAGGTATCAGCAGACCTGGTGGTACAACTAAAGTTCCTCCCTTCCAAACAAAGGTCGGAGCAGGAACTCTTGCCGACCAATTTCAGAGAAAGAAAATATTCTGGTACAGAACTCTATACAGAGCACAGACTGAGTGAAAGAAAAGTCAAACAGTGAACTCTTCAGTGAGCAATCTGATTCAGGAACTATTGAACAAGCTGCTAAAAAACTGAGCCTTCTCATAAAGTAATAAGCAACCAATATGACTTAAGTCTTTCAGCTGGCAACCAAGTGTTTGTATACACTGGTGTAAAATATCAGCCCTGGTGTAAAATATCAATAGCTGGGGAGGGAACCTCTTAATAAAATAAATAGTGGCATCCTTGCCTGATTTTTCCTTATTCCAAACTCAAGAACAACTTGGGTCCAGTAAAAGGTATTGCTTTGAATCACAGTAGTTGGAAAATATAAGCCAAGAGAAGCATCCCAAAAATATTTCCATGGTTGCTGCAGTAAAACTGATGTACACACAACTGTCTGGCTCACAGGTTAGGTTGTTCATTAGGTTGTTAGCAATGTTCAGGACTGAAAGCATACAGGACCCTGCTTAACTTTGTAAATGTGCTAGCACCACTCGATTGCTTGTGCATAGGGGAAATGCTGATAGGTAGAGCAATCCTAAAAGGGCAGGGCAGAAGGTGGAGGGCCCAAAGATTGGGGCAGTTGGGTGATATGCAGAGTGCTGACTGGTGCCCTGGCCCGATCCCTGCAACACACTACTTCAGGACTTTCTGTTGACTACAAGAGAGAGGTCTGCTTACCACCTGTTCAGATCCCTGTTGGAACAGACACCCCACCATCAGAAGCAGCGCTCCTCTGCTTCTGTGTCACCCAACAATATAAATAGTATCACAGTGGCATAATATGTAGTAAAACATTTATTTCAGCAATACAATAAATATATATTACAGTCTTTTAAAAATGTAGTGATACAGTAATCACAGTTTAACAATTATACACTAGGAAAAAATTTAAAAAGGTGTCCCCTGGTATTGAAAAGATAGCCAAGGAGGCACCAGGCAAGCTTCCTCAAGGAGAAAATTCCAAAAATGTGGTGCTACAATTTAAAAGACCCTCTCTTCAGTCCCCACCCACTTCACTTCCAATAGTGGGGGAACTTGGAGATGGGCCTCTGATGATGAACTAAGCAAGCACAGGCTGCTTTGGAGGCAGGCATTCCTTCAGGCATTTTGATCCCAAGCTAAGAACATGTTCAAAAAGAGAATAGCAACTAATGCCACTACAGTGGTACCTCTGGTTACGTACTTAATTCATTCCGGAGGTCTGTTCTTAACCTGAAACTGCACAATTTCTCTTCTCATCCTGAAGCAAAGTTCTTAACCCGAGGTACTATTTCTGGGTTAGCGGAGTCTGTAACCTGAAGCGTATGTAACCCGAGGTACCACTGTACTTAAGATTCAGTGAGATGTGTTCCCACCTATTGATCCCAATCAACAGCCTTGCAGCTGAAGCTTCTGAGCAGCATTCAAAGGAAAACCCATAGTCTAACCTGGATGTTACCAGAGCGTGGATAACTGCATTTAGGCAGCCGGAACATAAGCATTAGCCAAGGGAGACCCTGTCACCACTTGCACCTCGAGGGCCAAAGGCGGATCTAAGTGCACCTTGATCCCTCAAGGCCAGTGCAATCTCATCCACCTTCTTGTCTAGACCAGCCACCTGCCAACAGTTCTTACAAAGTAATACTTCAGTTTGTGTTGACAAGACTAAAGTTTCCCTTATATAAAAGTTAAAGGGCAAATTTGGACTTTCATTAAATAAAAAACCCAACAGCCTAAGGAAAGAGAGAAAGTAAAATATGTCTTTAGACCTTTCCCAACATTTCCATAATTTTATTTTATATAAACTGGTTTCTCTTATGAGTAAAATACCTTAAATTAAGTTTCTTTTTGTTCTGCAACTGGGATAAAACATTGTAAAAGGAATTTTGAAGCAGTTTGTGAGGAAAGTAAAACAGTAGTCACTCCAAGTTATTGCTCAATAAATCCACAACTGAAAGGGGGGGAAATCAGTCCCACTAGCAGCAACTCCTCTTAAGTGGTGTCCATACTTTGTGGGTCCTCATGCAAAATACATTTTACATGCACACACATTAGCATCTAATCAATACCTTCTGAATGGAGACGAAACATTATTTCAATATCTTCTAGTAATACAAAGAACATATCTTCAGAATGCATAAAAATTATACATGCATTTTTTTAGACATTATAGTATATATTGTATATTATACACTTTGCCCATGTTCAGAGGCGATTTAAAAGCTTTGCCCAAGATTCTAAGACACACCTAGTCTGCAGTGCTAAAAGAGAACAAATGGCATCCCTACCTCGCCAGATACACCTCACAGATGTACAGCCCTTGCTCTCTGGGTGTCTTTGGAGAATATACAGGACTCTAATGTCTGTCCATAGTGAGGCTGGAGAGGCATCCTTGGGAAAGGGGGGGGGGACAGGCAATACGCCCCGGCCCACAAAGCCCTTCCTCCCCAGAGCCCCCCGCCCTCTTCGCGCACTTCGGGGTGAACTCGGGGGGGGGGGGATTCAGCTTCGCACATCTGGGGGGGCAGCCCCTCCAGTTCCCCTCAGCCGCGAGGGGGGGCTCCGAGGGGCGGGGCCTGCTCCGGCTTCTCCCCGCCCCTCCCCTCCCCCCCCGCGCAGGCGGAGCGCCAGGCTCCCTCCCCTTAAAGGCAGGTAGCGGCCCCGGCTGCTGGCCCCTCCCTCCGGGTCCCTGGCGGGCGGGGCCGGAGCGGCCGTTGAAGGAGCCGAGAGGAAACGCGGGAAAAGGGGGGGTGGCTTAACCCTCTCGCTGCCGCGGCGGAGTCGCCTGCCCTGCCGGAGAGAGAGAGCGAGCGAGCGAGCGCGCGAGCCGGGCCGGCCAGACGCCCGGTGCATTGTGGGACTGGCTGGCTGGGCTGGGGGGCGAGGCGGCGGCGGCGGCGGCGGAGGGGAGTCCCGTTCGCGGGCGGCGGGTGGGCGGGCGAGCGAGGAGCAGCCGGGGAGACGCGGTAAGAGGGCGGCCTGGGCGGGCTTAAAGGGGAACGCGGCCCTGCCCTCAGCCGCCAAGCTGCAGGGGCTGCGCAGGAAGGAGAGGCCGCTCCCCCGGCCGGAGGGGCGCGGCGGTGGCGGCCGAGGCAGAGAGGGCCGGGCGGGCGGCGGCGGCTGGCTTGGGGCCGCTGTGGGCCAGAGCGGAGTCTGCGGAGGAGGCGGGGATCTGCGCGAGGGCGGCGAAGGGGTTAAACTTTCCACCCGCCGACATTTTTCCCTGAGAGGAGAAAGAGGGGGCCGCGCTGTCTGGCCCGCCGGCCGCGTGGAGCCCCAGGCGCCTCCCTTCCCTTCGGAGAAGCCCCCCCGGCGCCCCCCAGCCCGCTGCCTTCGCTTCCCGCCGCGCCTTCCCCGCCTCCGAAATGCCTTTAAAGCCGCCCGCGAAAGGGTTAAGGCGCGCGCCCGACGCCCCCTCCCCTTCTTCCCACTGCCCCTCTCGAGGCGCGGCGCATGGCGGGGGGGCCTTCCCAGAGGACCCCCCGGTTCTGTTCGCCAAGGGGCCGCCTCGGGCAGAGAGGGAGGCGGGAACCGGCCCGTCGCGAAGGGCAGGCGGGCGCCGGGGGGGGGGCAGAGTCGCCCTCTGGGCTCCCCGGGCCAGGCATGGTTGCCAGCCCTGTCTGCACGTGGCCGGGTTTCCTTCCGGATAGGCGTGTCGGCCTGCAATGTCTGTCCCCGCGCAGAGTCTCGGAAGGGGGGAGAGTCCCCTGGCCCGAGCCCTGGCGGGGCCGGAGGCTCTTGCTCAACGTGGGGCTTGAACCCGCGAGCCTCAGACTGAGTCCCCTGCTTTACCAGCTGTGCTCCTTTGCCAGATCTACGGTGAAACAAAGGTTAAATTCTCGGAGCAGTGTTGATTTTTGAACTAATGGAAACTGGGTCTTTTCCGGTGCAACTGCAGACAGACTTCATGCAGCAGTTTAATTCTAACTCGTGTGTTCTCAAAGTTACAAAACAAACTTGCAAGACATTGTTCTAAAGTGGATAAAGTATGGTGTTGTGAACACTGTAGTTGTTTGGGACAGCTCTGCAGTCTTCTTTCCTCATTTCAGAAAACAGAAAAAAAACGTTCAGTCAAGATACAGAATGTTGCAGCTTTTAATTATATAGGTAGCTGCATTAAGTACTCCCGACTCTTTGTATGGCTTATAAGGCTTAGTTTTCCATGGGGAAAATAGGTGTCTGTCATTCAAACAATGGATGGGTGGGGAGCTCCCTATGCCTTCTCCCCCAGCATTGTTGTACTCCCAACAACCCCATCTAGCGTGGCCAGGGATTGTGGAAGTGTGTTGTCCACCAACATCTGGAGGGCCACAGGCTCCCCAGCCCTGCTTCAGGAGATTGACACCTGTTTGGGGGAACAGAATGAGGAGAAAGCTACTGTTTTGTGTGTTAAAGTTCAATTGTTAATAGGAAATGTAGAGGAATCCATAACTTTTTACTGCCTATTAAATACCGTGGGCACAGTTTCCACTGAAACTGATTTGTTGATGTTACTGTTTCAGTTTCGTAGTGTCATGGGTGCTTAACTTTGCTTGGACTGTGCTTCAGACATAATGAACTAAGCTACATTAGTAAAGAAAAAATGCTTTATATGCATTATAACACTATGACACTGTGGAGTCCCATCTTTCACTAGCAGACTTTATGAAGTTTACAGCAGGTTTAACTGAATCACTTTTTTGATGTGTCTAGATCCAGCCAATGTTTATCTCCTCCACTGCATACCGCACAAATGTCCCATTTTTTTCCTGGGTGACCCAAAGAGTGCAGAATCAAAATATGTGTGTCTTTTTGTTACATGCTCTTAGTTCGCACCTTCGCTGGCCACCACTTGCCACACACATACGAGGTGGGCCACAGCTTCTGGAAGAATGGCGCCACTTCTGGAAGTATTGTCACTGTGGCCCTTCTCTGTGTGGCAGCAGGTGGACGCCTAGGCAGCAGTGGGGAGAGTGAGCAGGCAGCAGCAGCAGGATGGTGTGTGGGGATGTCCCAGTTTCTTCTTGGGAAATGTTGGAGCGTATGCACCTAAGGGTGGAGCAAAGTGGGACATCTTGGGCTGCTTACACAGGTCAATTTGCTATAAACATAGCCGACCTTTAAAGACCTGGTTTTCTGTAAGCCTGTAGCAAGATCACATATATGCTACTATTATGCACTGAATTCGGTCCAGTTGGCTCGGCACAGCACTTCCAAACTCATGTTTGGCATGTCATTAGAGACATAAATTGAATTCAACCATGGTAGATGTTCGCTTGCTACTTGTCAAAGTGACCTAAGGAGGGTGGGTAGTTTTAGATCCATCCCCTGCTACAGAACTTGCAAGAAAGTAATTGTGCAGGGGCTTTATATGCAAAAATGAATGTTGCCTATTTTTAAAAAAATGTCAAGAGCTGGTAGCCTTAGTGAAGGAGGCGTCTGTTCTTGCAATGTATGGTTGCAGCTCAGATTTTTAGATAGAAGGGAAAAGATATATAGATAGATATAAAACTATTCTGCATAACAAGCTGAGAAAGTCTATATTGTATTAATACTTCTTTCTGCAAACTAGGATAATTACCACGAAAGCATACCAACAAATATCCTGAAGAAGAGAAAAAGCTTCTGGTACTTATTGTGTGAGAATCATGTCTGTCCGGGAGTCCTTTAACCCAGAAAGTTATGAACTTGACAAGAGCTTTCGGCTAACAAGATTCACTGAACTTAAAGGCACTGGCTGTAAAGTGCCTCAGGACATTTTACAGAAATTGCTTGAATCTCTACAAGAAAATCACTTCCAGGAAGATGAACAGTTTTTGGGAGCTGTTATGCCTAGATTGGGTAAGCAGTAGTTCTTCAATGATATTTAATGGTTGTATCATGTGTTGGAGAATAAGGAAAAATATTGTACTCTGTGTGTGTGTACAAGGTTGTTTATTTCACCAACAACAAGGTTGGTTATTTCACCAATCAAAAATGTTTGGTCAATTCTGACCAGTCAGATATTAGTTAATGGTGTATTTATTTACTGCATCTGTATAGTCATCCCATCACAGTTGCCCCATGACAAATTTTCTGGGCTGCTCCCAATGCAAAACAACAGCAGCAACATTAAAATACAGTACAAAAGAATGAAAATTATAACACATTAATTAAAAAACAGAAACACAAGTAAAACTTGAAGCAGAGATGCTCAAACTGTGAAATACAAGTTGTTTAAAGGGTTTTTACATTTATTCTTATTCTTTAAGTTTTGTATATAACTTCCCTTAGAGGTATATGAGTGAAGGCAGAGCATAATTTTAAAAATAAAATCAAGACTATTACTGATTCTTATCCTGTAACTCCAGAATAATTATGGTGTTGTGCTATTTATTTATTTAAAAAATCTTTATTGAAAGTTCAAAAAGTACATAAATATGTGCACCAGACATGGTGAGACACAAACAAGAAAGAGAAACAACCTGTGTAGAAGGGAAAACAAAGGGGGGAAGGGGGACCCAAAACTATATACAGTGGTACCTCGGTTTCCGAACATCTCCATTGACGAACATTTTGGGAACTCGAATGCTGTAAACCCAGAAGTAAATGCTTTGGTTTTCAAACTCGTCTCAGAAGTTGAACCGGAAATGTGGCTTCCATATTGAGTTTTCCGTTTTGAGGCTTCTGTTTTGAGTTTTCGAATGTTTTGGAACTCATATGGTCTTCCAGAACGGATTATGTTCGAAAACCGAGGTACCACTGTATTTTACCTAGGTTGTTATTGTGCTTCACCAGATCTTAACCTGTTACAGTACAGTGGTACCTCTGGTTACGTACTTAATTCGTTCTGGAGGTCTGTTCTTAACCTGAAACTGTTCTTAACCTGAAGCACCACTTTAGCTAATGGGGCCTTCTGCTGCCGCTGCGCCACCGGAGCATGATTTCTGTTCTCTTCCTGAAGCAAAGTTCTTAACCTGAAGCACTATTTCTGGGTTAGTGGAGTCTGTAACCTGAAGCGTCTTCCTGTGCTGCTTCAGACATGTGGTTTGTACATTTTTCTTGGTACATTTATGAACATTTATTACATATGTAAGACCTTAAAATTCTTATTACAGTGGCAAGTCTGCGTTTATATGTTGCGAGTTTGTATAAGTCTTCAATCCACTCGTAGAAGGGAGCCACATTTCTCCGCCATCAGTCTTTTTCTGTGGTAAGGGCATGGAGAGTCCATCTCAAATAGTCCTTTTGTAAGGTTCCATGTGCTGGGTATATAATTCAATAGGATATTTTGCTCTGTTAATGTAAGGTTGTTCCATACATTTCTGTTGATGGTTTGTTACCTTCTGCTAAAAACCTTTCAATGTAGGACAGTGAAAAAACATGTTTTAGAGAAGCATTATCCCTATTGCATCTCTAACAGCCCTTCTTTTAAACAAACGTAATGGGCTCCAGTATATTCTAAATATTATTTTTTGTTGTGTGAGCCTCAATTTAAGATCCAGAGACACCCTTGTTATACCAGTTAAAACAGTTTCCCACTGTGTGGTTGAAATGGATATCTCTAATTCTTTATTCCAACCCTCCCTCAATACCTGTATATCAAAATGGTTTGCTGATAACAAATATTTATATATGTTGATGGCCGTTTTTGTTGTTGTGTAAGAATTAATCAGCTGCTTCAATATTTCTGGGGTCTCTGAGGCTGTAAAAGCTCTTGGTCTGTAGATGGTGGTTAGCAAGTGTTTTGTCTGGAGATATTGCCAGTGAGAATTTGTAGGTAGTCTGTATTTGTCTCTTAAGATGGAATATGTATAAAATTCATTCTCTTCGTTTATCAACTGGTCTAACGTTAATGTACCCAAATTCATCCACCTCTTCCACATGACCATTTCTTTCTTGATTTTTAAAGACTGGTTTCCCCACAAAGTCGACAAATGTGTTGTGCCATAATTACAAGCCTCAGACTACTACTACTGCAGCTCCAGGATGAAAGGAGGGGGGTTGGCGACTTATCAGCTTGGCTCAGCATTTCTGAGGTGCTCAGAGTGCTTTGGAACTACATGGCCAAAACAAGTCCTAGCCCCATTTTGCAGCTCAGATCTAGAGAGGGCCCTGTGACTTGTGTTTCATGCTTCACTTCCATGTAGTATGATCCCCTTCTGCAGCTCCTCATAATGCTTCTAAGTTGGTGAAAAAAGGATGGTAGACTACAAAAACAAAAATGTGTGCTTTTTCTGCCAAAGAGTATGTTTTATATTCTTTTTAATCTTTGGTTCCTGAGTATTTCACTTTTTAATTTTCAGAACATGGTCATGTTATGTGATAAATTTCAGAATGGGAGCACCAACATTTTCATTGACTGAGATTTAAGTATACATACAAAAGCAAATTTGGAAAGCTAATGATTTGAATCAACAAATATCACCATTGTCCTTTGGGTGAACTGGACTATAGCCATAATCCTGTTGTAGCAATGGCCAACTGGCAGCGTCTGGGGCACAACTGGCCCCTGCTCACTTCTTGATTCCCCCCCCCCCGAACCCACCCTATCTGAGTGATGCTGAAAGGAGGGCCTACAAATAGTTCCACGTTGTACCAAGCCTGTACTATTCTTTCCTACTTCGCTGGTGCACTTACTACTGCTACCACCACACAGAATGCTCAGAGGCCAGTTGTTGTTATTTATTAAATTTTTATAACACACTTCATCTGTAGATCTCAGGGTTGTTCACAGCATAAAATATAAGATTTTGTGTTTTTACACAAAATACATAATAAAAACAAAGCAAAGCCCTTACCCCACCCCCTCCCAAATAGGTTTGGGGGGCATTCAATACTTTACATGGCTGGATCACTCAGGGATTCCAAGCCTTGCTTCTTACTAAGAAAGCACCTCATGTTTTAGAGTTCTTTGAGAGTGTCAACAGGTATGTGGATAAGAGTGATCCAGTAATCTATATACTTGAATGTTTGAAAAGCTATTGATAAAAGCCTTTGTTGAGGGAATTTAAATAAATTTGGCACAATGGGATTAGAGGGCCGGCATTTTACGAATTTGTAACTGGCTAAAAAAGAGAAAGTAGACCACAGGAATGAATATAGTTTTCACAAGGGGGGCACATAACTTGGTTCCCCAAGGATCTGATTATTGAAACTGATTATTTTTCGCGTGTTCATAAATGATCTGGTGTTAAGCATGAGCAGTGAGGTGACCAAGGATGGACGAAATCAAAAGAGTGTCTCCAAATTGGGTGAAGGAGCAGCAAAATGGCAAATGCAGTTCAGTATAAATAACTGTAAAGTCTTGCACATTGGAACAAAAACTCCTAAATTTACATGCACACTGATGGGATATGAACTAGTAGTAACCAATCAGGAAAGAGATATTTGTATTGAGGTGGACAGCTCACTGAAAACCCTGACATAAAAATAGAATTTGGGGCCATTCGGTGAAACTGATCTTTAGGAGATTCAGGATAGAAGATACTTTACACAGTGCACAATTAATTTATGAAATTTGATGCTGCAAGATGTGATGATTACTAGAATAGTTAACTCTGAAAGGGGATAAGATAAACTCATGATTTTTAGTCATGGGTTATATAGCAATATATTAAAAAATTAAAAAATTGTCTAGTAGCACCTTAGAGACCAGCTAAGTTTGTTCTTGGTATGAGTTTTCATGTGCATGCACACTTCTTCATAGTATCTGAAGAAGTGTGCATGCACACGAAAGCTCATACCAAGAGCAAACTTAGTTGGTCTCTAAGGTGCTACTGGACAATTTTTTATTTTACTTTATTTCTGCTGCATCAGACCAACACGGCTACCTACCTGAATCTATAGCAATATATTGTTGTTTTTTAAATCATGATTTTCCAAAATGCAAGCATATATTGCATACCTTGGATTCCAAAGTATTGTACTTGTAAATTACATTTTTGACATGAATAAGAGTAACAAGAACCTGTTAACCCTCCCTAAACATGTCAGGTAATCAACACAGACATATTGTTGTTTGCTTGTCTGTTGTTTTACTTTTTTTGGTATCGTATCATATTTCTTTTTCCAGTTCATAGGTAATGTTAGAAGGACAATCCATAGCCGTCCATGTGTGGCTGGTGGATTATTTGGATGGTCATGGTTTATGAGCTGAATAAAGGAATACCAAGTACAGTGGAACCTCGGGTTACGTACCGTACTCCTTATGAACGCTTCAGTTAACGAGCTCCGTTAGCCCGGAAGTAGATGCTCCTGCTTGCAAACTTTGCGAGCGGAAGGCACACTGCGGCAGCGGAAGGCCCCATTAGCGCAAGTGTGCCTCATGTTAAGAACGGTTTCGGGTTAAGAACGGACCTCTGGAATGCATTAAGTTCGTAACTGGAGGTACCACTATATTCCTAAGGATTATGTTGCTTAATCTCAGTTTCAACAGCAGGAGAGAGTTATTACCTTCATGCTTGTGGGTTTTCTTCGAACGCCTGATTTCACTATTGCAGAAGCAGAATGCTTGGCTTGATGCACTTTGTTCTGTTACTCTGCTGCAAGCAGGGCATGATGAGGCAAGCCCAAGAGTGGTACTGGCCAGAAAAACATAGCATAGTTGTTCACAAATTTCCCTCCTAGCTATGAACTGGAATGGCCATCTGTCATTAGTAGAGATTCCTGCATTGCAGGGAGTCAGACTTGATTACCCTGGGGACCCTTCCAACTCCTACAGTTCTATGTTTCTATGACTTGGGTGAGGAGTCAGGCATATCTTTGTGCCACTGCTCTTTTGGTCTACAAAGAGAGTTAAGATGGGAGTGTGTGGCACCAGGTTTAACTTTTTTCCAAGTACCCCGTTGATGGTGTAGGTACAGCAGAACCTGATTCATGCGTGGCATTGTGTATTTCTGTGAAATTTTATAGAAATTTTGATTTTCAACAAATTATAAATACAGTATAACAATAACTACCCTGTTTTCCTTCTTCCCAGAACAGATGATCAGTCTTATCAAATCTTGCCATAAACTTGTTTGTGAGCCCAGTGGATGGCAATCTGAAAAGACTCTTTTGCTCAGAACACTGCAAAAGTATCTCTAAGCTTTAAGAAAGATCAAGGGGAAAATGGAACATAGGGGTTAGAAAGAGGTCCCAAGTCCTGGTATCATTTGGTCTTTAAAGCTGAGAGATGTATGGAAAACCTTTCTGAACAGTGCAGGAGACTTGGTCTACTACCTCCCATTTCCTTTGCTTCAAAGTGGTCTTCTTATAAAACTATTTGCTAATCAAGGGTCTAATAAATGCATATTGAGAGTGCTTTATCTTGGAGGTCATGGGGGAATCTATAAGTTCTGTGGGAGATTCACCCTAAATTATATGGTTGAAGCCAAGGAAGTACCAGAGCACCCATGTCATTTGTTCCTGACTACAAGTTCAACTACAAGTTTCTATGAAAGCTCTTAATGTCTAAATTCAAAGGGCCAATCTCATGCAGCGCACATTGCTCTCTCCCTCCCTCCCTCCCTTTGTTAAATCAAAAGTATAGATGGCAGCTTTTCTTCTACCAGGTTCTTATCCGTCAGAGAAGGCCGCTGTATTTTTGCAAGAGAGATGGTAAAAAGCTCTTAGGTTCTGCAGCAATTGGATGGTCAGGCAGTTTTCATAAGGCTGCACAGGAGGAGGAGACTGAACCTCATGAATGGCTGCTGGCTAATGTGCAGATCTGCTATCATTATTTTGTCCTAATCAGCTTGTGTGTCTGTCAGTTGTTTTCTGTAGGCAGACATGTTTTAAAGCAGAGTTCAGCAACCTAAGGCCCATGGGCTGGTTCTAGCCCATGAGCTTCCTGGAACCGGCCCACGGCTGTTCTGTGGATCGGCATGGGGATTCTGTGCTTTTTTCCCCGCAGCACCATTTTTTTCTCGCCACGGTGACCGACTTCCGGGTCAGAAGCATGCTGGAAATAGCGTATGCACATGGGCACTCCTCCACCCCAGAAGTTCACTGGAAATAGCTTGAGCGCACACACGGGCGTGCATGCTCCGGCCCACCCGAGAGGTCTGCCAGTGAGTGGACTGGGCCGGCCTCAAAAAACATTGCTGACCCCTGTTTTAAAGACTAGGGTTGTCGGGCTGATGTTTAATGAGGAGAAACAGACTGATGTATCTCCCCAAACCTCACTAGCTGTTGCTTCCTTTTGAATTTCATTGGTGTGTAAGGAGTCTTTGGGTGAGTGGGGAGGGCAAGGATAGAATATACTTTGAGAAATCCAAGGAAATGACTTTTATTAATTGGTAATTAACTGCCACTGTCTTTACAGGAATTGGAATGGACACTTGTGTTATTCCTTTAAGACATGGAGGCCTATCTTTGGTCCAGACAACAGATTACATTTATCCTATTGTGGATGATCCTTATATGATGGTGAGTTGCCTAAACATATGTATGGGGCGGGGGAAAGGTGCCTGTTAGCTACCTAAATTGTGATTGGCGAGCATTGTTTTGGGCAGTTCTAGACTTTCTCTGTTGTGATTGGACAGTTGACCTGCCAGTTTTGTGAAGTTTTTCTCCTGTTAGAGGCAGAGCTCTAGATCTGAGCTTTGTATTCCAGTTGTCTTGGGATACTTTGAATCAGAACTGTACTGTATTAGGATCACTCTTGGACTCTTAACTAAATACCTGCTCTCCATGAAATTTATTGCCCAAGGTACTCCAACCTACTGTATTGATACAAACACATTCAGAATAGCAAGTATGAAGTCTGCAACTGGGTGCTGCAATCCAAAGAATCAGTATATACATATGGAATATAACTGCAGGTACAATCACAAGCGTGTATGGTGTTTGTGCTACAGCTGTTCCTATTACTGAAAAGACGAGTTGCTTTTTAATTGAATATCATTTAAATGAGTATCATTATATCTTGCTGATAATGGAAACTGCTGGATGCTGACATCAAATGAAACTCCAGCTGTATGTGCAGTTATGTGTCACACATGCCTGTTGTTTCTTTATATTGCAGACAAGGTTTCATGTGCTCTGTTCTGCTTTGTGGGGGCTAGGTTTTTTGTAGATGTGTGTAGCTTGAAAATTACCAGTAACAAGCAATTTGTGACCAGCTATGCCTGGGACTATTTAAAAGTCCTGGCTTGTGAGCAATTGCCACATTCTTTTAAAAGGGAGGAGGAGGGGACCACTGGCCACTTTCACTTAACTCTGATACATTGACAGTTTGCCACTTCAGCCTAACTCTGAAATGTTGACACTGGTTAAATATCTTCCAGAGCTGTCTGCTGTGTCTCTTAAGGGAAGAAATAGATAATCATTCACCAATGCAATATTAAAATGTTTATTAAAACAAAGGAATTCTAATTGTAGTAGACCTGACTGCAAATGTATATTTCTGCCTGGAGGTGGTGCCACATATATTACAGAATTCTGGACATTATTGGCAATGCAGTACACTAGAAGCATGTTTTAATATAGTTGTAAAAAAAAATGTTCCCTTTGAAACAGAGTATAAAAATCTTTATTTCATTATCTCTGCCTTTCCATTGTTGAAAAGTTTAGGAGAAGGATGTATCTTTTCCCCCTATCTTATTTTGTAAAGCAGCACATGAATTGATGATGCTTTGTAAATTCAATAATTTTTTTTGGTGTGTTTTTAGGGACGTATAGCCTGTGCCAATGTTCTTAGTGATCTTTATGCTATGGGAGTCACTGAGTGTGACAACATGTTGATGCTGCTTGGAATAAGTAATAAAATGACAGATAGGGTAAGTACTGTAAATACTGCTATAGGAATGCATCATGCTAACATATTGCCTTGTGTCCCTGAAAATGAACACCAGCTTTCATAGAGAACAATGCAACCTTTATTCCAAGCATCCACAAGAGAATCCCATGTTTGTTGTTGAACATCTATCAGTTATCTTAGGATAACAAAAACATTTTTTCCAGCTTCCGTTATGATTCACGCTCAAAGAAAAAAGAAAGAATTACATTTATATACCACCTTTTCCTCCAAGGAGTTCAAGGCAGGACACACGGTTCTCCCCTTCCCATTTAAAAATAGTTGTAAAAAGAGTAAGCAAGCCTAGGGGAGATCAGAGGTTGGCTGAGTGTTGTGTGAACTGGGCCAGTCTGCAATTACCAGGGCCAGGTGAGACCAGACTATTTTTGTAGTCAGACTAAAACATGCACACAGGCTTTTGCGGTTCATACCACTATTGGGGTACAGCAAGGTGCTTGAAGGTAGTTGGAATGTTTTTTCTCACACAACACTTTGGTGAGTGCATAATATCAAGCAATATGTAACTTCTGTTTAATCTAGAACTCACAAATATGGGATATCTACTTGCCCAATCTTTGTTTTGCATTTTCATCTCATTATTGAATGGCACAGTGTGTGGGAGGGGTGCTTTTTTGCTTGGCGTGACTTGTACCATGCAGAGAAGTGTTCTGCTTTTCACAATGTACATTGGTATTGTTTTGTGTTCCCCTGTACATACCTTGCTGTATGCTTTTTATTAAAAGTTTTTGATTCAGTGGTACAGAGATGGGCTTCAGTCGAGTGGGGGCTTCCACAAACAAAAGGAGGAGGCGGAGCTTTTTTTGGTCATTTCCCCATATTCCCCTATACCACCTCCCAAGCTGTCCTGAAAGGTCAAGCAGCTCCCAAGTGCAAACATTTTAGAGGTGGGGTAGAATGAGGGGAAAGAGAAAAGTTGCAGAAATCTCTTCCCCTCTCCATTAATGGCAGTTGAAAGCACCCACTTTCACGAGTAGAGTACTCACATCTCTACATCCAACCCGTTTAAGCATAGGTTTTGAATCCAAGAAATTGTTCTTAATTGTACTTGTACTTTAAGTTTTTGGAAAATGTGTCTCAAAGACTTTAAAAGAAACTGTGAAACATTCTGCTCTGGTTTTGGGTTGACCAGTAGCTCCTATGGATGGTTTGTAAGTTAAAAATGGATTCAGCATGTACTGGTTTGCACCTCCAGACTGGATTTTTTTCATTGATTATAGAGTTTTTCTGCTTGTGTTGTTTCTGATCTCTAGGAAAGAGACAAAGTAATGCCTCTAATTATCCAAGGTTTTAAAGATGCCGCAGAAGAGGCAGGAACATCAGTGACTGGTGGTCAGACAGTATTAAACCCTTGGATTGTTTTAGGAGGAGTGGCCACAACAGTCTGCCAGCCTAATGAGTTTATAATGTGAGTTGAAGCATTTAATCCTATGCAAAAGGGGTTGTAAAATATTAAAAGGGGTAGGTACTGTTAAAATTCTGGATATTTCCTTTCTGTAATGTTATCTGTAAGAAAATTGATGATATTTTGGCCTTTGGGTTCTTGGATATTAATCATACATAGAATCATAGAATCATAGAGTTGGAAGAGACCACAAGGGCCATCGAGTCCAACCCCCTGCCAAGCAGGAAACACCATCAGAGCACTCCTGACATATGGTTGTCAAGCCTCTGCTTAAAGACCTCCAAAGAAGGAGACTCCACCACACTCCTTGGCAGCAAATTCCACTGTCAAACAGCTCTTACTGTCAGGAAGTTCTTCCTAATGTTTAGGTGGAATCTTCTTTCTTGTAGTTTGGATCCATTGCTCCGTGTCCGCTTCTCTGGAGCAGCAGAAAACAACCTTTCTCCCTCCTCTATGTGACATCCTTTTATATATTTGAACATGGCTATCATATCACCCCTTAACCTCCTCTTCTCCAGGCTAAACATGCCCACCTCCCTTAGCCGTTCCTCATAAGGCATCGTTTCCAGGCCTTTGACCATTTTGGTTGCCCTCCTCTGGACACGTTCCAGTTTGTCAGTGTCCTTCTTGAACTGTGGTGCCCAGAACTGGACACAGTACTCCAGGTGAGGTCTGACCAGAGCAGTATACAGTGGCACTATTACTTCCCTTGATCTAGATGCCATACTCCTATTGATGCAGCCCAGAATTTCATTGGCTTTTTTAGCTGCCGCGTCACACTGTTGGCTCATGTCAAGTTTGTGGTCAACCAAGACTCCTAGATCCTTTTCATGTCTAACTGCAGAATCCTATAAATATTTTCTTGGACATAAGTCTTGCTGTGTTCAATGAGGCTTACTCTCTAGTAAGTGTGTTTAGAATGGCAGCCTCAGAAACCTTTAAAATGAGTTACCCTTTTCATTTGGAGCGTGTATCAAGAATGAAAGTTAAGCTTCTGTTCTTCAAAGAACTCTGGTGTCACATTCTAGATTAGAATGTTAATTGAATGTGACCATTACCAATTTTTTTAAAGGTCCTTGAATAACATGTATAAACATACCCAGGAAATCATATTAATAGTTGCCACTTTATTCAGCATATAGTGGAACCTCGGGTTGTGAACATGATCCATGCGGGAGGCACGTTTGCAACCTGCAGCGCCACGTCTGCACATGCGTGTGACCCACTTATTTAGCGTTATTTAGCACTTATGCGCGAGCGCCGAAACCCGGAAGTAACACATTCCAGTACTTCTGGGTTCAGCGCGTCCGTAACCTGAAAACGTGCAACCTGCAGCGATCGCAACCCGAGGTATGACTGTACTGGCTACCTGTTACATTGTACCCTACAATGTACATCCTTGGAGCACTATGTGGCTGTAAATCCTTCCATGATTGCAGTTGTTGGCTTTGAAGTCTGCTTACTTTGTTTCTCCTTGATACAATAACTTGCGCTGAAATCCTAAGCTTTTGAAGTAGGAGGAATGAGATTTCCTTCTACATACAGAACTGAGACCAGAATCCTGCTACGGAAGCTAGACATAAATAAGATCTATTATAGGTAGTGTGAGTGGCTATTTCTCATCATTAAGCACTTTAAAAACAATCCTCTGAAACATGAATAAATGTCAAACGAATTATTTAAGCCACCTAAACAAGCACATTTCATGGGATTTCAAAAAGTATTTTTGTTATTTAAAAATAAAATCTTTGACCTTTTCTTTTACTTTGTCTTTGTGATTATATTCTTTTTAAAAAACAACAACCACACACGCACCAAAGGTCTAGTATCTGACTGATTCACAGTATAGTTCTGAAGATGTTGTTTTTTCATTGGTTACCTGTAGTATCTTTCCATAGCCTTCTGTAGCTGGACAGAGGGCTACTGTTACTCAGTTTGAGATGCAAAGTTCATAAAATTGTCCTCTGGCATTTCACTTCTCATAGTCCTCAGTTTTAGAGTAAACTCTTTTGGTGGTTGAGCATTGTTGTATATATTCTGTGGAATGCTGACTGGGAAATAGTCACATCATATGTGTCTTTTTACATATATGGGTGTCTTGTTTGCAGGCCAGACAATGCAGTGCCAGGAGACGTGCTTGTGTTAACTAAACCCTTGGGAACGCAGGTTGCTGTAGCTGTCCACCAGTGGCTAGATATTGTAAGTAAATGCGTCTGAATGGGGTCAGAGTAAAGGATCAGAGAAATAATCTGTGTAGCTCTTTATCTGAGGCAGTTATCTTAACCTTGAAAATATAACCTGTTTAATCAGTATTTGAACCAGTGAATAGGCTTAAACCTATTTACATAAACTGCTAGCAATTTGCTATTGAAATCTTTGAAACTGGGGTTTTGCTCTGCAAGTATAGATCAGTTAATTATCTAGAAATTAAAAAAAAAATCTCTGAAATGCAGTATTAGTGGTAGTATTGAAACTTTTCACTGTAAAAGCACATCTCTATGTATATTGATATAGGGCATCTATTTTAATAATGTTCTTTTCATTGTGCTTGATGAATACTCAGATGGTGGTGATGATGATGATGATTTTATGAATTTAAATTCATGCAAAGATTGCAGGGCAGTTCACAACATAAAAATACAAAATGAGAAGACAGAATACATAATAAACCAAAAAGAAACCAATAACCCCCTCCCACAAACACATTTAAAAGGCCGTAGACTGTTCAATCAGTCAATGGTTTAAAGAGACATGATGAAGGCACTAGGTGAGCTTTCCTGGGGTGACCGTTCCACAATGGGGAGCCACTGCAGAAAAGCCCCATTCTCATGTTGTTGCCTCTTGTGGAGGTGCCACACAAAGAAGGGCCTTAGATGGTAGTTGCAGAGTTAGGAAACCACTAGTAAACAGTATATATTGACAGTTTTTTAAAGCGTGTCATCATTTTAAGAAAGGTAAAGTATAAATAAAAGCAAGTTGGGCTATCATGTATGTTACATGCAAAGGCCAGGAGTTTTCTTGGCTCACTTCCTACCATCTTAGGATGAGGAGACATGAAATAACAATTCAGGAGATTCCATAGTTTTTTGAATGTGGGATATTCCTTTTCAGATCTTGCAGTCCCATTTGAGTATTCAAGTACTCACAACCTAATTGAAAATGAATACAGATTGTTTAGAGACCCTTTGCTTTGAGGTGGATTGGGGCATTCATCAGACAGATTTACTGTCCTCTGCCCCACACTGTTAGGCAGACTTGAAATGCTTCTTGATTCATTGTTGCACCTGGTTTCCCAGGTTGCATCCGTAATTAAGTGTGAGTTATGTGTGTAATTATGTGTGAATTATGTATTGTGTGTTCATATTTTTGACATTAAGGCTGCAACCCTACACACTTACCTGATAGTAAGCCCCATTGAATACAGCAGAACTTTCTTCTAAGTTAATATGCACACTAGACCATTACTGAGGGTGGTAGAAAGCCAAGCAAACTGTAAAGAGTTCCAAAAGCAGCTCTTTAATGTGGGTGAATGGAGAACATTATTGCAAATGCAGTTCAGTGAAAGTAAATGTAAAGTGATGCACATTGGGAGAAAAAATCCCATCTTCATCATCTCCACTAGCTTATGTGACTTTAGAAAGGAATTTGCCTTGAGATATGTTTGGAAGGCAACAAATAAATGACAACAGTAATAATACTTGACTCCTGTTGGAAGCAAGATGCTGGACTATATAAGACCTTTAGTCTACTGCACTTTAAACAAAGTAATTGCATCACATGCAGAATTTATGTAGTTAAAACACAGATAGTTTGATCTTGTTTTTTCTTCAACATACTAGCCAGAAAAATGGAACAAAATCAAGTTGGTGGTTACACAAGAAGATGTGGAGCTAGCCTATCAAGAAGCAATGATGAATATGGCAAGACTCAACAGAACAGGTACGAGAATGGGGTATACATGCTTCATGATGAAACTTTTTGGAGTTAAATATGGCTAAAGTCACTAAGAGGCAAACAGTTTTTGAAAAGCATGTACACCGTTTGTATTAGAGCTGGAAAAATATTAGTGTTGCAATAAATCAGAAATAAATCAGATTTCCAAAGCCCTCAGAATATAGAGGCCTTTGCAATGTTCTGAAAATCAAAATGGATGGTCTTGGCTTCCTTTTTAAAAGTAGGATCAGAGGACATCAGAACATTTTCTCTGCCTTTGATTGAAATGACAAGAATGGTTACTCTTGCTATCCTTGCCATGGCTTCTTACCTAGTACTCCATTTCTCTCTGGGCAGATAGTTTTTTAAATCAAACTTGGTCGTAGAATTTCTGCATTCTTTGCAAATACAGTGGTACATCGGGTTACATACGCTTCAGGTTACAGACTCCGCTAACCCAGAAATATTTCTTCAGGTTAAGAACTTTGCTTCAGGATGAGAACAGAAATTGTGCTCCGGCAGCGTGGCAGCAGCAGGAGGCCCCATTAGCTAAAGTGGTCCTTCAGGTTAAGAACAGTTTCAGTTAAGTACAGACCTCCGGAACGAATTAAGTACTTAACCCGAGGTACCACTGTACCACTGTACATGAATAAACTAATGCTTGTTGTAATCTGCCAGAGCATTCCATGTTTATTGAGGTTTCAAGGTTGGAACGGTATGGAGAGTGGCATTGTAGTGCTTCTGACAGGTTATGTGAACTTGATTTTAAATAAAAGCAGAAGTTCTGGTTCTCTGTTCCACCTGCACCTTTTGTATGATCAGATTTGAAAGCCGGTATGACAGGGACCCATCTATACATCATTGGGAATTGTTAAACATTCTTCAATTTCACTCCCAACACAGCGTTTGGCAGAACCTTCTGGAACCCATAACCTATTCAGAGTTGCCTGTGTAGCAGACTATGCAACCCGTCTCCAGCTTGAGCAATGCAGGGGAACACGGGAGTCTTCCTTTTTTCTTGATAGGGAGTATAAGGTGTAGGAACAAGGGAACACTTAACTGTGTGTGTGTTTGAAGTGGCCTCAGAGAGACCAATTTTCCTTACCACTTCGCTTCAACTACAGTGGTTTAAGAACAGCTTAGTTTATGAACAACTTGGATTAAGAACGCTGCAAACCCGGAAGTAGGTGTTTTGATTTGTGAACTTTGCCTTGGAAGCAGAACATGTTTCGCTTCCTGTTGTGTGTGTTCCATTTATAATTTGAGTCCCCCACTGCTATGGGAAAGCACACCTTGGTTTAAGAATGGACTTCTGGAACGGATTAAGTTCGTAAACCGAGGTACCACTGTATTTGGTCCTACAGAAGGGCTTTTCAAACATGTTAAAACTTTCTGCAATTGTGGGTGGCCCCAGGTCCATACAGACACTTTTTAGTATGTCCTATAAAAACTGCTGCTAGTCAGTGATTAATGTTTCTTTCAATGTTTGTGGAAATAACCTATGATGCTGGTTTATTTTGTATGGTGCACAAATTGAGAAACTGCTTACCTGATAGTTTATAAAGCTGTTCTAACTATCTTTCCGCAGGAGCATCATCTAAATATAATTCCCCTAAAAGGAAAATATTTTTTAAGTGGAGTGTGCGCGCGCGCATGTGTTTCAGGTCTGAATATCCCAAATCTATTATACATAGAGAATGAAAGAAGCTTAGACTTCAGTTTGTTTGAAATTAGGTTTTCCTACTCACTGGTCATGTAATTAAACTTATTAGTATGTAGGGAGTATATGTAGCCACTCAAATAAAACAAAAGTTGAACTTAACCTGGAACTGTTCTTTCAAAGTTGTAAAATATATTTACATGACACTTCCTTCTTCTAACTAAGAACAATACTTTCCAAACTCCTCATGCTTTGAAAGCTACATTGAACAGCACCCTAGAATGTGCCATCTGTAATGTATACTAATCATTACTGCATTTGATGACTACCTGCTCACATCCTCTTACCTGCTTACTGCTTCTATTGCATATGCAGAAAATAGCAGGAGACATTTTCATGTGGTTCACAATTTAACAGAACCACCATTGGGGTTCCGTTAACCCCAAGATCTCCTGCAATGATTTCGCAACAATTTTTGCAGATAAAGTCGCTCAGATTCGGAAGGAAGTAGACTCCACCGTGGGAGCAGGGCCGGGGCGGGAGAGTGCTAGAGTCCTGTCTAGTAGAGTTGCATGGAATCAATTCCAATCTGTTACCTCCGAGGATGTGGACAGGCTGCTTGGACGAGTGAAACCAACCACCTGTCTCCTTGATCCTTGCCCATCCTGGCTCATACATGCGAGCAAGGAAGGGCTGGGTGATGGGCTCTGCGGGGTGGTGGATGCTTCCCTCTGTGAGGGAGCATTCCCAGACCCATTGAAAGAGGCGGTCATTAAACCGCTTCTTAAAAAAACATCTTTGGACCTGGCCAATATGGCCAACTATCACCCAGCCTCAAATCTTCCATTTTTGTCTAGGTGATTGAGCGGGTGGTTGCTGAACAACTCCAGGCACTCCAGGAGGATGCGGACCATTTGGATCCCTTCCAGTCAGGATTCAGGCTGCCCCATGGGACTGAAACTTTCTTGGTCGTGCTGGTTGATGATCTCTCTCACTTGTGTTGCCTCAGGGTTCTGTCCTCTCCCCCATGCTTTTTAATATCTATACAAAGCTGCTGGGAGAGATTATCAGGGGGTTTGGGCTGGGTGTTCATCAGTATGCGGATACCCAGCTCTACCTCTCTTTCAAATCGGAACCAGTGAAGGCAGTGAGTGCCTGGAGGCGGTTGGAGGATGGATGGCGGCTAACAGATTGAGGTTGAATCCTGATACGGCAGAAGTACTATTTTGGGGGGAAAGGGGGCAGGTGGGTGTGGAGGACCCCTGGTCCTGAATGGGGTAACTGCCCCTGAAGGACCAGGAGCGCAGCCTGGAAGTCATTTTGGACTCACAGCTGTCCATGGAGGCACATGTCAATTCTGTGTCTGGGGCAGCTGTCTACCAGCTTCATCTGGTACGCAGGCTGAGACCCTGTCTGCCCATAGACTGTCTCACTAGAGTGGTGCATGCTCTAGTTATCTCCCACTTGGACTACTGCAATGCACTCTACATGGGGCTACCTTTGAAGGTGACTCAGAAACTACAACTAATCCAGAATGTGACAGCTAGACTGGTGACTGGGAGCGGCCCATTGAGACCACATAACACTGGTCTTGAAAGGCCTACATTGGCTCCCCGCACGTTTCGGAGCACAATTAAAAGTGTTGGTGCTGCCTTGAAAGCCCTAAATGGCCTCGCCCAGTATACCTGAAGGAGCGTCTCCACCCCCATCATTCTGCCCGGACACTGAGATCCAGCACCAAGGGCCTTCTGGCAGTTCCCTCACTGTGAGAAGCAAAGTTACAGGGAACCAGGCAGAGGGCCTTCTCGGTAGTGGCGCCCGCCCTGTGGAACGCTCCCATCAGATGTCAAAGCGATAAACAACTACCTGACATTCAGAAGACATCTTAAGGCAGCCCTGTTCAGGGAAGTTTTTAGTGGGTGACATTTTAGTGTATTTTTGGTCTCTGTGGAAGCCGTCCAGCATGGCTGGGGAAACCCAGACAGATGGGCGGGGTACAAATAATAAATTATTATTATTATTATTAATGACTGATGTTTCAATGTATTTTTAGTCTCCTTCTGGAAGCAGCCTAGAGTAGCTGGGGAAACCCAGCTGGATGGACACAGTGTATAAGTAATAAATGATGGTGATGGTGATGATGCAACTTCATTTTTACTCTTTCTGCAACATTTCTGAGTATTTTAATAAAACCTAGTTCAGAATTACTACTACTACTACTGGTACTATTTCTGTTCATTACCTGCCCTTCACTATGTGGTCCATGGGTGAATTACAACAGTTTCAAATTCAATATGGAAAACAGTTCATATAAATTACAGTCACAGGAATAGGGTGGGTCCTGAAACCACATCTCTTGTGTGAAAGTTCAGAGTAAAGTGATGGGTCTTGAAACTTCACAGTACATAACTTAAACATTTGCACAAAGTGGTGGAAAAGAAACTGCAGAATTCATCGTAATGTTTTCTCCTGTTTTCCATTTCCAGCTGCAGGACTGATGCACACATTCAATGCACATGCAGCCACAGACATCACAGGCTTTGGAATCCTGGGGCATGCACAAAATTTAGCCAAGCAGCAGCGCAATGAGGTTTCTTTTGTTATACACAATCTTCCTGTTCTTGCCAAAATGGCTGCAGTCAGCAAGGCGTGTGGCAACATGTTTGGCCTTATGCATGGGACGTGTCCTGAGACTTCAGGTAAATCTCCCTTTTTAAAATAAGGTTTTTCTCCTAAGAATGTCATAACATACCATATCTATAGCAGGAAATTTAATATGAATCTGTGTCAGCAGTGTCTTGGCCAGGGAAATGCTTACTTCATGTGACTGGGCAAATTTCCAAACTTTGTGCACTGCATTTTTAACAATATTTGAATCATTTCATGGAGAGCAGGATGCATATTGCTGAGATTTATCTTTATAGAATTAAATGGCATTTGTATATTTGTGAAGTGCAGCCTGCATTACAATTGGGACTGGGAATCAGTTCTAGGTAGGTTGCAGTGCGTGAGATGTTGCATTTCTGCAATTGCAAATAGCCTTCAGTGAGACAAGTAAAAAGGAAGGCTTGCCATATTGACTGGACAAAGCAGTAAGAACTTATTTGGGCAGACCAGTAAATTTAAGTAAATATTAAAGTATGAACACTTCCTACATTGAAGGATGCACTACACATTCAAAAAGCAAATTATAAAGATGTCAACTCTTTTGCTAGCATGTAGCTTTCAAGAAACTCCCTTGGTTAGTCTAATGGACTAATAGCTAGAGAAGGCCAGTTAAGTGTGTGACCTTGCTAATTCTCTTGGGCTACATAAGATACCATTGATCATGGCATCCTTCTGGAGAGGTTGGTTGGGTTGGTAGTAGGAGGCTTGGCTTTTGGTGGTTCTCTTCTTTGGAGCACTAATTCAGAAGGTGGCCTACCTGAGGGATTACTACTTTGCCCGATAACCTTTATGTTGAGGTGTTCCACTATATTATTATCATCATCAATTGCTTTCCATGAGGCATCCTGAAGAGGTTTACAATATCATAACCTATATATAAAACATTTTTTAAAAATAAGAATTTTAAAACAGCAGCAGCACATATGTAAAATTAATTCAAAACAAAGACAAATATCAATTGGGATAAAGATTCTGGATGGCTTGTTGAAAGAGGAATGTTTTCCCCTGTTGTTGAAAGACAATGGAGAAGGTGCCTGTCTGATATGCAGTAGGAGGGAGTTCCAAAGAGACTTTAAGTAAAGATAAAGGTAACCCTGACTGTTAGTCCAGTCGCGAACGACTCTGGGGTTGTGGCACTCATCTCGCTCTATAGGCTGAGGGAGCCGGCGTTCGTCCGCAGACAGTTTTTCCGGGTCATGTGGCCAGCATGACTAAGCTACTTCTGGTGAACCAGAACAGCACAAGGAAAAGCCGTTTACCTTCCCGCTGGAGCGGTACCTATTTATCTACTTGCAATTTGACGTGCTTTCGAACTGCTAGGTGGGCAGGAGCAGGGACCGAGCAACGGGAGCTCACCCCAACCTTCTGATCAGCAAGCCCTAGGCTCTGTGGTTTAGATCACAGCGCCACCCGCGTCCTATAAAGAGACTTTAGTGCTACACTTATGGTATGATTCTGACAGTGTGTGGAATGGTCCACCTGATAAAATGGTGTCTGCAAGATACCCTGTCCTGCATAGTTGGGTATATAGGGGGAAAGACAGGATCCTGATCCCAAGCTTTTTAGGGTACGCCAAGTCAAATCATTTTCTTATGCTCAATGACCAGTATCAAGACAGACACCAATTATAAAATATCACCATCCTAATATGCAGCTGCTGAAAAATTGCATTAGCTGCCGCTTTGCTACTGATTACTGGTAATGTACACCAATACCAGCAATCAGTAGCAAACCAGCAACAAGTGCCATTCTTTTAGCGGCATATTAGGATGGTAATATTCTGCCTCATGGAGCTGTCCAGCTGTTGCATTTTGCATCAGCTTGCAGCTTCTGGGTCAGCCTTGAGCAGTCGCACACAGTGCATTGCAGTCAACCAAACTTGTCTCCTGTGCATCTTGCCACGTGCACAAAAATGCTGAGAGAAGTCACCTGGGAATTTAGAGTGGGTGCCATGAATATGGTGATTACACTCAGCGCGCTCTCTCTCTCTCCTCTGTGGGTTGAGGTAGCGGAAGTGCAGAACCATTTTCCAGAATGCAGGCCAATAAACTGAATCAAACTCCTGACAAATGAGTTTCTATCACTACTTTAGTTGCTCAAGGACATGATGTTCAGTCTGCTCTAGACTGAGTTACACTCTCCCAAAGGATCGTGTTTGCAGTTTGGCGATACTGTTGTGCCAGAGGTGGGTCAAACTTGGCCTGCGAGGCTGTTTTCTTCAAGCCCTGCCCACCTGCCATCATATGTGACATCAGGTGGAGCCTTGGGCACAGTGGGGCACTCCTGGTCATGCACTGGCAAGTGAAAGCAGCTTTGGCTCTATTGCCCATAAGCTGATGGGCAATAGAGCCGAGGCATGCTGGATCGGGTGTGGGAGCAGCTTCCCTGTGGAGAACACCCCTGCATGCCGCATGGATGGTGCTTGGAAGTCCTGACTTCAGACCGCAAGATGCCCAGTCCCCCAAGGCTTAATTCTGCAGCAAAGAACCATTGAGAAGAGCACGCCTGGCAGTACCGGGCAGCGCAAGATGGCGTTACCCCATTGGCATACAAACACTGCATTTTGCACAAGCATTGCTTAAAGGACTTCTTCCAGAGGTCAGTAGATGGTGCTCTTTTCCCAGAGAGCCCAATTAGCCACTGCTGCTGTGTGTCTTTAGTGCAAGTTCTAGTCTGGAATAGTCTCCCAATGTTCACAACATCGTGGCTCTAGACCAGATGTGTGTTTTGCAAATTACACAGAAGGGCAAGAAAGCAGTATTAAGTAGGGAGAAACAAATCTTAATGGAGTAACATTTCTGAGTACGCACTCCTAAGGGTTGGTTTCTCATGTTGGCCTGGTTCCCATGGTCACATTAAACATCCTTAAAGTAACGCTAATGTGAACACGATTGTGAACAAGCAGCGTGCTGGTGCGCACTGCCGAAATTGTGCCTCACTGTTCCCCTGCTGCTGTTGCGCTTCCAGGAAAGAAGCCATACTCGGGCTTGTTGTGTGGGCTGAACATGGGCTCCTGGTTTCTTTCCTCGTCAGGCTGGGCCGTTCAGACAACACAACAAGCCAGACTTGCCTTCTTGGCAGCCGGGGAGAAGCAAAGTGGCCAGAATTTCAGCAGTCTGCAAAGGTACACTGGGCATTCACATTAAACCATAGTTTATTTTAAGTATGGTTTGATGTAACATAATTCACACATCAGAGTAAGTTAATAAAGGGTAGCATGCACAATTAGGTACTATTTGTGTACATATTCATCAATATTAAACTTAGCAGTTTACCTGGAATTCTTTTAACTCATCTCTCTGTAGTGTGCAAATAACCTGCACAAATTAGCCTCCAATTCCCATGTTCAAAAGCAGCCAAGTTACTCAGATTAGGTTTTATTCAGAGACAGACTCCCAGCTTTGTAGTTCACATTTGAAAAGTTGGTACAAAAAACTGCAGTCTACTTTTCAAACACCGTCTAAGGAACTTTCTGAAGATCCTTTTGGAAACTGAATTGGATACCAGTTTGATACCATCAACCTTCTGGAGCGCCTGTCTGAGTTAGGGGTGGGTGGCATCACTTTGCGGTGGTTGCAGTCCTACTTGGATAGACATTGCTGGATGGGTGGTGCTTGGAGAGTGCCCTTCAATGTTGGGTTCCTCAGGGTTGGATCTTATTCCCTATGCTGTTTAACAGCTACATGAAACTGCTCAGTGGGGTTATCTGGAGGTTGAGTGCGTTGTCAGCAATGCCCTTATGGCACACAGCTCTACTCCTTTACATCTGCACACAGTGAATGGCTTGACTGTTGTTATGCTTCAGTAGTAGACTGGATTGTGGTTCTCTCCTCTCCATTTTCCTGGAATGGTGGGGGCAGAAGGGCAGGGAGGTGACCAAATAAAATATGATTACATGCTTGCAGTGCATGTAGGCAAGAAAACCTGCATGTGGATGAATCCCCACGGAAAGCATCCTTGTAGAAATTTTAAGGCGTGCTCTGTCTCCAAGCACCATATTTGTTATCTTTATTTTCTTCACCAAAGAAGTTCATGCTAAGTCTTGGTAGGAAGGATGCTGATAAATATAAATAATTTTTAGTTCAAAAGCTTTTGCTGACTGATAACCATGTATTATATAGCAATGTCTGTTGATCTGGCATGCTACTCACTCCAAAGAAGCTGTTTTTTGTTCTGGAGTTAATGATACAGTATAAGGACCAGCATCTTTTGATGCCATTGTGTGTCCTTTATTCATTTATGTATTTTTAAAAATACATAATGTCACTGGTGGATATATCTAACTATTTCTGATGAGAACTTGGTTGAAAAACTGTTACAGGAGTTCTCAAATGGTTTGCATGGTTGTTGTTAGTCGTTTAGTCGTGTCCGACTCTTCGTGAGCCCCTGGACCAGAGCATGCCAGGCACTCCTGTCTTCCACTGCCTCCTGCAGTTTGGTCAAACTCATGCTGATAGCTTCGAGAACACTGTCCAGCCATCTCGTCCTTTGTCATCCCCTTCTCCTTGTACCCTCAATCTTTCCCAGCATCAGGGTCTTTTCCAGGGAGTCGAGTCTTCTCATGAGGTGGCCAAAGTTTGCATGGTGAGCCTCCCCAAATAAAAATAAGATAAAATGCTGAGCTTCTCCTAGCTTGATGCAGAGAAAAATTGCTGCTGGCTTAGGTCTGTTAGAAGGAATACTGAAATAAAAGGAAACAATCAGAATTAAATGGAAGAGTGTTTAAAGATCCACAAGACATAGATGGAGGGAAGCAAAATCTCATGGAAAATGCAAGCCTATTCAATTGTACCTTAGCATCATCAGTCAACAAGGATGCCCAGACTTTGTAGCTGAAATAACTTTTACCAACTTCCATTTTAGGAATGGTGGGATTTAGATTGGAGTAATTGAGAAGGTTTGTAGTGACTTCTGATCTGAACTGTCAACTCTTCTTCCTTTCAGGAGGACTCCTTATTTGTTTACCACGTGAACAGGCAGCACGTTTCTGTGCTGAAATCAAGTCTCCGAAATATGGTGAAGGTCACCAAGCATGGATTATTGGGATTGTAGAAAAGGGCAACCGCACTGCCAGGATTATAGACAAACCTCGAATCATTGAGGTAGCACCACAAGTGGCTACTCAGAACGTGAACCCAACGCCTGGAGCAACTTCTTAATCTAGATGAAATAGCTTTTTTAAAAAATAGATCTATTCCTTTATCATTTTACAGCCTAAAGAACTGTAAAAAGAGAAAAAGAAACACGTTGTGTCTGCAAATCTGGTGGCCTTAGGTCAGTTTGAGTGGATGCGTTTAATAAAATAAAACCCATTGCCTTTTTTCCTGTTACATTAACTGAAGATGCACCTAATCTTGAGGCAGCTTCTGAGTTGAGAATTATATTGTTATCCAATACTGTTGATTCATTTTGAATCTTTAGACACTTATCTCTCGCCGCATAGGCTCTTTTTTAAAAGGGTGCTTTCACGTAGCACAGACATTACCAATAGTGGTGTCAAATAGCAGTTTATGTCCTTTTTCACTATGTGTATATTTATCATTAGGTCTAATTTCAGATGCCTTGAATGAAATTCCAGGAAGGCAATAAATTTGATAAAGTGATGCACAGTGCTTTTTACCCATTAGCCAAGAGGGTTGCATGTCTACAGTCAATCTTTGATTTGTAAAAGTCTTACCCGTGAGCATCTAAAACCCTGGACATTGCTTGGTGATACATTCTGCTAAAAGCAAGCAAGTGCTGACTTTGCATGGAAGCACTTCAGAGTTGAAGGGAAAAAAATAATTTTCTTCTTTGTAGATCAGACAATATTTACTTGTATTATCAATAATTGTTTCTTTAATTGATAGCATAAATGATGATGCTCAGTTTTGCAATGTGATTGGGTGTGCTATAGAGCAACAAGGTATTGCCAGCCAAACAGGTTATTGTATAATCATTTACAATTCACTATATGATTAACTACACAAATAATTCTTAAATATAACCAATTTAAAAAACTGTTTTGTGGATGGTAGTGTTTAATACATTTTATATTTTGTATAGTGATTATTATAAATCTTTTTTGTTTTCTTAAATCAGCTGTCTAGTATAATGCCTAGTATTTTTGTTCTCTGCTCAAAATTCATTTTTGTGCACGCTTTTGTGATGTGTTTAATATCTGCATTGCCAACATTTCAGCCTGAACTTAAGCTTATTATTTGAATAAATATTTAATTTTTTTATTGCTCTTGTACAAATGGATGACTTTTTTAATTTTATGCCTAAGATTATTGTGGGTGAAAGGTGGCAAGTAGGTTACTATGCCATTTAGAATTATGGTATGGACATTTATAAGCCGTGAAAAATGAAAGCAGTTATATCCAATGGCTATTTTGGGGTTAAATTATCTGTAAAGGTGCAATCCTATACTCGCTTACCTGAGAGCTCCAGTGAGCTCAATGGGACTTACTGTATATTCAGAAATAGACATGCATTGGGTTATAAATTCTAGAATGCAGCATCTAAGGGGGCTTTGTTTCTTTTCAAGAGAATGAATGTGGAAGCCATAGGGCTGCATACAGTTATGGGTGAGTTGGCTAAATTACATCCTGCCATTATAAAGAGGGAGGGTGGACAGTACGTTCTATAGCTTATGGTTGGAAAAATGAACTGATTTCAAAGGAGAGAAGTCTGAGGGTGATTTGTGCCTATGTGAAAATGCATGTGAGTGTGGTTTATCCCACTCACTACTGGCATGCAGCTCTTGTGCAAAGACAGGTAAGTAACCAATGTTTTAAAAATATTCTATATTAAATACCATATACAGAACAGCTAAAAGAAAAGCCACAAAAAGGTGTTGGAAAGTATTTCCTAAGACCCAAGTCCCAGTGGAGGCTTTAATTTTATTGTTTTTCCTGTACTCTAGCACCCTCCCCCCAGCATACAGTTGCATGATTTTTATTTCCAAGATAGCCTATCCAAAGGTCACTCATGTATTGCAGCTGGCTTTAGTGAATTAGGTTGCAAAGGTCCTAGTTTGCTAGCCACATCAGCTTCTCATAAAAACATTTGCAAAATGCAAAACTTAATTCTGCTCCCCTTTCCTAACCACAGCCACCAAAGTGTTACAGTACTTACCTCATTGAGGAAAATTAAACATAAGTTCATTTACCATAACTGCAGCATGTTGGGCAACTGTTCATATGTGCATAACCATTGAGATGGAGAAACCTTGTATATTGCAAGAACATGGGGTGGGAGTGCACCCCTTTTCAGGATCCCTGTCACTGAAGTTTGGGCCCACCTGTATCAGATATTTGTCTCAAAGTCCGGAGGTTCTTAACCTTTCTACCCCCAGGGCCCACTGGGAATGGCCAAAACTCACTGAGGCACACCAGTCACAAAATGGCAGCAGATAGTGGCAGGGAGCTGGCAAATACTGACATTATTTTCTACTTGTATCTAATCCCAATTCTGGAAATGGTTCAGTGATTTGCTACAGTGTGATAAAGCGTTCTGTTACCTGGCTTTCTTCAAGCCAAGTGCAGTCATTTGCCCTGGAGGTATTGTGACTGCCTGCCCTGATGCAGAGGCTCTAAGTCGGGTGCCCAAACACTGATGAAGCGAACATGCATGAGGGCCGACCAGAGTTGTTGACCTTTTCTTACGATTGAAGTTCTTGAGCTTTGGACATGCCTGCTCTAATTTTCTAGTTCCCACTCCTTTGTGCCCCTCAAAAGTATGTTTACCCATCTCCTGTAGCTTCTTCAGTGCCCAACCTGTAGCTTATCCTCCCCAACTGACAGTTTCTTGCCCCTTGGGTTCCTTTAAGCTCACTTCCTCCTCTAGCAGCTTTCCACTCTTACTCCTCCCAATTCCCAGTTTTCATTTGTTTATTAATAATGACACTAACCTTTCACTTTATAATTTCCTTTGCCAACCCCTCTGTCTCCTGCAAGACTGGTTACTGGTGCTGGCATTGGTCTATCTGTGCTATGGATGGCTAAGGGGCAGGTCAGGCAAGTGAGGAGGCCACTGGGCAAGCTGTAGTCTTGAGGGGGCCACTGTTTTGAGAAATGCTGCCTAAGTGTGTTGGTTTGTTGTTGTTGTTTAGTCGTGTCCGACTCTTCGTGACCCCATGGACCAGAGCACGCCAGGCACTTCTGTCCTCCACTGCCTCCCGCAGTTTGGTCAAACTCATGCTGGTAGCTTCGAGAACACCATCCAACCATCTCATCCTCTGTCGTCCCCTTCTCCTTGTGCCCTCCATCTTTCCCAACATCAGGTTCTTTTCCAGGGAGTCTTCTCTTCTCATGAGGTGGCCAAAGTATTGGAGCCTCAGCTTCACGATCTGTCCTTCCAGTGAGCACTCAGGGCTGATTTCTTTCAGAATGGATAGGTTTGATCTTCCTGCAGTCCATGGGACTCTCAAGAGTCTCCTCCAGCACCATAATTCAAAAGCATCAATTCTTTGGCGATCAGCCTTCTTTATGGTCCAGTTCTCACTTCCATACATCACTACTGGGAAAACCATAGCTTTTACTATATGGACCTTTGTTGGCAAGGTGATGTCTCTGCTTTTTAAGATGCTGTCTAGGTTTGCCATCGCCTTCCTCCCAAGAAGCAGGCGTCTTTTAATTTCGTGACTGTTGTCACCATCTGCAGTGATCATGGAGCCCAAGAAAGTAAAATCTCTTACTGCCTCCATTTCTTCCCCTTCTATTTGCCAGGAGGTGATGGGACCTGTGGCCATGATCTTCGTTTTTTTGATGTTGAGCTTCAGACCATATTTTGCGCTTTCCTCTTTCACCCTTAATAAAAGGTTTTTTAATTCCTCCTCACTTTCTGCCATCAAGGTTGTGTCATCTGCATATCTGAGGTTGTTGATATTTCTTCCGGCGATCTTAATTCCGGCTTTGGATTCATCCAGCCCAGCCTTTCGCATGATGAATTCTGCATACAAATTAAATAAGCAGGGAGACAATATACAGCCTTGTCGTACTCCTTTCCCAATTTTGAACCAATCAGTTGTTCCATATCCAGTTCTAACTGTAGCTTCTTGTCCCACATAGAGATTTCTCAGGAGACAGATGAGGTGATCAGGCACTCCCATTTCTTTAAGAACTTGCCATAGTTTGCTGTGGTCGACACAGTCAAAGGCTTTTGCATAGTCAATGAAGCAGAAGTAGATGTCTTTCTGGAACTCTCTAGCTTTCTCCACAATCCAGCGCATGTTTGCCATTTGGTCTCTGGTTCCTCTGCCTCTTCTAAATCCAGCTTGCACTTCTGGGAGTTCTCGGTCCACATACTGCTTGAGCCTTCCTTGTAGAATTTTAAGCATAACCTTGCTAGCGTGTGAAATGAGTGCAATTGTGCGGTAGTTGGAGCGTTCTTTGGCACTGCCCTTCTTTGGGATTGGGATGTAGACTGATCTTCTCCAATCCTCTGGCCACTGCTGAGTTTTCCAAACTTGCTGGCATATTGAGTGTAGCACCTTAACAGCATCATCTTTAAAAATTTTAAATAGTTCGGCTGGAATACCATCACTTCCACTGGCCTTGTTATTTGCAGTGCTTTCTAAGGCCCATTTGACTTCACTCTCCAGGATGTCTGGCTCAAGGTCAGCAGCCACACTACCTGGGGTATAAGAGACATCCATTTCTTTCTGGTATAGTTCCTCTGTGTATTCTTGCCACCTCTTCTTGATGTCTTCTGCTTCTGTTAGGTCCTTACCACTTTTGTCCTTTATTATGGTAATCTTTGAACAAAATATTCCTTTCATATCTCCAATTTTCTTGAACAGATCTCTGGTTCTTCCCATTCTGTTGTTTTCCTCTATTTCTTTGCATTGCTCGTTTAAGAAGGCCTTCTTATCTCTCCTTGCTATTTTTTGGAAATCTGCATTCAATTTCCTGTATCTTTCTCTATCTCCCTCGCATTTTGCTTGCCTTCTTTACCCCGCTATTTGTAAGGCCTCATTGGACAGCCACTTTGCTTTCTTGCATTTCCTTTTCATTGGGATGGTTTTCGTTGCTGCCTCCTGTATAATGTTGCGAGCCTCCATCCATAGTTCTTCAGGCACTCTGTCCAGCAAATCTAAATCCTTAAACCTGTTCCTCACTTCCACTGTGTATTCATAAGGGATTTGGTTTAGATTGTATCTTACCGGCCCAGTGGTTTTTCCTACTTTCTTCAGTTTAAGCTTGAATTTTGCTATAAGAAGCTGATGATCTGAGCCACAGTCAGCTCCAGGTCTTGTTTTTGCTGACTGTATAGAGCTTCTCCATCTTTGGCTGCAGAGAATATAATCAATCTGATTTCGATGTTGCCCATCTGGTGATGTCCATGTGTAGAGTCGTCTCTTGTGTTGTTGGAAAAGCGTGTTTGTGATGACCAGCTTGTTCTCTTGACAGAACTCTTATTAGCCTTTGCCCTGCTTCGTTTTGATCTCCAAGGCCAAACTTGCCAGTTGTTCCTTTTATCTCTTGACTCCCTACTTTAGCATTCCAATCCCCTATAATGAGAAGAACATCCTTCTTTGGTGTCATTTCTATAAGGTGTTGTAAGTCTTCATAGAATTGGTCAATTTCAGTTTCTTCAGCACCAGTGGTTGGTGCATAAACTTGGATTACTGTGATGTTAAAAGGTCTGCCTTGGATTCGTATCGAGATCATTCTATCATTTTTGAGATTGCATCCCAGTACAGCTTTCACCACTCTTTTGTTGACTATGAGGGCCACTCCATTTCTTTTACGGGTTTCTTGCCCACAGTAGTAGATATGATAGTCATCCGAACTGAATTCGCCCATTCCCGTCCATTTTAGTTCACTGATGCCCAGGATGTCAGTATTTATTGTCAATATATCCCCTTCATGGATCACTGCCTTGCCGTGGCGAAGGGGCTTGAATAACTCAGAGAAGCTATGAACTATGCCGAGCAGGGCACCCAAGATGAACAGGTCATAGTGGAGAGTTTTGACCAAATGTGATCCACCTGGAGGAGGAACCGGCAAGCCACTCCAGTATCCCTGCCAAGAAAACTCCATGGACAAAGACAACAGGCATATAAAAGTTATGATGCTGGAAGATGAGCCCCTCAGGTCAGAAGGTGTCCAACATGCTACTGGGGAAGAGCGGAGGACAAGTACAAGTAGATTCAGAGCTGATGAAGCGGCTGGGCCAAAGCCGAAAGGACGCTCAGTTGTGGATATGCATGGAAGCGAAAGGAAAGTCCAATGCTGTAAAGAAAAATAGTGCATAGGAACCTGGAATGTAAGAACCATGAACCTGGGTAAGTTGGATGTGTGTTGGTTTACTTTTCCCCATAGGAAGGAATGGCATGTGCTCTACCACTGCTCGTTTTCTGGTTACGGAAAAAGGAAATCCCACTGAGTTCAAGATGAGTTGGTCCCAAATCTGTGTTTTTGGCTAAGAGGAAGGCTAGAAAAAGGTTACCAGACGTCCTGATTTCCTGGGGACAGCCCCCAGATTTACAAATCAGTCCCGACAAAATCCATCCCCTTCAACTGAAGTTGAAAACTCCCTGGATTCATTGAAAAAAATCTGGTAACCGTAGGCTAGAAATGTTCTAATGCCGGGGAGCCTGTGGCCCTCCCCAAATTGGCTGGGCTTTAGCATAGCCAGTGGCCTGGGATGATGGGCGCTGCAGTTCACCAACATCTGAAGGGTCACCGGTTCCCCATCCCTCTTAACCCGCAAGCAAATCTGCCACTAAACTCTGAGCAATGTAATTTTGTCCAGTGGCCTTGAATAAAGCCTGCTCCTTATTCCAGAACGTGGTAGTGCATGTCTGTGTTTCAGGACCAGGCATCAGTACTGTGAGCAGGCTTGGAAGCAGATTTGTTGTCACGATATTAATAATCCAAATAATGAAATGAATGGCTGATCTACGGCCTTTTGCCTGTGTGTGTGGTAGGGCGGTCACCCTGCGAGATATCTTGGAGAGAAGAAAAGGCTCGGGAGGAAACGCTACGCAAATCCCGAAGGCGGTCGGCTGGCGCCGGGTGTGCCAAGCAGGTGCCAGCCGTCTTGCCCTGCTTTCCTTTGGACCCCGTCAGCCCGGGCCCTGCGCCCCAGAGAGGTCGCCTGGGTGCTGCTGGCAGGCCGGCCCGCGTCTGCGACGGAGCGAGCTTTCCACACGGGACGCCCTCGACCCTCCGCGGCCTCTTTCCTCTGCCCGCTCGCTCGTCGGGTCCTTCCCGCGGAGAGGAGGGCGGAGGGGCGCGGCCCCGGCAGGAGGAGCCCGCAGGGCCCGGCCTCTTTCCGGCCCTCGGCGGCGCTGCCTCAGAGAGGCCGAGGCCGAGGAGGAGACCGCACTGGGGCGCCATGGCCGAGGGACCGAGCCACGTCGACAGCGCCGCTTCCGCCGCCTCGCTCCGGCTGCGCGCCCTGCTGCGCCACGTCCTGCCCGGCTGGGGGCCGGGGGCCGGGCGCCCCGTATCCTTTGGACAGGGCAGGAGAAGCTCCTCCTTGGGGACGAGGGAGGACCAGGAGGGGAGGCCCGGCCCGGCCCGGCCTGGCTCCTCGTCCTGCTCCGGGAGCCGGGGGATCCAATGGTGGCGTGGGAAGGGGCCCCCGAGGGCCATCGAGTCCGGCCCCCTGCGAGGCAGGGCGGGAAGCCGCGACCCTCGGAGCCAGAGACTCGGCCTCGCCCTCCTCTTTCTCGGACAAGCTCTCGAACTCCCTCGGACCCTCCTGCGGGGCCCGAGAGGCATCGAGTCCAGCCCTGCGAGGCCGCCTCAGGCACAGGCATCTCTCTCTCTCGCCTTCGCCTTTCTGTGCTCCGTCCCTCCCAGGCAGCTTAACCTGCATCTTCCTTCTGCATCATTAAGTTGGAACAGACTTGTAAGAAAGTCTGCAGAGAAACAGAGCCTTTGAAACTCGGGCTGGACCCAGTCTCTGGAAGAGGCCTTGAGCATGTTGGACCTGCATAGCAAATTGGTAATGGGAAAAAGCTTCACCTGTCGAATTGCTGCTTTCCTGAGGCTTGTTAGAAGTGCATAAACCTATGGGGAGAGGGCAGAGAGGACCTTGGTAACTGCCTCTCCCAGGCATGGGACCTAATTCTAATTCCCAGACCAGGTCCCTTCTCAGGCTTCACCACTTCTTGGGTTTTGTTTGTATACTGACTAGAGAGCTATGTAATTCTTATATAACTTGATGGGCCACTTGAATGGCTGTGTGTCTATTATGCTGGCCTCTTTAGTTTAAATGCAAAGCAGCCCTTTTAATTATAAATCAAATTATCTTGTATCTAGTCAAGATTGCATATGTCTGAGCAAGGGTTGTACAGACTTTGGCCCCAGTGAAGCTGAAACTAAACGTTTGAAGCATTGCAGGGGGTTGGACTAGATGACCCTCAGGATTCCTTCCAACTGTACAATTCTGTGTTTATATAATTCTGTCAGTGGGTGGCAAATAACTGCAAGTGTGTTTAAGCAAAATTATGCACAGCACAAAGAATTCTGCAGGGATAGGAAAATACCTGCAGTGGCCTTTGCGCCCCCCCCCCCCCCAATATCCTGATGATTTGGACATGTATCAATCCAATTTCTGTTGTCTCTCCATTGTTATTCCCATCTTTGCAGGGATATATTTTGATGGAAGAAACATTTCTTTATATTGCATATTAGATCTACAGCTCTGATTGCTGCTAACCTTTTTATTTATTATTAATTTTGAACTAGCAATCTTGCTTTTGACCTTTGTACTTGGTACTGTTACATAAGGTATATGTGATTATCTAATACTTTTTCTAATACTTTTTCCTTGATTCTCTTCCCCTCTCCCCCACTATTTATTACTAATGTGTTTCAAGATGAGGAACAATAGAGAAGTCTGAGCATTTTCAAGGTTTCCTGAAATTTCCTCTCTGTTGAATACAGATTTAGCAACTCCCTTTAGGTCTGTCACTAATTATGTGTATAGTATTATGCATCCAGTGGTTAGACATGCAAAATGCCATCCTAGATATTTTATGCATTGGGGAGATAAGTTGGAGGTGGGTTTGCAAGCAAGATAGGCAGTGGGGGAGTGCAGGTTGTAGTTATCTCTCCTCCTGCTTCTCTTCTCCCCCTCCTACTGCCAGCTCAGCATATGTTAATAATAATAATAATAATAATAATAATAATAATAATAATAATAAATTATTTATATCCCGCCCTCCCCAGCCGAAGCTGGGCTCAGGGCGGCTAACAACAATAAAATAATACAACATTCTAAAATAATTTCATTATAAAATCATTTCAAATCAGATTAATGGCAACCATTGGGCTAGAGTTCTGTGAGAATTGCCAAAGGAAGGAGTCAGGCTGTGCCCTGGCCAAAGGCCTGGTGGAACAGCTCTGTCTTGCAGGCCCTGCGAAAAGATGTCAAGTCCTGCAGGGCCCTAGTCTCTTGTGACAGAGCGTTCCATCAGATCGGAGCCACAGCCGAAAAAGCCCTGGCTCTGGTTGAGGCCAGCCTAACCTCTCTGTGGCCTGGGACCTTCAAGATATTTTTGTTTGAAGACCGTAAGTTCCTCTGTGGGACATACCAGGAGAGGTGGTCCCCTAGGTATGAGGGTCCTAGGCCATATAGGACTTTAAAGGTTAAAACCAGCACCTTAAACCTGATCCTGTACTCCACCGGGAGCCAGTGCAGCTGGTATAGCACCGGGTGAATGTGATCTCGCAGCGAGGACCCTGTAAGGAGTCTCGCCGCGGCATTCTGCACCCGCTGGAGTTTCTGGGTCAGTCTCAAGGGCAGCCCCACGTAGAGCGAGTTACAATAATCCAGTCTGGAGGTGACAGTCGCGTGGATCACAGTGGCTAGGTCAGGGTGAGAGAGGTAAGGAGCCAACTGCTTAGCTTGGCGGAGATGGAAAAATGCCGCCTTTGTTATAGCTGCAATCTGCGCCTCCATGGAAAGGAAGGTGTCAAAGATTACACCCAAACTCTTAACGGACGGTGCTGGCACTAATTGCGCTCCCGCAAGAGATGGGAGTTGCCCCCCCAATCCCATATCGTCCCGACCCAGCCAAAGGACCCCTGTCTTCGAAGGATTTAACTTCAACCGGCTCCCACGTAACCATCCAGCCACAGCTTCCAAACATTTGATCAGTGTGTCTGGGGCCGAGTCAGGATGGCCTTCCATCAACAGTTGGGTGTCATCAGCATACTGATGGCAGCCCAACCCAAAACTCCGGACAAGCTGGGCGAGGGGGCGCATAAAGATGTTAAAAAGCATCGGGGAGAGTATTGCACCCTGAGGCACTCCACACACCAAGGAGTGGCCCAATGACAATCCCCCCCCCAAGCGCCACCCTCTGTCCCCGACCAGAGAGAAACGAGCGCAGCCATTGAAGGACTGTGCCCTGGATCCCCACGTCAGCAAGGTAGTCCAGGAGTTCGTGATCAACCATGTCGAAGGCTGCTGACAGGTCTAGAAGAATCAGCAGCCCCGACCCGCCTCGATCCAGCTGCCTGCGGAGATCGTCTGTTAGGGCGACCAGGGCCATCTCAGTCCCATGATCAGTGCGGAAGCCGGACTGGAATGGATCCAGAGCCGATGTTTCATCCAGAAACCCACCAACCGCTTTCTCAATCACCTTACCCAGGAACGGAAGATTCGAAACTGGGAGGTAATTGGATAGATCTAAGGGATCTAATGATGTTTTCTTTAAGAGCGGGCGCACCACTGCCTCCTTCAGTTCCCCTGGGAATGTCCTGGTGCCAAGGGACAAATTGATGATATCCCCCAGGGGGGCCCGCACCTCGTCTGGACACGCTCTAATCAGCCAAGACGGGCACGGGTCGAGAGGACAAGTGGTGGGCTTTCCAGCTCGGAGGAGTCTGTCCACATCGGCTGGGGATATCCAGTCAAAGTGGTCCAATACTGGACCCGAGGACAGTCGAGGGGCCTCCATTTCCTTTATTGTATCCAAATTGGCAGGGAGGTCATGGCGGAGCAACAGGACCTTCTCCGCAAAAAAGCTCGCAAATGCCTCACAGCTGTGTGTCAAATTGTTATTTAAATTTGGCTGTCCTTCGAGGGACGTTAAAGACCTAATTATACTAAATAATTGCGCCGGGCTAGAGCTAGCGGAGGCAATGGAGGCCAAGAAGCAGGACTTCTTAGCGGCCTTCACTGCCATCTTGTAGGTTTTCATAAAAACCCAATAAGATGTTCTTGAGGCTCCATACTGCCATACTCGCTCTAGCCGTCTGAGGTCCCGCTTCATTTTCGGTAAACCAGGGAGCCCGGCTTCTGCAGGGTCGCAGAGGGTGCTTAGGTGCGATCTCATCGATGGCTGCCAGGAGCTGGGTATTCCAGCCCTCAACAAGCTCAGTCAATGAGTCGCCAGGGGGAGCAAGGTCCCGCAAGCCTTGGCGGAATCTATCAGGGTCCATCAGCCTCTGCGGGCGAGCCCAAATCAGCTCGCCACCTAAGCAGGGTGGGGGTGGAAAGTCAATCCTGGCTTTCAGAGCATAGTGATCAGACCATGGCACCTTTGTCGAAGGAGACATGATCACATCTATACCTACGCCAAAGATCAAATCCAGCGTGTGGCCTGCTTGATGTGTGGGGCCCGAAACAAACTGGGAGAGCCCTAGTGTCGCCATGGAAGACACCAGGTCCAGAGCCTGTGAGGGGGGGAGTGGCATCAGCATGGATGTTGAAGTCCCCCAATACCAATAGGTTAGGGAACTCCAAGGCCCAGCTGGCCACCGCCTCCAATAGGCCTGACAGGGTGGCTGCTGGTGCGCTAGGTGGCCGGTACACCAGCCAGACAGCCAAGCTCACCTCAGAGCCCCACACTAGGCCAACACATTCAATGCCGGGGATCGATGGCGATGGTAGAGCCCTGAAAGAACAATCTTCCCGGATTAATCATGCCCCCCTGGCCCACAGTCCGCGACTGGTGGAGGACGGAGAAGCCCGCGGGCGCCATCTCTCGTAAGGTAACTGTTTCCCCTTCGCGCACCCAGGTCTCTGTTACACAAGCCAGGTCGACACCCTGTGAGGTAAAGAAATCTCGTAGGGTGGCGGTTTTGTTGCCTATAGACCTGGCATTGCACAGCACCAGTGACGGAGGTGAGTAATCCTTGCTCACCCTACCCTCGTCCCTCGGGATGGGGTGCAGATTGGAAGGGGTACGAGCATATCCGTATCTCGATCCCCTTCGCCTATAACATCTGCCCCCACCGCCATACCTCCCTCGCCCCTCCACGGTAGCAGTCCCAAGCCTCATGCTAGCCTCCATTGATGGCAATTGATGTTATTCTTTCCCAGCCTAGTTATTCTGCTTATAGTATCAGCAACTCGATAACTCTAATTAGTCGAGTAGAACAAACCAGCTACACATCAGCTACCTCTCTGATTGTATGAAACTATTATATTCTTTGTCAGCCTACTATTATAATATTAGGCAAACCAATTAATTAAATTAAGAAATTGAAAAATAAACCCCAAAACATTCCGTAGCGAAACAAAACTACCATATAACATACATTAAGGGGGAGGGAAACACCTAAATAGCATCAAACACCTAACAGTAAGCAAGCAAACACCTAACAGTAAGCAAGCAAAACTTAAATATTATCATGAAACAATGAACTATAAAAAACTAAAACAAATGGCAAAGGAAGGGGGGAGGGGGGAAAGGAAAGAAAAAAGTTATTGTAGCAGACGAAGTTCTTGTAGCATCACGCACCAGCTCGAGTCTGCTCGAATGATCTCTGAATGATCTCTGAATCTGCCAACCTGAACAACCAGGCGACAGCGGGGGGTGGGCAGAGGAAGGTGGGGCAGGCTCAGTAAATGCCCTGTTCGATGTCAATGCCGTCCCCGATGGTCTCAGGGGGCCCTCCTCTTGCTGTTGCGCTAACACTTGTAGTGGCAGAGGAAGTGTTCCTCTTGGCATCAGGAGTCCTCTGGTTTCCCCCACTGCTGGTGTTCTCAGGGCCACAGAATCATACCTCTCCTCTGCTACAACCAGCTGCCAGCCCTGTGGCTTAAGAGTCTCTGGCGTCTTGAGGGTGGACCCCCCCCCCCCGGCTCCCTAGGTGCCTTTCAATTGAGTCTATCTTGACCCAGGCTCCATGCCGAGTACTCGACCAGTCTGTCTCAGTCCAGGAGCACCGCTGGCATGCAGGGCAGCCGGACCCACAAGTGGGAAGACAGAGCAGGCACACAGCGCAGTTGGACCCACAAGCCAGGAGGGCAGAGGCAAGCACAAACGGAACACTCCTGCAACACAGCTTCACCTCCCTTAGTTCATTTAAAATGCCGAGTCAAAGCCTGAGTCAGAGTCAGTTTGGGAAAAGTTCAGGAGATTAATTAAATTGTTTAGAGTTACGAGTCCTTGAAATAAGCTGGGCGGCGGCTGTTAAGCTGTTTGACTTCGTTAGATCTAATTTACAGCGCCAACTTCCCAAGTTCTCTGATATAAAACCCCAGGTTGCCAAACTTTTGATAAGAAGAGGGTTAAAAGATTAAAAAGTTAAAATGTTGAAAAAGTTAAAAGGAGTAGGAGCCCCCAACATCTAATTGAGGAGCTCTAACAGGAGCGTCTTACCTCAACACCATCTTGCAAGTACCAGGTATCCACCTCTCAAAGTTGCATTTACTGGAAAGTTTCTTTGCCCCTTCAGGTCATCAGAACGCCACTGTGACTGTATGAATATCTGTATATCTATCATCTATCTCTCTGTTTTCTATTTTTCTATATATCAAATATCAGTCAATACAGTGCAGCCCAATACAAAGGAAAAAGGAGGAGAGGAGCTTTGGTCTGTTCTAATGAAACAATTACGTCAGTCATTTCTGTCTTTGAAAAGTGTCATGTTAAAGCTTCCAGTGAGAGAGAACCCATGTTTTTTAGTTACTGCATAAGAAATAAAACTTGTCTAAATAGCATAAAGATTTTTCTGCCTCTTGAATTTTTCTACACAGTCAAAGGTTGACAACTTTATTTGTCCATGACTGCCAAGTCCCAAAGTTTATGATACCAGAGTTGCATAAGGTCGGTGTCACAAGTTCTCCAGAATCTAGCTGCTGTGAGCTTTTTTGCAATATTTAATTATGTGGTGACCCAAATCAAAAAGAGAGAGGGAGATAATTTTTGGATGACCTATTTGGTTATTCACTCAACTTTGCGAAAGACCTGTAACCAAACTTGTTTGACTAGGGCAGTACAACCAGAGGTGAAAAAATGAGCCAAAGCTGCTACCATACCTCCAGCAGTTTGTAGTGCGTAGTCGTTTTGTAATTTTATTCAAAGAGAAAGGATACATACACCAACGATATATGATTCTATGATAAAAGACCTTGGATGCAGTTTCACTGAAACTAATGTCTACTGAATTATCTTCACAAATAAGGTATCTCAGGCATACCCTTAGTATGTTTTTCTGCTCAATGTTTATGCACTGTGTTATGACTTCATGATATATACAAACCAGGGACAGTTGCATCAGCACCTGTCCTGGCCCTTTTCTTCTACTTTGGAAAAAATACTAAAAATTATCAGAATATTGATAGCGACAACAATGGATATTTCCCTGTTAGAAGTTTCTATTGATGATAATTCCAGACTGAATTCTCTGTGAAAGAAATGAACCATGATTGTCTTTTCATAAGGTAAAGGGACCCCTGACCGTTAGGTCCGGTTGTGACTGACTCTGGGGTTGCAGTGCTCATCTCGCTTTATTGGCCGAGGGAGCCGGCGTACAGCTTCCGGGTCATGTGGCCAGTATGGCAAACCAGAGCAGCACACGGAAACGCTGTTTACCTTCCCGCTGGAAGGTACTTACACTTTGATGTGCTTTCGAAGTGCTAGGTGGGCAGGAGCAGGGACCGAGCAACGGGAGCTCACCCCGTCGCGGGGATTTGAACCGCCAGCCTTCTGATCGGCAAGTCCTAGGCTCTGTGGTTTAACCCACAGCGCCACCCGCGTTCCTTTGTCTTTTCATACTGGGCACCAATTATGGAAAAAAATAGATTGAAAGAGTAGCATGTATGCCTTGGTCTTTTGACTCATATTTTTGTAATTTTTGTGGATTGGAATGTGCGGCACAAAGCTTTTAATGTTGTTGCAAAAATACTTTAAAAAACTGAATAGAGTTAATATCACAAATGGGTTTATCAGTAAGCTATGGTTGTCCACAGTTACCAAAATATACATACTAGCAAAACTGCCTGTGCGTAATGTGTGAAATGCCCTATTGGATAAATGAGCTTACTTGTATTAATTTAAAACACTTTACAGTGGTACCTCAGGTTACATATGCTTCAGGTTACAGACTCCGCTAACCCAGAAATAGTGCTTCAGGTTAAGAACTTTGCTTCAGGATGAGAACAGAAATCGTGCTCCAGCGGCGCGGCGGCCCCATTAGCTAAAGTGGTGCTTCAGGTTAAGAACAGTTTCAGGTTAAGTACGGACCTCCGGAATGAATTAAGTACTTAACCTGAGGTACCACTGTATTCATTTTTTCCAAAAAAAGAATAAAAAAGAATGTCAAAGTCAAAAGGCATATTTACAATATTACATTCATGAGCATCATGGTCTTGGAATTGATTAATAATTTAACAAAGTTTAAAGAAAAAAGGGGGGGGACCCCAGTGTTCTTCCCCTGCTATTACGGCATTTGCAACAAATGTATTTTTGGAATTACATAAATTGCATTTCCATTCTAAAATATATCTCCAGTTGCCATGAAAGACTTATTTGCTTTTATTTGCCTGTACCAAAGCTGCAACTTAAGATATGGCCTTCAATGAAACTAATTGCACTACTTGAGTATGGAAGAAGTCTGATATCCATTTGGAAACCATTGGAATCTTGCTCTTAAGGGAATACTTCCTGCTGTTCTTTGCTGTTTCCAACTATAATTGCTCTATGATTTAGTGGAAGTGCATATCCAGTTCAACTTATTTCTTAATTGAATTATTTCTTATTTCTATATTTCCATCCAACAAACCTTCATTTTGGAACAGTGTTATTCCTACAGTTGTTTCCATCAGTTTCCTTTTTTTATTTTGTAGATTTTTCTGACAAAATGTTATATCACTGGTATTTTTTCTTAATTTTCTCGGAAGACACCACTTTGTGTTTGGCAATTGCTTTCTCTCTGGTGTTTTTGTTAATATTTAGAAAGTACAAATATAGAAGACACTATTGTAAAAAAAAAATGTTTTCCCCAAATAGTTTTCCATTTGTCATTAGAAGTTGCCACCAAGGTGACAAATAAAAACTTAAAACAATCAATGTTTATTATCCAAACTCTGTGAACTGTAATATTCATTATGCTGTCTATGGGTTACATTAAAATGTCCCCTTCCTAGGCAGTTAACTTGCATCAGGGAACGGAACCTTTGGCTCCAATCCTGTGCATTGCACAAGATGATAGATTGTATAACTCAGTTTAAAAAGAGTGAAAACGGTGAGGAGTGTGTATGTGAGGAGAATCACTTCTTTTGTTACGATTTGTTGAGTGGATCCATACATGCATTCTGTTGTATCTTCCTATATTCATACTGTGTCCCAGGCTTAATAATTTGCAAAATGTATTCAAACTGTAATTCTTATTTCAGCAGAAGGAGCCATATCCAATGCTACTATTATTCTGCTAGCACAGCAGATTTCTACTGAAAGTAAACTTTCCCTCTTCTCCTCTCTTTCTGGCAGTGCCCCATGACCACTCAGAATCTGCTCCAAAGGGTTGGAGAACCCTCACAGTAGATTGAGGGTGTGCAGGGAGCTCCTGTTATGTCACTGCAACATTGGAATGTATCATATAATCCAATATTCCTTATTTGCCCTCCCCTCCTTTTTAATATCATAGTAAGTATTTCAGTAGGATTGCTCATCTTCTTTTCTGTTTTTAACCAGCGGGGTTTTTTCGTTTCTGTTTTAATCAGGCTATACACTGTTTAATTGAAGGGGCATAATAATCCAAAACTACTTGTGAGAGAAGACACAAAGATCATAAACTTTTAAATAGATGCATCTTGTTTCAAATTAAAGTTGTTTGTAGAATCCTTTCCTCAGGTTTCTTTAGAAAAGAGAACTGGTGTATTTTTTTGGGTGGGGGAGGGAATATTCATAAAACATTCATTTTCAAAACTGCAGTCTTTCCGGGAAACTTGTGAGAATGGCAGTGTGCCAGGAAACAGGGAATTATATTCACGTATAAATATGTACAATTTTTTTGGCAAAGGGTGTTTAAGGAGATAACAGAAATCACTGGATTAAGCTGACCAAAAGTCCAGAGGTGGCTTTATTGTCAATTTACGATGGGGTGGAAGGTTCGCAGGCTAGGAAGGGCTTGCTCACAAATTTATTGACAGCTGCACGAGTTTTTATAGCTAGGAAGTGGAAGGGGTAAGCAGAATATAAAATGGAAGAAGTGGGATATAGCTATTAATGATAAATTAATGTGTCATTAACGTAAGACAGAGAATATGCAGGAGAAATGATTTTGAGGAGATATGAATGGTGTTTGTAGAATTTGTACTGTTAAAATGGAAAGGGGTCAAGCCATCGCAAGAGGTGCTGAAATTCTGGGAGGTTGGATAGTTACAGTGGAATGGTCTCGGTGATGGGGTGCATATTTTTATTCTTTTTTATTTATGATTATTACTTTGTCAAAAAGAAAAAAGTGGCAGTTTTCATAATTGTCTTATGATTAACTTGGAATGTTTTTGTTTTATGTCAGGAGGGGAGATAAATGCTTAGGTGTTTGATTTTGGGTTGCATGAAAATCCCCATGTCTTACTATTTATTTATTTTTTTAATCTACCTTCTTTAACTGTAGCTTAAAATAAATAATTATAATGTAGAATGGCTATCTTCCAGTTCTGCTGCATGCGGCTTTAAATTATTAGGAAAACTTGGGAGATTAGTGGTGTACATCAGAATAAAACTAATGTACATTATATTTCCTCCTCCATGTTAATAGTTCCTATGATTCAAAATGAGTTCTGAGTTTTTATTTCACCCCGTAAGATATAATATATATTCAAAACCGTATTTAGATTCCTTAACTTGTGCTCAAGACACAAATTCCAACTTCTGCCCAAGTAACTACGGTGAAATATCCAATTCAGTACCGGTAGGTAATTTTTCTTTTTCTGTATAAAAATTAGATGTGTTGTGGTGATCATGGCAATGAAAGGAAACCATATATTTATTTTTTGGCTAGAATTCCAAGCTTGAATTTGGTGATGTTTTGATAATTTGGGGTGGATTAACCATCACATTGCTCTGAATTCCTGCAGATTTTGCAGTTCTGAAATAGTAGAATAGCAAATGTTGGGATGCAGGATGCAGCAACCATTGCCCTCTGTTTACCAGTATTTTGCTGTCTAATTTTTGTTCTTTAGCTCCTGCTCTCCCAATAGCTTCCTGCAGCATCTCTGTGTGAAGTAAAGATAGGGCACAGAGTATAAACTAAATAACCCAATAGCACAGTTCAGTCTTGTAGCAAGTCCCTTTGCATTCATTATCTCTTAATCCATGCTAAGTATATTTGGATTGGAACCCAAATAGTTTATTTCATGCAAAGACCCCCTTTTTGTTTATATGCCAAATTCTATCTCAGCAGCACTCAAAAGCGGCATATAACATGAAATACAATTGTATTTTGCTGATGTGGTTGTTTCTTACCTACTGGGGGGGGGGACAGGTTACAGCTAGCAATTGCAACACCTGAAACTTAATCCAAAAATTTAAAAATATATACATTTATTATTTTGTAAATATGTATTTTTATTTATTTATTGTTTGTTTGTTTGTTTGTTTGTAATGGCATGCTGTTTCTGGGCATGGTTGCATCTGTGTATTTGTGGATTAGTAGAAACTTTTGTGCCTCTATTCTCAAGAAGCAAGCAGCAAACTAACTTTTGTGCTGACTTCATGGAAATAAATACCTTCATGGTACTGCAGATTTTGAACTTCAGGGACCCCCTCCCACATGGACCTGCCTGTTTTCCCTAGAGCTCCAGTGTGCTGCAGAAGACCCCGGGGTGCGTTGTAGGCTGCATAAGAGTTCCCAGGGAGTGCTTATTTCCTAGACTTCATCCTTGCCCTGTGAACTTACCCAGTGTGTGTTCCTATCTCCACAGTTACACCTTAGATAATAATGTTCTAAGCCCAGAGCAAAGGGATTTCTATGAGGAGAACGGCTATCTCGTCATAAAAAATCTGGTCTCGGATGAGGATGTTGAACATTTCAGGTAAACTGTAGCCATGTGTCCTAATCACATATAGTGAGATTGTCTAAAACAAGTATCTTCAACCTTTTCAGACCCAGAACTCACTTTTCACCCAAACATGCATTCAGGACCCATTTCTTAATCTCTTTTTCCATAGCTTTGCAGGGTGGTACTGCTCCTGTTTCAACCCCCCTTGGGTCAGTCTTGACCCCCCCCCCGTGGTACTTGACCCCACCCCCAGTGGTTTAAAACACACTGGTTGCAGTCCAGAGGTCTCTCTTGAGGTGTGCCCAAGAGCTTGTGTTTGGCAAGCAAGACCTGAAGGCCACAGGAAGGGCCCCACTCCAAATGAAAATTCCCCCTGGATTTACAAGAACATCCAGCCAGTTGATTCGAGCATAATTCACTTCTCGCTTATAAATATACACTCAAAGCCTCACAGAGAATGAGTTATGTGGATCTCTAGTTTCGAGTTCTTACCCATAATTTTGCACCAAGGTGTCCCAACTTCATACCAAGTCGGCTGCAAGAGTACCCTCTGCCCACACACTGCTTTGTCATGGGGGGCAGGGAAGCAAGGCCAAAATTTCACACCCCCCCCCCCCCCAGATAAGCTAGGTGCTGGACTTCAGGAAGGAGGCACAAGGTATAGAGCTTTCCCACCTCTTTTCCAAAGCTGGGAATGTGCTAACCAGGCTTTGGGAATGAGGTGGGAGGACTTTAGGACCCTGTCTGAACCCTTACGCCTTCTTCCCACAGCCCAAGGCCTCTCTTACCTGAGTTTGGAAAGGCAGTCCAAGGGCTCCCCAAAAGAGCCTTAAGGACTGCTTGTGGCCCTCAGGCTACGCTTTGGACAGCCTTGTTTTGCGCAATGGAAGTATCCAGTTCATTTAGCAAGGGCAATAACATGGTTAAATAGCCTAGTAAACTTTGCTGAAGTAAATTTTTTAAATTCCCTCTTCAGAAATGAGTTCGTGAAGATCTGCAGACAGGAAGTGATCGTCCCTGGACTGGTGATCATGAGAGATGTGTCAATTGCCAAGTCTGAATTTATTCCAGATCAAAAAGCAGTTTCAAAACTACAGGATTTCCAGCGTCATGAAGAGCTCTTCAGATATTGCACATTGTCTCAGGTTAATTTTTTTAAAAAAAGAATATCCTGAAGACCACAAATAATCTGCATTTTTTTATATGTGGTCCTTCACATTATATTAATTCGGAAGAAACTTGTAATCTCTATATACAGTCTCCATAGCCTGATCTAAGGATGTTGCACTATGCTGCTCTAGAAAATCGCTGCCCAGCTCTTTAGCCACAGGCAAAGTCTTCACTAAATAGACACCTTCGTTATTTAGGTTACTAGCATAGTATGGCATTGAATAGCACCATCTATCAAAAGTTAAGAGACCCTGAGGATGAAATGACACATGATGCCAGAGGCCCGTGACTTTTTCATAATTATTGCTTAGTTCCTGTCCATTTCAATGGGATATGCATAGGGAGACATTGCTGGTGGATTCTATCAGTAACTTGGATGATGGCAGTTTTTGCACAGGGCAGCGATTTTGCATAAAACTGTTTGCTTCTTCAACACTGGTGTATCGATCATGCGTATTCACTTGAGCCTTGCCCGTGAAATATAAGGGGTAATATATTTTTAGCATGTTTAAATATGCATCTCTCTTCACCTTAGATATTGAAATATGTCGAATGCTTCACAGGACCAAACATCATGGCTATGCACACCATGTTGATAAATAAGCCTCCGGATTCTGGTAAGAAATAATTGAACAGAGGAGAAATAAAATACTCTGTTCAAGAATGCAAGCATGTATTTAAATATTAGCAGACTTGTCCTTTTTTCTTTTTCTTCTGCAAGGTCCTGTAGGTATCATTAGTGAGTTATCTGCTGTGATGCAAGTCTAAATGAAAATATATACCACTAACATGGCTAATATACATCAGGTTTGGTATTGATACACTCTAAACAATGGGACCTTTTTTCCTGTTTATGGCTTTGTTGCTTCAAGATAATCTGTGAGCAGGGACAAACCTAAAAGTGGAAGTGGCACGATTTTCTCTCTTGCTGCCATCTTCCTCTTCCCCATGTCTCTCCCCATAGCTTGATTTCATTAAATGGCATGTTGCATATCCTTCTCCAAGTCATTGGTTTGCAATCCTTTGGTGCCTTAGGGACTTGTCAGCCATTTCAGTTCAGTGCCAAGGATTCTGGTGTCTTTGTTTTCTCAAAGTGTATGCAGAAGCATACTCTGTAGGCAGTAAACACTAGTTCACAAAATTTAGCGATATGGAGGGCCAAGGAGGGTGCATCATCATCATCATCATCATCATGGGTATTATTTATACCCTGCCCATCTGGATGGGTTTCCCCAGCCGCTCTGGGCGGCTCCCAGCAAATTATTAAAATACAATAATTCATCAAACATTAAAAGCTTCCCTATACAGGGCTGCCTTCAGATGTCTTCTAAAAGTCAGATAGTTGTTTATTTCTTTGACATCTGGTGGGTGGGCGTTCCACAGGGCAGGCGCCACTACATTAGGGGTTTGTGGGGGGAGGAAGAGCCCCACTGAAATGGGCTATAGATCTTTTGAAGGAAAGAACGAAAATAAGTTGGACACTATTGGGAGGAGGATCTACTTGCAGAAGGAGAAAATGTATATATTGTATATTTTTGTCATTGTGAGCTGCTTTGAGGCCTGGTGAAAAGTGGGATATAAACATTTGTAAATAAATAAATAAATAAAATAAAATATTAAAGGACATGGCAGCTGGTAAGGAGCCCCTGGATGCAATCCCATCTGGGTCACTTTCAGGGCTGCTGTCAGGAGGGAACATCTTGGCTTTCAGATGTCCCAGTCGCCCACAAAATGAGCTCCTGGGTTTTAGCTCTAAGCAGTGGCAACTTATGCTAGTAAGGTGACTCAGGTAAAGAGGGGTAGATTAACTGGATGAGGAAATCTATGCATAGCTCCTACCATGCCATCACTACGATAGATGAACGTGTATAGCCATTGCCAGCTTAAATCCAGAAATACCAGTCCTGGTTCGAGTCTTTGAATGCCACTGGAGGTGTAGCCGAAACTGCATGAGAGGTATTGGTAGACTCTGGAGAACAGAGGGTTTCAGAGACTTTAAAAGAAATTGGTGGAAGGTGGGATGAGGGGGGCAAAACTAAAAAATAATTCAGTGGCAAGGAATGTTGGCTGCCCGAATGGGAGAAAAAATGAGAACCAGGTGGGAGCGGAACAGTTGGACTCAGGTATACAGATAATCTCATTCTGTATTGGTCACTTCTGCATCACACTGAGAATCTATTTTTAAATGTCCTGAGGGATGGAAGTTGGAGCCACCCATGGACATTGTGGAGAAAGTACAAGGTGTGACCGGAAAGTCTGGTGAATGATCGCAGAAATCCGACAGCAAGAAATACTCGAACATACATACCTTACAGGCCTTCAAAGTAGGCCCCTCTGATACAATGCATCATTGACAACGTTCATAGAACTGTTGGAAACTTCTGGAGAAGTCCTCTTTTCATACGGCTTTCAGTTCCCTCGTCACAGCAGCTTGGACGTATGAAATGCTGGAAAATCGGTGCCCTTTCAGTGCAGATTTCAGTTTTGGAAAAAGAAAGAAATTTGGTGGAGCCAGATTGGGAGAATATGGAGGGTGGGACAACTCAGTAACCTTAGTAACGATTTCACACAAAATATGCAGTCGTTCCACCATCATTCGGACAGACACACGCTGATCCCACATCTGCTAAACCAAGGGTCATCTTTGATGGTTTGCCGCCCTTCACGGAAAGGCTTAAACTACTCATGCACTGTCTTTCGAGTTACAGCTTCATCTCCGTACACAATTGTGACCATTTTGTGGGTTTCCAATGCCGATTGTATGTTCGAATATTTCTCGCTGTCCAATTTCTGTGACCATTCACCAAACTTTCTAGTCACAATTTGTAAATCATTTAATGTAGCTTATTCCACACCTGCCCACAAAAACAAGCCGAAATGTAGCAATCGTCTAATTGAGTGTGGTTTAAAACATGCCCACACACAACAGTGCTATTGCAAATCCCAAACAGATGTAGTTCACTTTTCCCATATTGATGGTTGGATGGATAATGCATTATAGCAGCTTTGTGGTGTAGCCAGTTGAGCATCTTACAACAGTCCTGCCATGTTAATCCATTGTTTTTTCCTCCACTTTGTGGATTAAGCGAAGAGAGTTGCGCACAGCTGCACTGCAGTGTAATTCACTGTTAGAACCCTATTGCAGACATGAGGACTGTGCTGTGAGTAGTTTAACAGCAGTCCTGCCACATAGTCCACTGTTAATATTGAAGGCCAGAGGCAGGGCTACTTCAGTCTGATCCTAGGCAAAATCCAGAACTCAGCTGCGAGCATCAACTTCACATTTCATTGACTTGCAGGTAGACTAGATGTTTTTTTTTGTTGTTTTTTTTTAAATAGCACACAAAGAAAAACAAGTTAGTGCAGCAAGTCCTGTTTTGGGTGCTAACTTTTGTTCTGTAAACCCCCAGCTACAGCCTCAGGTAAAACACACACGGCAAGGCCACACTGTGACATCTTGTTGTCTCATTGTGCTTGTATTTACTTACCATATTTTTTGCTCTATAGGACGCACTGGACCATAGGACACACAGGACCATAGGAGGGGGAGAACAGGAAAAAAAATTCTCCCCCTCTCTGCTCAGCGCCCCTTCAGCGAAGCGGCAGGAGAAACGGAGCCCCTTCCATTTCTCCTCCCACTTCACTGAAGGGGCGCTGCGCAGAGAGGGAAAACTGTGCAGCGCCTCTCCAGTGAAGCGAAGCCTGGAGAGCAAGAGGGATCGGTGTACACCGACTCCTCCCGCTCTTCAGGCGGCTATCCGCAAGCCTTCTGAGCGCAGCGAGAACTCCCGCTGCTCTCCGAAGGCTTGCGGATAGCTGCCTGAAACCCCCAGAGCGCAGCGGCAGTTTGCGCTGCGCTCCGGGAGCTTCAGGCTTCTCCTTTTAGCCGCGGGGCTGGGGCAGGGGAAGCCCAAGCTTCCCCCGACCCCAGCCCCCAGAACAGGTCGGGGAGCGGCAGTCCCTTCTCCCTCTTGGGGAAAAAGCCTGCAAGAGCCGCGCGAAGCTTTTGTGCGGCTCTTGGGGGCTTTTCCTGCCTGCCTCCCCCCTGCATTCACTCCATAGGACGCATAGACTTTCCCCCTTAGTTTTTAAGAGGGAAGAAGTGCGTCCTATGGAGCGAAAAATACGGTAACTAATTCTGCATCTGTACTATGAAAGCTAATACAAATAATTGTTGCAGGAAAGAAGACCTCTCGCCATCCAATGCACCAGGATTTGCACTATTTCCCATTCCGGCCTGCAGATCGCATTGTTTGTGCCTGGACTGCCATGGAGAAGATTGATCGCAGAAATGGATGTCTGGTAGTTTTGCCAGGAAGTCATAAGGGGTCTCTGAAACAGCATGATTATCCTGAGTGGGAGGTAATTTCTTTATGACTTCATCACAGGGAGGGATGGAGGATGGAAGTATCTGCAAATTTGGAGGTAGCCAATAGCAGTTTTGCTAACTGAGTGGTATTTTCAGTGTCCTTATAATTAAAAGGTACGGTAAAGGTACCCCTGCCCGTACGGGCCAGTCGTGTCCGACTCTAGGGTTGTGCGCCCATCTCACTTAAGAGGCCGGGGGCCAGCGCTGTCCGGAGACACTTCCGGGTCACGTGGCCAGCGTGACGAAGCTGCTCTGGCGAGCCAGCACCAGCGCAGCACACAGAAACACCGTTTACCTTCCCACTATAAAGCGGTCCCTATTTATCTACTCGCACTTAGGGGTGCTTTCGAACTGCTAGGTGGGCAGGAGCTGGGACCGAAAGACGGGAGCTCACCCCGCCACGGGGATTCGAACCACCGACCATACAGTTGGCAAGTCCTAGGCACTGAGGTTTTACCCACAGCGCCACCCGCATCCCGGGCTATAATTAAAAAGAGGGCATTAAATTGAGATGAATGGGGAGCCAGTGGATTTGAGTTACATTCTGGACATCGGGAGTAGGAAAAGCAAAGGCAAGAAAAATTAACTTACATGTTTGGGAAAACCAGCAAGGTTTAGAATGTCCCACCAGGTGTGGGGAGGGCCACGAGCTCAAAGGGCTTAGACAAAACGAATTAGACAGGCTTCTCAAATGCTGTGATAGGAAGCTAGAACATCCATGTTTGGTTGCAGGATGCATCTCCCAAGAGGCAAGGGAAGAAAAGAGGCAGGAGGGCCATCAGCTTCACATTCAGCTTGTGAATTTCTCAAGGACCACCCTGTCCTTTGTTGGAAATTGAATCCTGGGCTACATAGGCCTTGCTCTCATCTAGCTATATAAACCTTTTGTATGAAAAAAGTTCTAAAAGTTTTTGAAGCTTGGATGATTGAAAACATTAAGCTTTTTAGGAAAAATAAGTTAATTTTATACATTGAACTTCCAGGGTGGTGTAAACAAGATGTACCATGGAGTGCGTGATTATGATAAAACTATTCCAAGGGTTCACCTTGCTATGGAGAAAGGAGACACAGTGTTCTTCCATCCCTTGCTAATCCATGGCTCTGGAATGAACAGGACTGAAGGGTTTCGTAAGGTAAGATGCCATTTAAGGTTGCAGGTGTTGGAACACCTGGATTATGCTGCTCAAGCAAAGTCAAGTCAAAGCTTCCCCATTTTCTTAATTAACATTTGATGTTTCTTAATCCTCCTGTTTAATTTGTTTTTGAGAGTGACTTACACCTACATATTTTTAGTTTAAAGCTGGTATAAAAAAGTAGTGAAGTGCTTACAAAGAGAAAAAAGTAAATAATGTGGGTCTTTTTACAGGCAATTTCTTGTCATTACGCAAGTTCTGACTGCCACTATATTGATGTGAAAGGTACAACTCAAGAGAACATTGAGAAAGAAGTTGTGGAAATTGCAAGAACAAAGTACGGTATAGACTCGCCTATTCCCCTGAAGGTATTGTTTGTGAACGTCCTTCATCAAAAACTTTTCACGTCATACGTCTGACATAATGGTATTGGGAATAATTATTCCATTGGTGGTAGCCTACTCAGTCATGTACTTTGGTGTTGAGCAGGTCAACATATTACAATTCTCACTACCACACCACACCATTGGGGGACAAGCACTCGGCATGCCGTGTGATTTGTGTTGCTGGCAGCGAACTGAGGTGTTGCCTTGCTCAGAGAGATTATTGGATGAGTACAGAGGCCTGTAGCTAGAGCGTAAGATGTTCCTCCTCTCAATAACTTCTGCTGCACTCCGTGCCAAGAAGAGACGTTTATCGTTCTGCATGAAGGTTCCTACTGGATCCATAATCAGGACGGTGGAAAACATGCTTTAAAATGGCATTCTGTAATGAATATTGCTACTCTCTAGTTCTCTTTGCAACTGCCCTAATATATTTTTACTGATAGCTGGCATAGAAATTTCTGCAGTCGTATCAACCTGTAATACTGGTTGTACATGGAATTACATAGTAGCCGTGTAGGGGATTAAATCACCACAACCCCCCAATATGGAAAATTTTATTCAGCTGCCTCTTTGGCTTCTAAGTTTTGAGCATGCATTGCTCACCTTCTTTGAAACCATATCTCAGCCACGGTACAGAAAGTAGGAAATTGCAATGTAACCAAAATACTCTGGTTCTCTCTTCACTGAAGCTCTCTTTCCCCCTGTTGAACAGAGGATCAGCAGCTTAGGCAGAGCAGGAGGCTCCAGCCGTGCCACAGTCAGCCTCTTTGCTGCTGCTGCTGCTTTTCACTGAGATCTTGCAAAGCCTTGTACAGAACCAGAACTACTGGGTGTAGTGGGGGGTTTCTTCCATATACAGCTGTTTCTGTGTACAACAGGAATAATCTTGTGCACAAAACAAGGTTTTTCCTGTCCCACACCATAACTTTATTTCATTTTTTGGTCTTTAGGATTTTTGGATGGTGCGAAGTCGTCTTGTTAAAGGAGAGAGGAGAAGTCTGTAGAATGTTATCTTGATGCCAAGGCTTAGTTCATGAACCCAGCATATCATTTTCTAACTGGGAGAAACCATGATCCTTTGGTTGGATGTGTTCAGAATTTTTCTTGCACTGAATATTTTCAATTACTATGAAGTAAAACAGTTCTGAGGTATATTTATATTTGATAATGATGCTTAATTGAGAATTCTAGGCACACCTCCTTGGACACGCCTACTGTTCTGAGTAAACAATATTCTTAAGGGGTCGGGGTCACCAGATGTTGGGTTGAAATCACGACAGACAAGTGGTAGGTGTCATATGAGAGGCGTCTGCCGGGGCAAGCCCCGGGAACTCTCTTTTATTGAATATTACAAACATTGCCACAGGTGTGCTTGTGGCTGATTGGTTGATACAAACACAAAGCATCTTGTTGCTGATGGTTAACATAGGTACAAGGCGGGAATAGCATATGTCCATTTATCATTGATAGATCAAAGGATGAGGAATGGGGCTAGAACTAGACAGGCATGAATCCTCCTAATTAAATTATAACTAAAGATTAATATAGCATGACTAAAACAATTACTAATGATTGATCATAACATGAAAGAATATAATAATGAAGTTCCGTAGATGTGGTCAGCTATGCATTAGGAACAGACCATATTGTTTTCTTCATGAACTTGAAATGAACTGAAGAATGAGAGAATGTCTAGGTGTGCTAGGCTTGGTGTGTTTGGAACAGTATGTGCAGAAGCAGAAGCGAGACTTCCCAGAATGCAAGAGAAAAGAAACAATAGTGCTAAAAGCAAGACTTTCCCACAATGCCACAGTCATGTGCAGTAAGAGAACTGCAGAAAGAAAACTTCCCTTCACAAGAACAGTTTTAACTATTTTAATTGATGCACTTCATGATTTACTTTATCCAGTATTGAATGGTAGACAGCTGTATGATTCAACAAGGCACTGAAACAGCTGCCTTTATGCAGTGATTCAGAATGTTCCAGCCATATCCTGTATTCTTAGTAGCGTAGCATTATTTTCTCCAAACTGGGTGAATAAATGAACAAAATGGCAAATGCAGTTCCATGTAAGTTAAAGGAATATACTTTGGGGCCAAAATAACTAAATAGGAACTTCACGTATGCTGGTAGACTTCTGACTAATCAGGAAAGGGCTCTCCATTTCCGATTGCCCCATCTCGAAAGGCTGTGGCAGAGTTGGGAGCAGTGTAGAAAAGCCCCCCCCCCCAATGGCCAGAAGGCCATCTTGTGTGGTCTCCTCTCATGGTCTCCTCTGAACAGAGCTTGGCTCAGCCTCCAGCAGCATATTGAACCAGTCAAGAAAACAGACTTCTGCACCAATGGAATGCACCAATGACATACACAGGTTCTGCATAGGGGCTACATTTGTTACCTAAGCTATACAAAGCTCTAACTAAAAGCTGTGTATTAGACTGTCAAAAGCCTGTTGCAGTCAGCTTCATCAGCTTTTTAAAGAAATGACCAGTGGATTTAATCTCATTTTGAAAGTGCAATGTTACCCATATGACAGGCGCATTTTAAAAAATCAACTAAAAAGAGATTCAACTTAAATCGAAAATTAAGAAAGACAAATGACTAAACTAGAAAGTAATTACAATAATGAAAAAGAAAACCACCCTTATCATTTGGAGTTATGTGTGAAAATAATATATAAGATTGCATGCTTTCTTTGGGTTTTTTGTGTTCTCAGAGTTAATAAATAAACGTCGTGCTTCAATTAATATTTCTAGTGCTTCTTCTTTCCTTCATTTATAATACGTAAGCTTAGTTAAATACACTACTACCCAGACATGTTCATACCAGTTCAAGGGAAATAGACTTTGAAGTTTTCCATTGGAAAGCTATTTGTCTTACTGCTCTGAGTTAAAGAGTAGTCAATTCCAGTTCCAAATCTTTCTTATTAGCAATCTTTTTCAAGTACACAAGAAGAGTTGGAGGGATATTGGTTCTAGTTATATCTTTTATAACTGCAAGTACCCCTTTTCCAAAATGATAGTATTTAGGTCAGGGCCAAAAAATATGAACTAAATCATCTAAAGCTTGATGCCTCTCGTTATCTCTCCTGTTGGAGGCTGTAGATTTTGTTTAAGTAAATTCTGATCAATCTGGGGGAGGATCTCTTGAAAGCCTTTTTGGGGACAAGGGTCTGTCCACCCCCAAAGATGACAGAATAAACTTCATGCTAGTACTACACCTCAACATTGTAGTGCTGTCCTGCTGTGTGCTTTTTCCTAAAGAGCATTAGATTCAGTAGAATGGAACCCTTCCATTCATGGCAAGGGGCTTCAGTCTAGTGAGGGTTCCAAAAACAGAAGGAGGGGGAGCCATGTTTTTTGTTATTTTCCCATTCATTCTTCTATACCCCCTCTCGTGTTGTCCTGGAGGGTCAGCCACCCCCCAGGTGCAGACTTTTGGGAGGTGGGGGTGAACAAGGGGTTCTAGGGGTAAGATGGAAGTTGCAGAAGTCTCCACCCCACTTTTTCCATTTCCTTGATTTATTCTGAACATTTTGTAGATGGCCTCACCCGTTGTACAAGAGGAAGTCATTGTTCATGCTGCATGGCACACAAATGGTTCAAACTACTGGCAAATCCATGGCCCTTGCTGCTTCTGTATCTGTGATGCATAACTGTTCTGTTCCTCAACAAATCTGGATGTAATGCATGACGCATTCTTGGAATAGGGATAAATGAAGGGCCGGTTGCTTAGAGGGGAGCAATTTCTAATCCATTAATAAACATGCAGTCCTCCCTTTACAGCTGATAAAGAGTGGATCAATGTGATATATAATGTTTAAACCAAATTAAGTTCACCCAAACATCCTTTCTCAAGCTGTTGTGATTTTGATTTAGGCTGTTGAGGCCATGATATCAACATCTACCCACCTACAGAAGGCTATTTCTTATCAGCAAGCACTTTAAACATACTGTGAACAATGTCGGACACAAATTAATGTCACAGGAATTATCTATATTACCTAAACAAGTGCATTTTATGGGATTACCCAAAAGTGGTTTTTTTTAAATACGACCTCTGAGCATTGCTTAAAAAAAAAAAAAGAATATCACCACAAAGAATCTAAATTTCGGGCAAACATCACAGGTCCAGTCTCTGTGGCTAATGCACATTATAGTTCTGATATATTTTTTCTCTCCTCTGTGGGTTGAGGTAGTGGAAGTGCAGAACCATTTTCCAGAATGCAGGCCAATAAACTGAATCAAACTCCTGACAAATGAGTTTCTATCACTACTTTAGTTGCTCAAGGACATGATGTTCAGTCTGCTCTAGACTGAGTTACACTCTCCCAAAGGATCGTGTTTGCAGTTTGGCGATACTGTTGTGCCAGAGGTGGGTCAAACTTGGCCTGCGAGGCTGTTTTCTTCAAGCCCTGCCCACCTGCCATCATATGTGACATCAGGTGGAGCCTTGGGCACAGTGGGGCACTCCTGGTCATGCACTGGCAAGTGAAAGCAGCTTTGGCTCTATTGCCCATAAGCTGATGGGCAATAGAGCCGAGGCATGCTGGATCGGGTGTGGGAGCAGCTTCCCTGTGGAGAACACCCCTGCATGCCGCATGGATGGTGCTTGGAAGTCCTGACTTCAGACCGCAAGATGCCCAGTCCCCCAAGGCTTAATTCTGCAGCAAAGAACCATTGAGAAGAGCACGCCTGGCAGTACCGGGCAGCGCAAGATGGCGTTACCCCATTGGCATACAAACACTGCATTTTGCACAAGCATTGCTTAAAGGACTTCTTCCAGAGGTCAGTAGATGGTGCTCTTTTCCCAGAGAGCCCAATTAGCCACTGCTGCTGTGTGTCTTTAGTGCAAGTTCTAGTCTGGAATAGTCTCCCAATGTCCACAACATCGTGGCTCTAGACCAGATGTGTGTTTTGCAAATTACACAGAAGGGCAAGAAAGTAGGGAGAAACAAATCTTAATGGAGTAACATTTCTGAGTACGCACTCCTAAGGGTTGGTTTCTCATGTTGGCCTGGTTCCCATGGTCACATTAAACATCCTTAAAGTAACGCTAATGTGAACACGATTGTGAACAAGCAGCGTGCTGGTGCGCACTGCCGAAATTGTGCCTCACTGTTCCCCTGCTGCTGTTGCGCTTCCAGGAAAGAAGCCATACTCGGGCTTGTTGTGTGGGCTGAACATGGGCTCCTGGTTTCTTTCCTCGTCAGGCTGGGCCGTTCAGACAACACAACAAGCCAGACTTGCCTTCTTGGCAGCCGGGGAGAAGCAAAGTGGCCAGAATTTCAGCAGTCTGCAAAGGTACACTGGGCATTCACATTAAACCATAGTTTATTTTAAGTATGGTTTGATGTAACATAATTCACACATCAGAGTAAGTTAATAAAGGGTAGCATGCACAATTAGGTACTATTTGTGTACATATTCATCAATATTAAACTTAGCAGTTTACCTGGAATTCTTTTAGCTCATCTCTCTGTAGTGTGCAAATAACCTGCACAAATTAGCCTCCAATTTCCATGTTCAAAAGCAGCCAAGTTACTCAGATTAGGTTTTATTCAGAGACAGACTCCCAGCTTTGTAGTTCACATTGAGGGCATTGTCAGCAATACCCTTATGGTACACAGCTCTACTCCTTTACATCTGCACACAGTGAATGGCTTGACTGTTGTTATGCTTCAGTAGTAGACTGGATTTTTGCAGATATTAATAGTGTGCAGTTTGAAGCGACGGGATGCTTAAAAAACTGTTCCTTTTGGAATGAAGCATTGTCCAGACCCATAAGTTATTATTCAAAATTTTACTTGCAGAACTTTCTTTAAAAATAATTAAAACATCAAATGTACCTCAAAAATATGTCCAGCACAGGCTTAGCTTCTTAGAAAATATGAAATAATCCAAACAGACCGATAAGCAAAGGTCTCTCTTATTCAGAATCAATTTTTTCCAGAGCTGCTTTCCTCCCCCCCCCATAATATTCTTTATTGGTTTTCATTTGCACACTCCACATACACACACTGTATTACATTTCACACCTGCTCCCCAGAGCTGACTTCCCTCCTTCCCTCTTCTGGCCTTTTATATCACATCTAACTTTTTCGCATTGTCTTCATCCGTTTTGTATATTATTTTTCTTCTTTCATATTTGTTCATAGTCAAATAAATCCTCCTGTATATACAATTCTTATTGTCTGTCTATATCCATTTACAACTACCATTGGTTACATTAATCACATTGTACATTTTACTTTTTGTAATTTTCTTTATCCATAAATTTTCCATAAATTTTCTTTACCCTGCTTCTGACAGCAGTATACACACCCCTCAGGAAACAAGGCCAGATACGAACACGGATGGTTACGGTGTGGCCTGAGGGAGCCTCTCAGCAACTGCAGGACTGTTTCCAGGAGACCGACTGGAATATCTTCGACCATCAAGATCTAGAAACTTATACATCAACGGTCCTGGATTATATTAGATTCTGCACAGCAAATGTCACCAGGGAAAAGTATGTTAAGTTGTATCCGAATAGGAAGCCCTGGATGACAGGAGAGGTTAGGAGATTATTGAAGGCCAGAAATTCTGCTTTTAGAACTGGGGATCGGGTACCGTATGGCATAGAAAGAGCGAACTTGAAGAGGGGTATCAGGAAAGCAAAAGCGGAGTACAGAGGAAAAATTGAGGACCATCTGAGAAATCATGATACTAGACAAATGTGGCAGGGAGTTCAACATCTGACTGGTTATAAATCAAGGAATTCATCAGTGGTAGAGAATACTGCTTCCTTGGTGGGAGAGTTGAATACCTTCTTTGCCCGATTTGAGGTGACACCAACAGTGACTCCAACAGGGATGCCAGAGCTATTGGTGTCACTACCTACAGGAAATGTTGTCAGGGTGGAAGAGGGAGAAGTGAGGCAAATATTAAAGGAGGTGAACACGAGGAAGGCTATGGGCCCGGATGGGGTGGCTGGCAGGTGCTAAGAGATTGTTCGGACCAACTGGCAGGAATCTTTACGAAGATTTTTAACCAGTCTCTGGCCCAAGCCACTGTTCCACCCTTTCTGAAATCTGCTACCATTATACCCCTGCCAAAAACATCAAAGATAGACAGTCTGAATGATTTTTGCCCTGTGGCGTTGACACCCATTATAATGAAATGTTTCGAAAAACTGGTAAGGAAGCGCATCTTATCTTGTCTGCCAGTGGGACTTGACCCTTACCAGTTTGCGTACAAGGCAAAGAGATCCACAGAGGATGCTGTGGCAATGGCTTTACATGCTGTCCTGACTCATTTGGAGAAGCAAGGGAACTACGCGAGACTTATTTGTAGACTTTAGTTCTGCATTTAATACTATTCTTCTGCATAGATTGGTGCCCAAATTATTAGACCTGGGACTTCCACCATGTTTGTGCAGGTGGATATTAGACTTTCTATCAAACCGTTCCCAAAGGGTCAGGTTGGGTTCCCATGTCTCTGCGGATCTCATCATGAATACGGGGACGCGCAGGGGTACATGTTGAGCCTGCTTTTATATACGCTCTATACAGCTGACTGTGCCCCCAAATACCCCAGTAATAAGATCATTAAGTTCGCAGATGATACAACGGTGGTTGGTTTAATTACGGCTGGAGAGGGGGAGGCGGCCTATAGGAAGGAAGTTGAGCAGTGGGGGAGTGGTGCAGGAAAAACAACTTACTCCTTAACTTAAAGAAAACAAAAGAGATCATTGTGGACTTTAGGAAATGTAAATTGAATATTCAGCCACTTATTATTGAGGGGAAGTGCGTGGAACAGGTCTCGGTGTTTCGATTTCTGGGAATGGAGTTGAGAGACGACCTAACCTGGGGAGAGAACAGCAAAGACCTGGTGAAGAGAGCACAGCAGAGGCTATATTTTCTGAGAATCCTCCGGAAAAACAATCTCTCAAAGGACCTGTTGATGGCATTTTACCATTGCACTGTGGAGAGTGTACTAACTTATGGTCTGTGCGTGTGGTTTGGGAGCTGCACGGCCAGGGAAAAAACAATGCTATCCAGGGTTGTAAAGACTGCAGAGAGAATTATTGGGTGCACTCTTCCCACCTTAGATCAAATCTATGCTGCCAGGTGCCATAAGAAAGCAGCAGAGATAGCACATGACAGTACGCACCCCGGAAATGATCTCTTTCATCTTCTGCCTTCTGGAAGAAGGTATAGGGTTATAAAGGCCAGGACTAGCCGCCTGAGAAACAGTTTCTACGCTAATGCAATTCTGGTTCTAAACGCAGCATAAGGGGTCTCCGTAGTATAGTGTATTTTAAAATGGGGTTTTAGAGTTTTTAGGGATTTTGAATGTTTTATGTGGTTTTTATGTAGTTTTTATGTAGTTTTATGTAGTTTTGTGGTAGTTTTATGTAGTTTTGTGGTAGTCTTATGTAGTTTTTATGTAGTTTTATGTAGTTTTTCAATTTCATTGTTCCGCAAGGGACAATGACAATAAAGATATCGTTATCGTTATCCATAAATATTTCACATTATGAGGTTTATTTCAGTTCTACTGGTTTCACTATTTCACCTTATCCTTCCTATGTATGACATAAAATTTTCCCATTCTTTTTGAAATGTTTCATCACCCTGTGGTCGAATTTTCCCTGTTAATCTAGCTATTTCTGCATATTCCATTACCTTCTGCTGCCATTCTTCTACTGTTGGTACTTGCCACTGTTAGTGCATATGAGAACAATTTCTGGTCATTCTTAGTAATGTCTTCTCCTACCATTCCCAACAAGAATGCCGCTGGCTTTTTCAAAAACGTGTATCTAAATATCTTCTTTAATTCATTATATATATTTTCCCAATACGTTTTTACATTATCACAAGACCACCACATGTGAAAGAAACGACCTTCTTTCACCCCACATTTCCAGCAATTCTTGTTTCCTGTTTTATACATCCTTGTCAATTTAATTGGCGTGAAGTACCATCTGTACATCATTTTTAACAGATTTTCTTCTAACAAGGTACATGCTGTAAATTTTAGCCCTGTGTTCCATAATTTTATCCACTTCTCATATTCAATGTTATGGCCAACATCCATTGCCCATTTAATCATAACACTCTTGATTTCCTCATCTTTTGTGTGCCATTCTATTAAAATCTCATAAACTTTGAACATTATTTTGTATTATTCTTTAATACTGCAATTTCTAATATTGATCTTGTTTGTTCAAAACCTCTTGCTTTTTGTCTTTTGAGAAAATGCCATTCATTTGGTGGTACTCCATCCAGCTTGATAGTTTATCTTTTAGTTCCTCATAAGGCCTGATCTTAATTACGTTATTTTCTTCCAACAGTATGTCTCTATACGTTAGCCATTCTCCTTTCATGTTTATTTTTTTCACTGAGAAGGCTTATTGGGGTGACAGCCACCATGGTGTTTTCCTTTCAAACCACTCTTTATATCTCTTCCAAACTTCATAAAGTGATCAAATGCCACCCGTATCTGTTTCCAAACCCCTCCAGATCTAATATATCTGTGTTGTTCAAGCTAAACCATTCTTTTAACCATGTTACGCAAGCAGCTTCGTAATGTATTTTAAGATCCGGTAGTGAAAAGCCGCCTCTTTCCCTTTTATCCGTTAGAAGTTTAAATTTTATTCTAGGCTTCTTCCCCTGCCATACAAACCTAGAAATTGTTTTTTGCCACTCCTTGAATTGACCTAATCCAGTAATAATCGGGATAGTTTGGAATAAAAAGAGCAACTTAGGTAGGACACTCATCTTTATAACTGCTATCCTTCCCCAGAAGGATAGTTTCAGTCTATCCCAAATTTCCAAATTTGTTTTTACTTCTTTCCATGTTGTTTTATAATTGTCCTTAAATAGGTTTGTATTTTTCGGGGAGAGCCAGACACCCAAATATTTTATTTTCTTTACCACTGTTGTTTCCGTTTTGCTTTGATCTATTTGTTCCCCATTCATATTTTTTACCATCATTTTTGTTTTACCCTTGTTAATTTTCAGTCCTGCCAACAAACCAAATTCTTCAATTACTTTTAATGCTTCTGCTGTCAAGATTTGTGGTTCCTGTAATGTCAGAACTATATCGTCAGCAAAGGCTTTGACCTTGTATTATTTTTCTTCACACTTCATCCCTGTAATTCTTTCTGTCTCTCTTATATTTTGAAGTAATACTTCCAGTACTGATTTAAATAGTAGAGGTGACAGTGGGCAGCCTTGTCTTGTGCCCTTTGTGATTTGAAGACTCTCTGTCAGTCCGCTATTTATTATGAGTTTCGCAATTTGTTCTTTGTAAATTGCCTCTATACTCCTTAGAAAATTTGTACCCAGGCCCATTATTTCTAGATTCTTTTTCATAAAGGACCAAGACACATTATCAAACACCTTTTCCATGTCTATAAAAATCAATGTGGCTTGTTTATTTATTTTAGTTTCTAAGTATTCAATTATATTTACTATGTTTTGTAAATTATCTTTTAAATGCCATCTTGGTAAAAAGTCCGCTTGGTCTGGATGTATTTGTGGTCCGATAATCTTTTTTAGCCTCTGTGCTAATACATTTGTGAACAATTTATAATCGTTATTGATCAGTGATATTGGTTTAAAAAATTTTACATTTGTAAGATCCGTTCCTTGTTTAGGTATTAATGTAATAAACGCTTCTCCCCATGTCATTGGAATCTGCCCTTTCTTCATTATACTTATTCATTACTTCCTTTAGTGCAGGAATTAGTTGTTGGCTTAATTTCTTATAATATTTAATTGGTATACCATCAGGCCCTGGTGCCTTTCCATTTTCCCTTGTGTAATTGTTTCCATAATTTCTTCCTCTGAAATCAGTCTTTCTAGTTGTTCTCTTCTTTCTTGCAAGATTGCCTTTAATTTATGTTCCTCTAGGTAAGTTCTTATTTTTTCCTCATTTTCTTTGGGTGTTTTGTATAATTCTTTATAAAATTTATAGAAAACTTTCCTTATTTCTTTGGGATTATCTATTATTTCATTACTATCTTTCATTGTATTTATGAAGTTCTGCCCTTGTTTTTTCTTTAATTGCCAGGCCAGCCATTTTCCCGTTTTGTTTGCTGATTCAAAATTTTGTTGTTTTAATCGTTTAATTTTCCATTCCACTTCTTGATTTATAATCATAGATAGTTGCGTTTGCAACAATTTAAGTGCTTGTTTTAATTTTGGGTCTTCTGGCTCCCTAACCATCTGTTTTTCTATGTCTTTTATTTTATTTAATATTTCTTCTTTGTTCTTTTCCTTTTTCCTCTTAAGAATACAGTTTTGTTGCAGGAAGAATCCTCACATAACAGCTTCGCTTGCATCCCAAACTACATTAATATCAGTACCTTTATTTAAATTTAATTCAAAATATGTGTTTGTTTTTTATCTAGTTTCTCTGTATTGTCTAGCAAGCTGTCATTCATTCTCCACCTTCGCGTTGTTAAATCTTTACTTTTCCATTCCATTACAGTGGCATTATGATCTGACAGTGTCTTTGGTAAAATTTCAGCTTTCACCACTCTTGTGGTTAATTCTCGAAACTCTTAGCAAACTTTCCCCAGGCCTTTTTATAACATAAGCCATTTCAGTATTTTTCACTGTACAAAGAGAGAAGCAGAACAACATACAAGCAACAAGCTGGGCAGGGGCAAAAGTAGATTAGAAGATTAATTAAATAAACATTTGACATCGATAATGTTAGAATGAAGTAGGGGCGGAGCTTTGCCGTATGTGATGCATATAATGAATATATAATAAATCTCATTCTGACAATACAGCCAGGAAGTGTGTGTGTGCGGGGGGGGGGGGGTGTCATGTCTTATGATTCGACTTATGAAAGGCGGCTCAGTTCCTCATAGGCTCTTCAGGAGGCAAGATCTCAGTGAGGCTTCTGGACTGGGACCAGGCTTCGTTGGATCAAGGCCTCCAATCGAAACACTCAGGTATTTTGATATTATTACTATTACTACTTGGATTGTGCTCTCAACCTTCTTCTAGGCAGACACTATTGTAAATTCATAAACAGTTCCTTATTATAGAGAACAACTATGCACGCAGAACACATTTTTGAGCAGCCATTTTGTGTAGAGACTCGATTAGCCTCTAATATATGTAGCGTAACAGAAGATACTAAAAAGAACTTTAAAATTGGCCATGACCATTTTGTCATGGAGGACAAATCCTAATCACCACTATGATAATAGGGATGTGCTCAGCCCCTTCAGTTATGCTTTCCGTGATGGAGAGAGAGAAGGAGAAATAAAAAATAAGACATTTCAGACTTTTAAGGCAGTGCTTTCTAAACTTTTCATGTTGGTGACACACTTTTTAGACATGCATCATTTTGCGACACAGTAATTCAGTTTTACTGGCAAGCTCAACTAACCCCTTTCCAGCCCCAGGAGGAGCGCAGGGAGCATTCGAGTGACACACCTGCGCACTGCGGCCGACACGCCAACACGTCTGACACACAGTTTGGAGAGCTCTGCTTTAAGGTGTGGACTCTTCAGCATCTTCATCAGAGTTTGGGTCTTTATTTTTCACTTAACAAATTGGAAACTTAATTAGACATAAGATAAATTGCACGTAGCCTCATATTCACAAAATTCCATGCCTTTAACTTCCTGGCGTGTTGCAGCTTGAGAGAAGCCGGACTTTGCACATGTTCATGGGAGCCAACGGGGAGGCTGAGGTCCCTTTGGCCCCCTAATAACATATTTGAGGGGCTGCGGCCTCCCACGTGGATGGGCATTGCCCTTCAAATGGTGTGCATCATGTGCCGCATCTTGGGGCTGATGATGCGGGGCGGGGCTCATCGTTGGCCCCCCTGCGCGTGTTAAACCAAGAGGTTTTTAAAAGAGTCTTTTAGTTCCTTGTAGCAGTAATAATTCATCAGTGTCGGTGCTGGTCTGGAACCCATTTTGCGGGATGCCGCCGCCACCTGAGCAGGCGCGCCTGCCTGGCCCGGGGGGGGGGGTCTTGCGCTGGACTGCCTCAGCCCCCCAGGCCGCAGGGCGCCTCGGGCTCCTCTCCCCGACACTGCGGCTGCTGCTGCTGCTTCTGGCGCCCCGCGCCGCTCTCCTTTCGCCCGCCGACGCCTCTCCTCTCTCCCGCAGAGCCGCGCCGAGAAGGAGGCAGCCGCGAGAGCCTCGCCATGGCCGGCGCCCCCGCCTCGCTCCGGCTGCGCGCCCTGCTGCGCCCCGTCCTGCGCTCCGGCGCCGCCGCCGCGCCGCGCCCCGTATCCTTTGGGCCGAGCGGGCCGCCGGGGGAGAAGCTCCTCGTCCAGTCCGGGCGGGCGGGCGGGCGGCAATGGGGGCTGAAATTTCTCACCGTATGCCTTCAGTGGTTGGACATGCAGAATGTCATCCTAGATATTTTATACATTGGGGAGATAAGTTGGAAGCGGCTTTGCAAGCCAGCGAGGCAGCGGGGGAGCCAAGGGAGAGTCTGCCTCCTGCTGCCTCGCTTCCGCCGGGGGGGGGGGGGCGAGTGGTTCTGTGCTTGTCCTGCACTTTCTAGCCAAGGGTCTGAGCGGTTTGGCCTTTGCCTCACTGCTTTCCCCGGTAAACTTGCTCTTTGGCAACAAATTGGAACAGACGGCAATCTGCAGAAAACCAAATTCAGCCCAAAATATCATGTTTCCTGGTGAAAAGTGGCAGGGCAGACAGAGGTGTGGATAAGCCCTCAGACTTGCCTTTGCCCCACAGCTTCCCCCCAGGAAAACCTGATCTTTACAGCTGAATTGGAGCAAACAGCAATCAGAAAGTGGCTTTTCCTAATGAAAGTGACAGGACAAGGGCAAACTGCTCAGCCCTGTGCCCAAAAAGCTTGGAACAAGCAGAAAACTGCTCGGCCCCATGATTTCTCGGCACGCGACAAGCACAAGCCTGTCGCTCTTCTCTTCTTGCATTGCCATTTCCACATGCGTTAATAAGCACCAGGTTCCCAGCTCTCCAGGTTGCAATTACTGGATACTTTCTTTGCCCCAGAAAGCCCTCAGACCCCATCACGTATCAAATAATGCAGTACAACCCAATACAAGGGAAAAGGGAAGAGCAGAGCTTTGGTCTGTTCCAGTAAAACAATTACATCAGCCATGTCTCTCTTTGAAAAGTGTCCTCTCAAAGATTTCCATGAAGCACAGTAGTCTATATCGGGTTCTGTCGTTGCTGTATAAGAAATAAAACCTGTCTAAATAGCTTAAAGAATTGTCTGCGTCTTTCTACAAGCTCAAAGCTTACAGGTTCCATGACTGCCAAGTCCCAAAGTTGCCAATACCAGACTTCCATAAGGTCAGAGTCCCAAGTTCTCCAGAATCTAGTTGTTGTGAGTTTTGTTGAAATAATTAATGATGTGATTAAGGCCTGGTGGTCCATTCCAAGGCTATGATGCTCTTGACTGTAATATTGTAAACATGCCATTTGACTTTGACATTCTTTTTAAAAAAGTTTTTTATATTAATACAAATAAACTCATTTATACAGAAGGGTATTTAATGCATCACACAGAGGCAGTTTTGCCAGTATTTGTGGCTTCCAGCAGTTTCCATTTTTGTTTTGTAGATTTTTCATTACAGTGTTATATCACTGGTATTTTTTATTAATTTTCTTGGAAGACACCACTTTGTGTTTGGCAATTGTTTTCCATCTGGTGTTTTTGCTGATATTTAGAAAGTGCCAACATGGAAGGCACTATTGTAAAAATATTTGCTTTCCTCAAATAGTTTTCCATTTGCCATTATAAGTTGCCGCCTGGGTGACCTTTGGAGTTTAATAAAAACTTAACAGAGTTTTGATAACAAACATTGATTGTTTTAACTCTAATATTCATTATACAGAGTTTAGAATGCAGTCTATGTTACATTAAAATGCCCCCTTCCTATGCAGTTAACTTGCATCGGGGGAGGGAACCATTGATACAAAAGCTTGGATATAAATATGAAGAATAATTTAAGATTAATATAGTATATTTCCTCCACCATATCAATAGTTATTATGATTCAGAATCAGTTCTGAGTTTTTATATCACACAATAATATATAATAATCTAAATAAAACAAATGTAAGTTCCTTAACATGTGCTCCAGACACGATTTCCTACTTCAGCCCAATTTACTACAGTGAAATACCGAACTCAATACCAGTAGGTGACGACTTAAATTATTTCTTCTATTAAAAATAGATATGTTATGTTGATGGTGGCAATGAAAGGAAACCATGTTTAATTTCCTTAGAATTCCATCCTTAGATGTGGCGAACCTTTGATAATTTGAGGTGCATTAACCATCAAATTGCTGCCTCACCAGAGTCCTGCGGAATTTGCTATTCTGAAGCAGAAAGCTTATGGGCATGGTTGCATCTGTGTATTTGTGGATTAGTAGAAACTTTTGTGCCTCTATACTCAAGAAGCAAGCAGCAAACTAACTTTTGTGCTGACTTCATGGAAATAAATACCTTCATGGTTCTGCAGATTTTGAACTTCAGGGACCCCCTCCCACATGGACCTGCCTGTTTTCCCTAGAGCTCCTGTGTGCTGCAGAAGACCCCGGGGTGCGTTGTAGGCTGCATAAGAGTTCCCAGGGAGCGCTTATTTCCTAGACTTCATCCTTGCCCTGTGAACTTACCCAGTGTGTGTTCCTATCTCCACAGTTACACCTTAGATAATAATGTTCTAAGCCCAGAGCAAAGGGATTTCTATGAGGAGAACGGCTATCTCGTCATAAAAAATCTGGTCTCGGATGAGGATGTTGAACATTTCAGGTAAACTGTAGCCATGTGTCCTAATCACATATAGTGAGATTGTCTAAAACAAGTATCTTCAACCTTTTCAGACCCAGAACTCACTTTTCACCCAAACATGCATTCAGGACCCATTTCTTAATCTCTTTTTCCATAGCTTTGCAGGGTGGTACTGCTCCTGTTTCAACCCCCCTTGGGTCAGTCTTGACCCCCCCCCCCGTGGTACTTGACCCCACCCCCAGTGGTTTAAAACACACTGGTTGCAGTCCAGAGGTCTCTCTTGAGGTGTGCCCAAGAGCTTGTGTTTGGCAAGCAAGACCTGAAGGCCACAGGAAGGGCCCCACTCCAAATGAAAATTCCCCCTGGATTTACAAGAACATCCAGCCAGTTGATTCAAGGCATAATTCACTTCTCGCTTATAAATATAAATCCAAAGCCTCACAGAGAATGAGTTATGTGGATTTCTAAATCTATGGATGATGGGTGGTATACAAATTTAATAAATTTTTAAAAAATTATTACCCATGATTTTGCACAATAGAAGTATCCAGTTTGATTTGATTTAATTTAATTTAGAAAGGCAATAACATGGTTAAACAGCATAGCAAACTTTGCCATGAATAACTTTTTTTGAATTCTCTCCTCAGAAATGAGTTCATGAAGATCTGCAGACAGGAAGTGATTGTCCCTGGTCTGACGGTCATGAGAGATGTTTCAGCTTCCAAGTCGGAGTTTGTTCTAGATCATAAAACAGTTTCCAAAATACAGGATTTCCAGCAACATGAGAAGCTCTTCAGATATTGTAGATTGCCTCAGGTTAAAAAGGGAGCAGCCATGGGGAAGACCTGTACGAAATAGGAAACTTCATTAATTAACTTGCTAGCATAGTAAGGCAGTCATTTTCTATCAGGAACAGCACAATATACCAAAGGTTAAGTGACACCAACGGTGAAATGATGCCAGAGATGCGTGAACAGGATGTCCCATGGCTCCATATTTTTTTATAAAAGTTGAAAGCAGCCAGAGGTGTGAATTGAAAAAAACAAGCAACTTCCTCCTGGTACCAGAGTCTTTCCGTATTTCGCTCACCTCCTTAAACTGAATAAGAGATTTACACTGGGAATATGGCCTGGGAAGGAGCAAAGTATGACATCCATCACATGGTGCTGCAGTCCTATTCAAAATATGTCTTCCTCACTTCCATATGGCTGCTTTTAAATTAAGGAAGCAATACAGCAGTAGATTTAATCTGCTATTTTGTCTCGTTCAATAGATGCTTTAAGCAGAGCTTAACTTTTGCAGATTGTACCCAGTCTAGTGTACCCAGTCTAGTGAAATCAGGCATCTCTGCAGTGGTGATCACTGTGTGTGATATTTAACCAACTTTTTGTGCTAGCTCAAGCATTAGCATTAGCCCAAGGGAATTCCCCCCTCCCCCCCCCGCATGTATCCTTTCCGCCTCCACATCTGGGGGGAAACCCAGAACACATTTTGGGGAAGTGCAGAGAGAGGGCACTTCCTGATCAAGGAAAAACCATTGCTCTAATGAAACATTCACCTTAGCTCTGTGTTGACATGCTATTAATTGTCATGTTAAGTATAAATCAACATAAAGTGATTTAATTTTTTTACATGAATCTCTGTGCTATAGGAATAGGTAGCTCCAGACAGTTTACTGCTGGATGGGAGTTTAATTCCTGTTCGTTTCAATGGGATATCTATAGATGTCTCTCAGCAGTGCATAGCACTGGTTGCTGTTTCAACACTGGTGTATTGATCATGCGTATTCACTTGAGTCTTGCCCATGAAATATAAGGGGTAATATATTTTTAGCATGTTTAAATATGCATCTCATGAGAAACTTTCTTCACCTTAGATATTGAAATATGTCGAATGCTTCACGGGACCAAACATCATGGCTATGCACGCCATGTTGATAAATAAGCCTCCGGATTCTGGTAAGAAATAATTGAACAGATGAAAAATAAAATACTCTGTTCAAGAATGCTAGCATGTATGTAAATATTGTTGGACTTGCCCTTTTTCTTTTGCAAGGTCCTGTAGGTATACTTAGAGAATTAGCTACTGTGATGCAAGTCTAAACGAAGATGTATAGTTGTATACAACATGGTTCATTCTGATACACGTCTTGATTTAACTTCTCTCAGATTTTGTACTGGTACTCTCTAAATCAGAGGTGGGACCTTTCTTTTTCCTGTTTCCTGCTTTATTTCTTCTGGGTATAATCTGTGAGCATGGACAGAGCCAAAAGTGACTGTGGCACACTTTTCTCCCTTGCCATCCTCTCTTCCTCATTCCCCACCTTTCTTGCAGTCCTCTGCCTGATTTCATTCTTTAAAAGGTTTTATTCATTTTCCACTGAATATCACATGTACAGCACATGTCGCAACATACCAACCACAGTGTCACAGAAGATCAGATCTTATTCCTGAGAGTTAGTCCAAATAGTCTCTCTACTATTTGGATTGTGGTGGGTTCCTGTTACAATGTTATTGCATATATTCAAGAAACATTTGCCAAGTGTTGTAGAAAAGGTAAGGACTCAGTTTTTCTTTATTTGCATGAATTTGGTAGGTTAGTTTTTCAGCAAAGGCTATTGTCCATATCCGGGAATACCAGGCTTCAATGTTTACAGAAACTGCAGAATGCTATTGCATAGCAATTTGAAATTTCTATACACACCACTAATAGGACAAATGCTAACTGTTCCTTTTGAGAGTTAGAAGTGTCCAGAATCCCAAGTAATGCAAGTTTGGGAGAGATTTGTAGGTCCACTTTGAACATTAAACTCAGTTCTCCAAAAACTGAAGACCAAAAAGGTTAAACCTCTTTACAAAACCACGTATAGGAAGAACCCTGCAGCTCTTTTAGCTTCAGGCCCCCGTCAGCCATATCAGTTCAGTTCCAGGGATTTTGGTGTCATTCCTCTCCATAGTAGAGGTTTGTGTGGGGAGGAAGAACTCCCTGAAGTGGGATATAGATCTTTTGAAGTCAGGGCATCAAGATAAGTGGGACACTCTCATGGGGCACTTGCGTTACCTGGCAGGAGGAACCTTGCAGAATGAGAAAATGTGTGTTTTTATCATTGTGGGCTGCTTTGAGGCCTAGACGGTGAAAAGTGGGATATAAAATTTAAATTAAATTATTAAGATAGTAAAGTATATGGAAAAGTAAGGAATCCCTGGGTCCCATCTCATCTGGGTCACTTTCAGGGCTGCTATTAGGAATAGAACTCTTCAGTTGTTGCTACCAGGTGTTCCAGTTTCCTGGGTTTTGGCACTTGGCAGCGACTAGAGCAGGGGTGTCTAAACTTTTTTCAAAGAGGGGCAGATTTGATGAGGTGAACATGTATGAGGGCCGACCAAACTTTTTTTAGGATTGAAGTTGTTGAGCTTTTTTATGATTATAGCCCTGGAAATAAACTGCCACAGGGCCCGGATTAAGCCAACCGGCGGGCTGGATTAGGCCCCCAAAACAGACTTTGGACATGCCTGGGCTAGAGTAACTCTGGTAAAGAGAGCAGAGGGAGGGTGGAACATGGTTGGGACTAGGTATTGCATGTAGCTATTTGAAACCCAACCCTTATGATGGCTGACTCCTAGGATATCCCTTCATAATAATAATCGCTTAAATGTGAAATTAATCTTATATTTTGTGATGCAAATATGAGATAGAAATATTCTGAATAAAGTATCCTGTCTTACAGTAACAAAGTAAGCATGAAGGGCTTAATTGTGTCTTCCTAAATTACCTTCATACTGCTAGCCTTGCTGTTGAATGCGAAGTTGGTTTCTCATGACTGTCTTCCCTCCACTCATAAGTGACAACGCTGACTGCTGTTGGAAGGGTAGGGCTTTGTCTAATGCTAAAAGGAGAGAACAGAATTTCTGTCCAGAAGCTGCAGCCTCAGTATAAATGCCTGCACTTATATACAGACCAGTAATTCAACACCCTAAACAATAAGAGGGATTTTACATAGGGTTTCAGTGGAATTATGCTCCTGGCAAAACATTCTGCATTGTCACTCTAATGTAATTCCACCAGTATGAATTCCTAGGTATTTGTGGTACTGTACATTGTATTGTCCACTTGAAATTAAATCCAAAATTTATAGGTCATTCCTGCCATGCCATCACTACAATAGATGGGTGTGTACAGCCATTGCCAGCTTAAATCCAGAAATACTAGTCCTGGTTTGAGTCTCTGAGTGCCAGTGAAGGTGTAGCCAAAACTGCACCACCTCTACATGAGAAGTATTGGAAGATGGTGCTTGTATTTACTTAACTAATTCTGCATCTGTACTATGAAAGCTAATACAAATAATTGTTGCAGGAAATAAGACCTCTCGCCAACCGATGCACCAGGATTTGCACTACTTCTCATTCCGGCCTGCAGATCGCATTGTTTGTGCCTGGACGGCCATGGAGAAGATTGATCGCAGAAATGGATGCCTGGCAGTTTGGCCAGGAAGTCATAAGGGGTCTCTGAAAAAGCATGATTATCCTGAGTGGGAGGTAATTTCTTTATGACTTCATCACAGGGAGGGACGGAGGATGGAAGTATCTGCAAATTTGGAGGTAGCCAATAGCAGTTTTGCTAACTGAGTGGTATGATCCTTACAATCAAAAAGAGGGCTTTAAATTGAGATGAATGGGCAGCCAGGGCAACTGATATGGAACTGATGTCATATGATCAGAACACACACATCTCCAAGCTCTTGGTGACTGCATTCTGCGCCAGTAGGAAGTTTCCAAACTCTCTTTGAAGGCAGCCTCACAGATGACATTTTGTTGTTACTGGGATCCACCCATCCAGGAGACATACACAAGTCCAACCAAAGTTCTTGAGTGTCCATCATGACACAGAGGTAACTATGAAAAGTCTCAACTGGAGATCAGTGCACTTACAGGCAATTGTATCGTGCCCTCTCCACAAGTTGCATTTTCTAGAAAAGTATTTTTATTGATTTCCCCCCCATATAACCAAAATAATAAGAAGAAAAATTATGAGACAGACACATTAAAGCTAAACCAAATCAAATCAGGGCTAGCACTGGATGTTACATTCACAAGAAAAAATGATAAAGCTGGTTAGCTAGATTTTTGTGACAAATAAGTGGAGAGTACCAGCAGGTGGCGCTGTAGTCTTAACCACAGAGTCTAGGGCTTGCTGATCAGAAGGTCGGCGGTTCAAATCCCCGCAATGGGGTGAGCTCCTGGTGCTCAGTCCCTGCTCCTGCCCACCTAGAAGTTTGAAAGCATGTTAAAGTGCAAGTAGATATATAGGTACCACTCTGGCGGGAAGGTAAACGGCGTTTCCGTGTGCTGCTCTGGTTTGCCAGAAGTGGCTTAGTCCTGCTGGCCACATGACCTGGAAGCTGTCTGCAGACAAACGCCAGCTCCCTCGGCCTATAGAGCGAGATGAGCGCTGCAACCCCAGAGTCATCTGCGACTGGACCCAATAGTCAGGGGTCCCTTTACCTTTACCCTCATAAGAAATCAGAACAAGAACAGACCAGCCCACCCATGAGGTGAGATGAAGCAGTTCCTCAGTTGGTAGATCTCCAGCCTCCTTTTACTTCCCTGCCACCTTCAAGATTGGGAGCAGGGGCCTGTGGAGAAGGAGGTGGCGGCAGCAGCAGCAGCAGCAGCAGCAGCAGCAGGGGGCTGTGACAGAGGAGGCAGGGGGCTGCAGGTAAGATTTTCATGTAATGCAATTTCCCATATACTACTCCATCATAGAAACAATGTTCTCCATCTTTGGGCAGTCAATACACATGCAACAATAAGAAGGTAATGTAGCAAATCTTTTCTTTTTATCTTTTTATTCTCTCCCTTAGAAAAAGATACCAACGTGGGGGAGAATACAATATTTTCTTTTAGCATCTTATTTATTTCACCAAATAAACGTTCTCTATTTCAGTGCCACCAGTTGTGGGGAGGGCCATGGACTCAAATGGCTTAGACAAAACTAATTAGACAGGATCCTGGGCAATAGGCTTCTCAAATGGAAGCCAGAACATCCATGTTTGGTGCCAGCAGGCATCTCCATACAAGATGCAAGGGGAAAGGAGGCAGGAGGGCCATCAGCTTCACATTCAGCATGTGAGCTTCTGAAGGGACATCGCTGTCCACTGTTCACTGTTCAGCTGGATCAGGCCTTGGTCTCATCCAGCTAAATAGACCTAATATTTATAAATCTGTTCTAAAAGTTTTTGAAGTGTGGAGGTTTCAAAAGATTAAGTTCTTTAGGCTAAAGAAGATAATTCAATGCATTGAACTTCCAGGGTGGTGTAAACAAGATGTACCATGGAGTGCGTGATTATGATAAAACTATTCCAAGGGTTCACCTTGCTGTGGAGAAAGGAGACACAGTGTTCTTCCACCCCTTGCTAATCCATGGCTCTGGAATGAACAAGACTGAAGGGTTTCGTAAGGTAAGATGCTGTTTGAGCTATTAATATCAAAACCTGAAGTTGCACCTTATTATTTCTATGTTTCTTTGTTGGAGGGCTGGAGGTGAGGGGTAAAACCTATCCTCCATATGGGATGCATGCCTTTGCAGAAATGCATTTACAAATGAAAATAAATAAGTTATATTGGTCTTTTTATGCAGACAATTTCTTGTCATTATGCAAGTTCTGACTGCCACTATATTGACATGAAAGGTACAATTCAAGAGAACATGGAGAAAGAAGCAGTAGATGTTGCAAGAGCAAAGTATGGTACAGACTCACCTATCACCTTGATGGTATGTATTAATGTTTCCCCTGCCCCATTAAAGTTTGGGGAAAGATAGATAAAGTTAATATCAAATACAGTACCCAATATATTTTTGGAATATAAAAGATAAACTAAAAACACAAAGGAAAAGAGGAAAAGATAAATGAGAGAAAGAGAAAGAAAAAAGAGGAAAGAAAAAATAAACAAAGGAAAAACTTCCAGGGGAGCGATGGTGGCCAATGGACTATCTCCATCAGCTCATCTGTCTGTGGTGGTTGTGTGGTGTTTGAAGATAGACACCAATATTGGCTTTCAGCTTCCCTTCAGAAAAGGAGCTGGTGAGATTGGCAGAGAGAAGTCTTCTTGGAGGCCCTGACTTTGAGGAAATTTCACCTTGCCCAAATGATACAACAGCCAATATGGACACTGGATCCACAAAACACCTCTCTTTCTTAATTATTTTTGGAATAAAATAATTTACAACTTAAGTGAGTTTCTTCATCTGCCAGTGAAAACTTACATCCAGTGAGCTATCTACTTTCTACAACTTAGAAGAGAGGAGGACTGCTGTTTAAGCTGCTGAGTGAAGACAAAAGGCTTGATTTATGGTCTGAGATAAGAAAGATTTAAACAGACAAAGGAGTTTCTGTGTTAAGTTCTAAGTGGATTATTTTTATTTATTTATTTATTTTCTTGGCAAAAGTGTGCCTAAGAATATAAAAGCTATTTTGCCAGTTGAAATTTCCTCTGTGAGAATGGAATCGGTTTATTTTAAATGGGCTACATTTATTGATGCTGCAGCCAGAACAAGATATCTGGGGAAGCTGTCCTGTTGCTGAAGTTTTTATGAGAGCAGTAAAGAGACAGAAAGGGCTGACATTCTTAATAAGCGAAGCAGAAACAGCTGGTGAAAATAGAAGTTGGCTTTAAAAGAAAGACGGTTTGTTTTTATACTCCGAATACTCAGCACGCCAGGCAGCAAGAAAAAGGCAGCAGAGGAAATAAAAACATATTTTGATACTGTACCTTTTGACCCTTTTGACATTTTTCAGCAGATGATGGCAGAGCAAACAAAATCTCTTAAATTAGAGATGAATGAAATTAAAAACAATATGGACCATTTGGATACAAATAGATGAAAAGTTGGCAAGATTTAGAAGGAACACTTAATAAAATAGAAGAATCCTATGCACAGTTGTCTGTAGAAATGAAGCAATTAAATAAAAAGTGTAGGCTTTGGTGTCAGGGGCTGGTCTGACTCATATGCCAGAGACTGCTCTGACTCTGAAGATGAAGGAATGCAGACACAGACAGAGCAGCCTCTGACAGAAGAAGAAGGGGAGAGTTTGCCCCCCTCTTCCTTCAACTTTCCCAGCAGCCGACTGAGAGACAGCACAGTCGGGGGAAGAGCTAGATAACTCTGAGTCAGAAGCTAGGCAACCAGGAGGGAGCCACCGCTTGGGAGACTCTTCCTTTGAGAGCGGTGGGGACCTCCTTCCCTCCCCTTGCACTAGGAGGTCTGAAAGGGTGAAGTTTCAACAGAAGCACCAGGGTGGGAGAGCGGGGCAGTGGAAGGGGCAGGGATGCAGAGGGACCAACTGAGATGCTGAAGGAGGGTGGCTCCATGCCTCTGTGTAAATAAAATGGACTATAAACCTGTCAGAGGCTCGTTGATTCTTATCGGAAGCTTCCAGAGAGAAAGGGAAACTCCTGTACCTGCCAGCATATCTCACATCTGGAAAGTAGAAGTGAAGCTACAAACAGATGGAAAGATATTTGGAGAATTTGGCATTAATGGAGTTGAGAGAAAAGGAGATCTGCCTACAGTTCAGAGAGATTCCAGAAGAGGAGGGTGAAGATATTAGGGATAAAAACATTACCGGTAATTCCCTGGCATACTTTTTGAAAAAGGATGTGCTTGATATGGAGGCAGAAATGGACACAATCTACAAAATTAATACAGTGGTACCTCAGGTTAAGAACTTAATTCATTCTGGAGGTCCGTTCTTAACCTGAAACTGTTCTTAACGTGAAGCACTACTTTAGCTAATGGGGCCTCCTGCTGCTGCCGCGCCGCTGGAGCACGATTTCTGTTCTCATCCTGAAGCAAAGTTCTTAACCTAAAGCACTATTTCTGGGTTAACGGAGTCTGTAACTTGAAGCGTCTGTAACCTGAAGCGTATGTAACCTGAAGCATATGTAACCTGAAGCATATGTAACCCGAAGCATATGTAACCCGAGGTACCACTGTACATGTTTTGCAAAATTAAGAAAGGTTCCAAGAGATGTTTTGGTCCAATTTGCTAGAAGGAAAACTAGAGACGAAGTCTTACAGTAATATTTTGAGACCAAGTTGAAAATTGATGATATAGATGTGATTGAATTGAAAGAAATTCCACTGAGGGTACTGCAAAAAAGAAAAAGGCTACTATTTTTTGACAAATAACTTTAGCAGAAAAGAATTCAATCAAGATGGGACATACAGGAGGGAGTGATTTTTATCTTTAAACAACAAAGATTTCAACTTGATTCAGTACAGAAAGCAAGAGACTTTGTGGAGAAATTTAAATTTGAAATGGAAGAAATACAAATGGATGAGACTGAAGAAACAGAAATGGGAGCTGTAGATATGACAAAATAACCCTCTCAGCTATGGATTACAAGTACTTAACATGGAATATAAATGGAGCAAATATTCCTCAAAAGAGAAAAAATATATTTCTTTTTAAAAAAATCTAATTTGTTTACAAGAAACACATATTAGGGAAAAGGATATAAAATATTTGACAAAAAAAGAATTTGGTGAGGAATTGATCTCTGCAGGATTTGGGGGGGGGGGTAATGGAGTTCTTTTGCCCCAAACTGATAATCTCTGATGAACAATGTAGATATGTTGGGGTGGAAGTTACTATCCAAGGCTGTAAAAAAAAAGTAATCAACATTTTATATAGGACTTGTGGGCTTGTGGTTGATGGACTTTTCATATGAAAACTGACTGGGATGGAGTGGTCTTTCCAATGCAGGACAGAAATTCAAAGAAAAATATTAAAACTTCCTAGGATAAAGTACCTAAGGTTTTCTTTGAAATGATGGATAATTTGGAACTTGTTGACATCTAAAAATATAAATATTTCTCTGAAAGACACAGATGCTTCTCAAGAAAAATATGATTTGGTTGACTAAGACACTGGCAACTCCATAGACATATTACCAAAGACTTTCTTAGATCACAATTCAGTAATTATGACTTTTAAAAAGAAAACTGGTTTCTTTAGCCAGAGGCTTAATGAAACGCTACCACAAGAAGAAACAGTTGTGGAAGGCTGCAAGCATAAGCTGAAACAATTGTTTGAGAATAACTTAGACAAGGACAGGAATATAAATGGTTTGGGATGCCAATAAAGCTTTCATCAGAGGTTATTTCATACAACATAATTTTTTAATCCTAAGAAAGAGACTGGGCAGAGAAAACTACAGAAAACTGTCCAAGATTAGACTAAAAGAAAAATAGTTCGAATGATCTCCAACTGAGATAAATACAACTAGGCAAATCAAGATGCTGCAAAGACAGTTGTCTATGTTAACAATGCAGAAGAAGGAAATGAAACTGAATTATGCTAAACCAAAAATAAATTGAATTTAATTACAAACTGGGGAAATGTTTGGTGTATATACTGTGGAAAGAGAAAGAGAAGAAAGTGATATTAAAGTGGCAAAAAGGAAATGCTGTAATAACAGATAAGACAAATTTTGGGGGGGGGTATTTCATCAATATTATTCTAAGTTGTATAAAGGTCAAGCAGTTTCCTAAAAAAAACGGCATCAAAAACTTTTCACGTCATATGTCTGAGATAGTGGTATTGGGAATAATTATTCCAATGGTGGTAGCCTACTCAGTCATGTACTTTGGTGTTGAGCAGGTCTGATCCTGATCTCTCTCCCAGCTTCTACATAGCATATTACAATTCTTTCTACCACACCACTAGGCATGCTGTGTGATTTGTGTTGCTGGCAGTGAACTGAGGGTTTTCTGCGCATTGCCATTTCCTTCAGTTCAGCAGTAAAGAGTGTGTTTTCATAGGGAAAGTGGTAAGAAAATGGGGGGAAAGTTGTCAGACCTGGAAAGCTCAGGCCTGTGGCTAGAAATCTGGAGCAAAAGTGTGGATGAGCCCTCAGTTCGGAAGCAAAGCTTCATGCAGAACCAAAACATCTGGGTGTGGTGGGCTTCCTTCCATATGCAACTGCTTGTATGTGCAGCGGGAATGAACTTGCACACAAAACAAGGTTCTTTTCTGTCCTTAGGATATTTGGATCATGCGAAGTCGTCTTGTTAAAGGAGAGCGAATAAATCTATAGAATCTTATCCAGATGCACAGACTTAGAAAATGATGTGCTGGCTTCCTGAACTGAGAGCAACCATGATCCTTTGGTTGGATGTGTTCAGAATTTTTCTTGCACTGAATATTTTTCAATTACTATGCAGTAAAACAGTTCTGAGGTATGTTTATATTTGATAATGATGCTTAAGTGAGAATTCTAGTAGCAGTAGTAGTAGTAGTCGTAGTCTCTTAAGCTTAAGCCAAGAAATAGTATTCTCTATGAAATTGAATATCAATATACATATCAAGGATTTGAGATTAGACCACTGAAGAAGCCCGGAAAACTACCTTGGGAGTGTGCTACCTGCAAGCCCCAGTAAAAGGGCCCCATCAGGGGCAAACAACGGCCTCTTGATCACTTGGACCGCCAGGGCAAAACAGGTGCAAAATGCCAGCACCCTGTCTACAACTTCATTAACATCCATCTACAACTCCAGTAGCATCTCTCAGTATTGTGAAAAACACTGAACTTACTTTTTGTTGGTATCTTCATGAACTTACCTAAAGACTGAGTTAAGCCCCTGAAAAATCCATTGAAATCAGACATTAAGTTCATCTTAGGTTGGGTAGTTCGCAAGTCTCTGTGGCTTTGTACAAGGTTTTGTATTTTTCTCAGAAGATTGATAAAGAATGTATAATCATTTTATTAATTATTGTGTGTATATTAGTCGCCAACGTGTTGCAGGAGTCGTACTATTTCTATCAGCAGCACAGGTTGCATTTTTCTAGCATAGGTGAGAATTCTAGGCACACCTCCTTGGACATGCCTACTCTTCTGAGTAAACAATATTCTTAAGTTCAAGAACAGTTTTAACTATTTTAATTGATGCACTTCATGATCTACTTTATCCAGTATTGAATGGTAGACAGCTGTATGATTCAACAAGGCACTGAAACAGCTGCCTTTATGCAGTGATTCAGAATGTTCCAGCCATATCCTGTATTCTTAGTAGCGTAGCATTATTTTCTCCAAACTGGGTGAATAAATGAACAAAATGGCAAATGCAGTTCCATGTAAGTTAAAGGAATATACTTTGGGGCCAAAATAACTAAATAGGAACTTCACGTATGCTGGTAGACTTCTGACTAATCAGGAAAGGGCTCTCCATTTCCGATTGCCCCATCTCGAAAGGCTGTGGCAGAGTTGGGAGCAGTGTAGAAAAGCCCCCCCCCCAATGGCCAGAAGGCCATCTTGTGTGGTCTCCTCTCATGGTCTCCTCTGAACAGAGCTTGGCTCAGCCTCCAGCAGCATATTGAACCAGTCAAGAAAACAGGCTTCTGCACCAATGGAATGCACCAATGACATACACAGGCTCTGCAGCGGAATGGACCCCCTTGGGAGGTGGTGGACTCTCCTTCCACGGAGGTTTTTAAGCAGAGGTGGGATGGCCATCTCTCATGTATGATCTAGTTGAGATTCCTGGCTTGCAGGGGGCTGGACTAGATGACCCTTGAGGTTCCTTCCAATTCTACAATTCTATGATTCTGTGCTTTGGTACTCAGCCTTATAAAACTCGGCCTAAAAGCGTTGTACTTGACTGTCAAGAGCCTATTGCAGTCAGCTTTGCAAGCTTTTGTAATAAATGACTGGTGGATGTAATCTCATTTGGAAACAGCGGCGAAATTAAAAAGAAGTTCAATTTACATAGATTATTAAGAAAGAGAAATGACCAAACAAGAATGTAATTACTATCATGCAAAAAGAGAAAACCAGCATTATGAACTGTGTCATTTGAAACTGTATGTGAAAATATATATTATTGAAGAACACGCAATTAAATATCTGTTCCAAAGAGTGTCCTGCTCCCAGACCCTCCATAACAACAGAGTCCATATAAGGTACCATCTACATAAGAATTTTCATTGAAATTAAGAGGATGTAATATTTTTGAGGAATTGCTATACTCCAGTTCCAGTCCCCACTAGAAATCAATTCTAGAACAGCCCCTGGCTGCTCAGTCTGCTCTTCAGACCTCTCCGCAATGAGGAACCTTGGCAAGACAGGGCTCTCTAGGGAGGCAAAGCTTCCAAGTGCCTTCAGCAGAATGTCCTGAGGAATCCTCACCAGACAGGCATGCTAAAGCCACCATGAGGAGAAGCCAGCACAGCTGGGGAAAGGCTTGCTTGTGTATCCGTGCCCCTGCCACCTCCAGAGTTTTATGATTAATCCTTTGGGTGCTCAGACTGATGTCTGAACCTTAGTGGTTTCTTATGGCAGAAAAACGTGTTTAAAAATTTATATGGAACAGTTTCCTTCCATGTGTCCAATATACCTCTGTCATGTTTTAGTGGCAAAGTTAAGAGAATGAACAACTTCATCTTGAGCGTGCCAATTTTACTTAGCCAGGAAAAGGGCAAATTTGCCCAGTGATTCAGCTTTCCTAAAATTCCCAGCTGCTCCCAAATAATAAATCTGGATTATTACTCTGTACTATGAGATCTAAATTATTATGGAGCTGAATCCCAAGTTATTGAGTTGGTTTACAGTGCAATTCTATACACATTCACTCTGAAGTAAGCTCCACTGGATTCAGTAGGGCTCCTTTTCAGGTAAGATGGTACAAAATTACAGCCTAAAAATTATTTGAGGCAGAGTATTCTTTAAAAATACTATTTACCACAGGTTTTTCTATATTAACACTCATCCATTCAAAATGGTTTTGTCTTGTCTTGTAACTGGAAATTAAGCTGAATTGAGAGAGAAAATTTGAAAAAGTATTGAAAATGATTTTTTCAGGTGGGTTAATGCAAGTGTCACATTATCAACAAACAGACAGATCTTCATATCCTGTTTTACCAATAGAACCCCAGTAACTTCCTTATTTGTTCCAATTTAAATTACTATGAGTTCAAAGACTAGAACAAATAATGAGGCCATCAAGTTTAATTGCACAACCAAGTAAATAAACACCATAAGATCTACAGATGAAGGGTGGTATACTACTACTAATGATGATAAAAATAATAAGTCCTAACTGAGTGGTCTGCTGGTTGATGCTTCATTTCCTCTTGCCATGTGGCTGAAGCAATGGAGCTGCTCCGTGTGAGGGAATAATTAATATATGAACTTTGGCTAAGATCATGAGAAAAATAACATCCTTAAGTTGCAAAAGCATTCTTCCATTGTGTCCTGCCACTCACTCTATAAAATCTTCCTTCAGAATCCTTCACTGAAGACCCGTGTAGCTCCTGCTAAAGTAAGATACATAGCATTGGATGCTGGGTCACTTGTCTTCTCCCAATTCTTCACAGGTTTGTAAGTGTAGAGTAATTTGGAAGATGACACACTACAGCATAAACTCTGTAAACTCTGGTTTGGGAATCACCAGGGGACCCATGTGCACTTTAAGATGACACAACAGACCACAACAAAAATAACAGAGAAAAATACTGACAAGGCAGAAGAGCCTTTGAAATCTCCATCACAGGGTGAGAAAGCAATGCTGTTTAGCATTTTAAATTAAAGCTTAAAATGAAGAGTTGCTTTCCTCTTCAAGTGGGACAAGCAGCTGCAATGAAAACCTTGGTGCGGTGTGTGGTTCTCCCTCATGCATGAATACAGTGTGTGGTTGCAACACAGCCGCTAAGACAACTTCAGCTTTAATCAGAAGCCTCTCAAATGCTCTTCCACTTAGTGGCCATATGGTATGAAAACATGATGAATAGCTTCCTTATTTGTTCCGAGGAAAGCAAAACCATCCTGATCCACACAGTCAACATAGTTCCAAGAGCCACTCAAGTAGAGGAGGAATAAGGTTAATGACTAGATGATCCTCAGAGTCCCTTCCAACTTGACAATGCTGTGAAGGTGTGTCAATTTTTGTTCAGTGTGGGGAAAATATCCTTAGACACATTCAGTAGCTTAATGGTATCCTGTGTGGTACATGAAGGAACATCATGTGCTGTTTGTAGTGGAAGCATCAGAAGTGGCGAAGACATATTCAGGGCATAAACCCCCATTCATCCGCTTCACAGGCTACTCTGCCAGGAGAACAAACTCCGTGTTTACTTTCAAGCACTCCTGTACATTCCATAACTTGGGTGCTGCCAATGCAGCATTTCAGGACTGAAGTGGTAGCTGTGAACATGAATGTTTACACCTCAGTTCTGCAGCATTCAGATACATCTTCTCTTTTAGACTGCCTTTCTATTCTAGTCCTTCTCCAATCTCTTTCCCCTAGTTTTTGGTTATTTTCTGTTAAAACAGTAAACTTGAATGGATGACACTGAATTAGACTTTCATCTTCACTGGAATTACTTTATGGATAAAAAGCCTCATCAAATCCAGCATTCTTTTTTGTTATGTGTCCCAGTTAATGGATGCTCCCCCAGGGGACCTGCATGGAACACTGTTGGATGTTCTGGGCACCACAGTTCAAGAAGGACATTGACAAACTGGAACGTGTCCAGAGGAGGGCAACCAAAATGGTCAAAGGCCTGGAAACGATGCCTTATGAGGAACGGCTAAGAGAGCTGGGCATGTTTAGCCTGGAGAAGAGGAGGTTAAGGGGTGATATGATAGCCATGTTCCAATATATAAAAGGATGTCACATAGAGGAGGGAGAAAGGTTGTTTTCTGCTGCTCCAGAGAAGCGGACACGGAGCAATGGATCCAAACTACAAGAAAGAAGATTCCCCCTAAACATTAGGAAGAACTTCCTGACAGTGAGAGCTGTTTGACAGTGGAATTTGCTGCCAAGGAGTGTGGTGGAGTCTCCTTCTTTGGAGGTCTTTAAGCAGAGGCTTGACAACCATATGTCAGGAGTGCTCTGATGGTGTTTCCTGCTTGGCAGGGGGTTGGACTCGATGGCCCTTGTGGTCTCTTCCAACTCTATGATTCTATGATTCTATGTCTTTTTGGCACCAGGTGAAGATATTTTTTATTTCCTTAGATCTCTCTCTGTCTCTCCCCCCCCCCCCCCCAGTTTGGCTTCTCTGCTACTTTATCATTGATTGATTAGTTTATTTCATTGCTTAATGTTGCTCATTCCACAGCTTGCATGGAGGGAATATCTATCTGTCTATCATCTATATCTATCTATCTATCAGTCTATCTATCATCTATCTATATCTATCATCATCATCTGTCTGTCTATCTATCATATTTTACTCTCATCTTTTACTCTCTGTCATATTTTACTCTCACCACCACAGATGTGGTTTGAACACATATTTGCTGCTTTGTTTTCAGGGCACCGAAAATGGAGCTTAGGTCTTCCCCCTCAAGTTGTCTGAGAGCAAAGTGTCCAAGTGGACACAAGCTTCTCTAGTCCAAGTGAAACATCATCAACCTCACTTGTTCCTGTTAAGATACTTAACTGTTAGCTCAACATTCATTTTTGACAAAGAAACTGTTAGCTATAAATGCAGCCCATCGTGTGGCCTTTCTGGTATTTAAAGCATAGGAGCCAATTCCTAGGGGTCAAGGTCCCTTTGCCCCCCCCCCCAAAATATTTGAGGGGTCCCCCAGGGTTGATGGGCATTGCCATTCAAATGGTGTGTGTGTGCTGTGTCATGGGATTAATTATGTGAGGCAGGGCATACCTGCCACCCAAATCATTTATTCAAGTTGGCAGCCCTGATTCAAAGAGCCTGTTACCCTGGATACCAGTAAGTCAGCTGTTGAGGAGATTTTAATAAGAAACATTCAATAAATGGCATTGGTAGAGTGCACTAACATCACAATGTGATTTTGTTGTTGTCGTTTAGTCATTTAGTCGTTTCCGACTCTTCGTGACCCCAAGGACCAGAGCACGCCAGGCACTCCTGTCTTCCACTGCCTCCCGCAGTTTGGTCAAACTCATATTAGTAGCTTTGAGAACACTGTCCAGCCATCTCGTCCTCTGCCGTCCCCTTCTCCTTGTGCCCTCCATCTTTCCCAACCTCAGGGTCTTTTCCAGGGAGTCTTCTCTTCTCATGAGGTGGCCAAAGTACTGGAGCCTAAGCTTCAGGATCTGTCCTTCCTGTGAGCACTCAGGGCTGATTTCCTTAAGAATGGATAGGTTTGATCTTCTTGCAGTCCATGGAACTCTCAAGAGTCTCCTCCAGCACCATCTACATTACTCCATCAAAAAAGGAATCAGGTCTTCATAAAGAATCATTAGCAAAGCATCATCAGCATCATCCATATGGGACAGACATTTACACCCAGCCTCTGTTGTTTGCCTCCTCCAAGAAAGTGCATCCTGATTGTACTAAACTGTGGTAAGGCTCTATCCCGTCCACCTTCTTCCTGAAAATAGTGAGCTCATGAAACTCAATAACTTACTTTTCCATTCACCAGATGTGTTTTTTTCAGCAACTGTGCCTTATACCTACTTTTTGCCTTAGGCACAAGTTCAGAGATGTGATGGGGTGGGGGAGAGGGAAAGGTGTTACCTTCATGCCCTGCTGGTCACTACTGGAAACAGTTGGAAGCAGAGTACTGGATTTGGTGGTCCTTTGGTCTGATGCACAAGGTTCCTCACATAGTGAATTCAGTTGCAACTGAAAACTAGATACAATCAGACACATATATTAGCTCTGCCACCACCCTAAAGTTGCAGCTGCTACTACCCTTGCCACCCAGGTGCCCTTCAGCAGTCAGACTGTTTCTTGCTTAAATCTGTACTTCCCCGTCACCCTTTTCGCAAATAATATGTCTGGTTTCCATGACTCTCCTCACTTTGCCTGGCTGTTCACAACTCATTCCCTGCTGGGTCTGTGTCTCAAAGCCAGCATGTTTGCTTCACACTTGTTCCTATGCTGAGTTTTCCATGCTCCCTTGGACCTGTCTCTGCAGCCAAGGTGGGAGCTCCCAAGTCAAGTGCCATCCAGGGTTCCTCCTCTCTCCCCCCCACCCTCAGGGAAGAGCATCACTTTCTGCTTCATTTCCTAGAAAGAGAACAGGACTCTTTTTATTCTTTTTTCTGTGTGCAAAAGTCGCTGTGACATTCATTACTGTGCCGGCTGGAACACAGCAAATATGAAGTGGAAGCAAGTGCTTTTCCGTTCCTGCCTCATGGCTTTAGTGCTTCTGATTGGTATGTATGATTTGCAATAATAACTACAAGGAAAGGCTGAATTTCAGCAAGGAATAATAGGGCAACAAATGGCAGCATTTGTCAGTTTAATGGGATGAGAGAGACTGTAGTTTTTCCATCAAATCACCAAATGCTAAAAGATATTCAGTTTCTAGCTACTACACCAGCAATACTGCTTTTAAGCTATGTCCAGGATATAGACTAAACCTTAGTGCATTTGCTATCCAAGGCATGTTAAGAAGAACAATTATCTTTGCCATGTTATAATATATCAGGTAACAGTTTTAAAAAATCATCTGTGATTTTCTCCAAGATTCTGTACTTACTCTCACTAAATCCAAAACTGGGTTTATACTTCACCTTCTCTAGTTCTTGAAGAAGGTGGTGCCGTGGCTGTGGAGTCCAAGAAAGCAGCAGCTGGAGAACTCAGCAAGGAAAGTAAGTGGGGAGATTCAATTTTATTAATTAACTGGCTTTGGAAAGGGATAAGACAATATAAACAAGACACATATTTACTTTAAACATTTTTGAAAATAAATAACCCCCACCCATTTCTCATCAGTGGTCAGGCTCCCTTATTTTTCTACTTCCAGGTGTTAAAAAGAGAGTCTTCATGAAGGAATCAGATGCCTCTAACTTTTTCAAGAAAAGAGGCAAAAGATCTACCAAGTCCAGAGACGAGCTCAATGGTGAGACTGTTTTGGAAGCTGTTTACGGAAAGCTGTGATTTATTTAATGTTCCTTTAATCTCTTGTTTTTTGGGCACATTCCTAAATTGTCTGCCACGCTGTGAAATATTTATCAACTGATCAGTGAAGATTAGAACAGGCTCCTTACTCTTCTGATTTTCATATCGAAACACCCATGTATGCAGTGGTCACCACTATCCATTTATCTGATTGAATACGACTACTCTAGAGTAATAGGCAGTGGGATGTCAAAGACTGGCACATGGGTGCGGAGGAGTGATAGTAGAAGGCAGCAGGAAGAAAAAATAAGAAAGTTTGCTTGTGTAAGTCAGTACTTGAAAAACTCTTTGTAGCTGGGGGTTTTCATTTAATTTCTTAATACGCATATTTATTGGCTGCATTTCTAAATTAGCTAAGTTGTTGCTTTGGAAACTGAAATGTATTTGAAAGTATGAGATGTTTCTTAATTAGTTTAAACCACATGGTGGTCCATTAGGGGGACAGAGTGGGAGGTGCAGGGCATCCTGGTGAACTCAAGATACCTGAGTGCAATGCAGAGACCTGCTCTGTCTCCTTCTGCAGTTTAGGGAAGAAGCTGAACAAGCACAGGCTTGGCCACATCCAGACGTTATTTAGCTGTTAATTCTCTTTGCCCTCGTTGGAATTAGACCAGAGTAGTCCACAGATAAAAGTATTTGAATTTGTATTTGTATATGGGGAGCAACTTTGGCCTTTTTGTGTTTGTCCCTGCCTTTTAATCTGTTGCCTTCTAATCTATTACGCCAGTTGAGTACTGACAGGGTGTGCGCAGACAGCTTTGCATGCCCCTTGCATTCTTAAGAAAAAATCTGACCCAAGTCGTATGCAAAATATGTCTATAACTAGACTCCATCATTCAGGAGTGTGCAGGAAATAGTTACACGCACATTCAGAAGTAGTGGGTGTGGAAAGGGGAGTGACAGGAAATGATGACTGATCACCCCAATTTACTAGATTATCTCTGTTTTGGGAAAACCTGATTTTACAGAGGGGGAAAAGCACTGAGATTGGTGCTGTTTGATAGTCATGTGGACTATGCAAATTAAATGGGAAGTCAGCTGCATGCACACCCGAAACTCTGGGGTGGGCAGGCCCTGCAAGACCAGATTCAGCCCCCCTTGGTAGAACCCTAAACAGCATTCATAGAAATGCACACCTGACTTCATTTAAAGTAATTATTTAAAAAGTACTGTCAGCGATTGATCTTGCCTTCTAGCAACCAGGGCTGGCTCAGACTGTTTTGTCACTCCTGGGCAGGCAGCATTTTGCATCCCTGACTCCTGCAGTTTTTGTCATTAGCTTAATAACACAAAGGGAGTTGTGTGCAGCACTTTCCCAGGGCTAGCAGGCAAAAACATGCCTGGAGCGTTTGGGGCAAGCAGCCAGACTTACACACAAAGGATAGAGTTGGCACCCACTCTGAGACACACGCAGGCCGGACAGCCCCTCCTGCATTTCATTTTCTCACCACTCCCAGGACATTTAACAGCTGGAAGTGACCACCAAACATGACCCCTCTCAACATAGAACTTGACTGAGACAATAATAAAGACAATACTATCTCTTTCCTTGTGCATCACATGGATGGAGCACTTAAAATGCAGGAAACAAAAGCCAAACGTGGTTGATCCAATGTGTCGCATGCCTTTCCAAGTCAGAATTCCTTTATTGGCATCCCTCCGCCACTGCTTGCTACCCTCAACTCAACAACCCATAATACTTAAACTGAACAACAAAAAATACACAGGATCCTTGCTTCTTGGCACCCATCAAGAGTTAATGGAGCGGGCCTCCAGGGCTGAAACCAAACTGCTGGAGAATCACAGCACCCTCTGTGGCTGCAGAGACAGATAACTTGTACCTGCTGCCTCCCACATTCTTTTTGCTGCATTTGCAACACCCAAGTGACCTTTCTGGGGCGCAAGCCTGGGCTGTGTGTATGGAGGTCCTGCGCTGCCCAGTTGACAAAACCCCCCTTTCAGCCTCTCTGGTGGGGTCCAAAGGAAAACAGAGCAAGTCTTCTGGCACCAGCTGGGCTGCGGGAGTTGCTGGAAGGAGGCACACCAGGCGCCAGCCAGCCGTCTTACACAGATCCCTGAAACAGTCTTCGTTCTCCTTTTGAATACTTTTGACTTCACAGAGCGATGCTCCTTGATTAAGAGCAGCTGAGTGGCGCAGCTGGGTGCAGTGCCTTGGACAGGTCAGAAATCCTCACCCTCATCTCGTAGGATCTTCCTACAAGATAGTGCAGGCTAGCAAGAGAGGAAAGTTTCCATTCCCTCTTCTGAGAACCTCACTCAGAGCAGAGGTGAGTCTCTCCGTTGGGCATCTTATGCAATCTACAGAATCCAGTGGTAAAGCTTTTTCTGGACTGTACTACTGCAGAATGCAGTTATGGGTTTGTGGGTTTATTACTCCCCACTCTTTTTACTTAAAAGCACAACAGCACCCCACATTATCAGGGACTCAGGGAGAATGTTAGGCTGAGCTTTTCTCCCTGAGATGCTACTTTTCTACACATGGGGTGTTTTCTGTGGGGCAGCAGGCAGCCAAATAAACAAAGACCTTAGAATATCGAACAGCAGTGAACTTTTCTGTTGTTAATTGCACTTTCTGTTAATGATCAGCTGGGGAGATGAAGGGCATGGGTAGATTTCCTCAAGTGCAGGTATTCCAAACTCACAGAATCACCATCAGAGGCACCAAAAGGCCACCCAGTGCTAAGTCCCTGACTCAGAGTGGAACCACTCACACCCCGAACTCACTCAGATTACCCCCCCACAGCCCAGAGCAAATTATGTTGATAACAGAGCACAAGTGTACAGAAGATTTTGCAGACCAAGAACCTCATGAGGATGAAAATGAATAATGCAAACTAGCTGCTTGCTGCAAGCAAAATAAGGTGACTAATTTTGAGGCTATAAAACATCACCAGTTTGGATTCTTTTTGCCTATTTAGTCTAAAAAACACGTTAATTCTTGCTACTTCAAGGGGTGGGCTTTTGCACTCCTTTTTAGCTGGATTAACTCTTAAATAGTTGGGGTTAATCCAATAATTGGATAGCATTAATAAATGTTATTTTTCTGTTTTAAAATAGAAAAGCATTTCGAGACTTGCACGTGGCGTGTGAGCTGCAGGCTTTCCATTCTTGCTCTAAGCACTCGAAGGCTTACAGTCAAGGGAGATTTATAGGACATTTATATTGAAGTGGCTCGGTGCAACAAGAGCAAAGCATCCCTCAGTCCCTTTTCAGGCCTGCTGGCTAATACTCTGCTCATCTTCCAATACAGCCGAGACCCGCCAGATGCTGGCTGCTGACGAACAAAGGAGGGAATACTATGAGGAGCAGAGGAACGAGTTTGAGAACTTTGTTGAGGAAGAGCGTGATGGTAAGACCTCAGGGTTTAGCCACAGAAGCAAAAGGGGTGTCATGTGTTTTCCATGCTTTGGTTGCACATTTGATCACTGCAAGCGCCACACGCCACAATGTAGAAAAATGCATGTGCTGATATCCTCGCAATCTGCGGGGGACAATGGAGAACAGCAAGGTTTGGGGAAGTGCCGCTGTACCCTTTAAAGCAGAGGTGATGAACCTCTGGCCAAGTCTGGATGGCTGCAGTTTAACCACCTGTGCCCTAAATAAAAACCTCATGGAGTCTTCCTTAGCTTGTGAATTGTGGCTTGCAGTGACGACAGAAGGTTTCTTGTGAAATGCAAGTGATGTTAAGAAAGAGAACTTTCTTTGCTTTCAGGATACTGTTGCAAAAGTCTCCATTTCATGAGATCCTATCTGTAGTTTTGAAGAGAATTGTTCTTAACATGTGAGTTACTTAATACCACTAGGACACACACAACAAACTCCTTCTTGTCTCAGGTTGCCAATTGTTCTGATTTTGTGAGCGTCGTTCAGCGGAGGACAATCATGTATTGAATATTTTTTTTAAAAGCAAACCCTGAAAGCATATTCAGAGGGAGGCAGAAACAGTTTGGGAAACGTGTACTAAATATGGAAATGAACTTCTAAACTGTGGCACACACTGCTCAAGAGCCGTTGGGTCCCCGGATCCTGTGCAGAGGCTGGTAGCCACTTTGTCAGCCCGGCAGATGTGGCAGCTCTGATCCAATTCCCTTTCAAAACAAGTATTTGGATGGAATTTTCCAATACTGTCATCTGAATGTAGCCCTTTTTCAGGCCCCATAACAAAATGCTTTGCATTTCCTGCCCCAGCAGAGCACAAGCCCTCCAACATTCCCCTGATGAAAATAAGGACATTCTATTCTACATCAGTACAACTGCTAGTTAGTTGGATTTATTGATTTGGGGTTTCCTTTTCCCCCTCAGGCTTCCCTAAATGCACTTCATAAGTTCAAAGATTTCTGTGCTTAAAATACTGCAGTCTTGTGTGTTTCCTCTAATAACTTTTGTACTTGACCAGGAGGAAATGCTCCAGCGGTGGTTCTGATGTAGAACAGAATGTCCCTATTTTCATCTGAGAAATGTTGGAGAGTATGATAAAAATCATGCTATCAGTTCCATCTTGGTTGGTGTTCAGCACTGACTGAAGGCCTCACAGTTGTTTTTAAATGTATAGGAAACCTAGTAGGAAAGCAAAACCCCCAAAGGCGAGGTACTCAACAAGCCAGAGATGCCTGTGTAGCTAAAACAAATCCTGGTGAAATCCCCAACGCACCATCTAGTTCCACCTTTTGAGATGGGTTTGAGGATGTGGACAGGACACAGCTTAACCACAGTCCTCTTGACCGGAGTTTGTTGTGAGAGGGGATCCCCACTTCTTTGAAGGAGGCAAGCCCTCTCTGAGCCCAGGGGGGTATTAGATAACTAGCTCTCAATGGGGGGGGGACGACAGTAAGTTGATTGAGAGGGTGGTGGGTGGACAACTGCCACTTGGATGAAGCTGAGTAGCCAGATACATTTAAGCTTCTCGTTAAAATGGGAGAATTAAATTCAGCCGACTCACTCTTTTTAACCCAAGTCCAACATATGCATTCCCAAGGGTGATTTTTGGCTGACTTCCTTTAAATGACCCGGTCCCATTGTCTGCTTTGGAAACTTCCCTCCGTTTCAAAAGTACGGTAATATGTTGTGCAGCATGTTGAGGAACTTAGTCCAAACCTTCTTCATTGCAAAGAACTAAGCAGGGCTGTGTGGTTTTTTGGATTCTGATTTAATTTAATGTAGTAACAGTTCCTCAAGAAATACAAGTTACATCATGGGTTCTGGCATAACACGGAGGGGCTTCAGAAACCCTGAAGAGAGTAAAAAAATCAGTCTGAATTGTTGCCTTGTGCTTTGCTTGCTCCTCAGCCACAAATGAAAGTACTTCTTCCTATACATATTTTTTCCTACCTAGTAAATCATGTTGCTTTTAACCATACCACCACATCATTTCCATACCACCACACCATTTCCACATTCGGCAGGGAATGCAAATATGGGAGGAAGTTTTCCATCAAAATTTGTTCTCTGGAATTCCAAGTGCAGCCCCAACTGAATGCTGCTCTTTGCATCAAGCGTGTCTGCCTGGTGTGTCAATAAATCCAGATATTTTTTCCAGAGCTGCCCTTTCCCTGTAATGGTGGATACTCTTGACATACGCTGATACTGCCAGATTTCTAGATATTCTGAAGCTGGAAAAGGGAGATTCATCTTACCCTCAGTTTTTACTTCTTAAGCGGCACATTCCTATGCTTGTCTCCTCAGATGTAAGCTCCACTTAGTTCAGTAGGGCAGGAATTGGATATGCAAACCTTAGAACATGAAAGCATGTACATCAAATTGTAATGTCTGCTGTCCTTATTGAAAAGGATAGTTTTAACTTGGTATACAATAGTTAAAGATTATTAATAATTAATGTAAAATCTCAAAATTGGAAGACCAGGAAATCATAAATAATGAAGAGCCTCATTGGTTTGAAGACCTACAAATAATGTATGTTTAAAAGCTGCAAGATTTCATTTAGAAAAAACAAAACAAAACAAAACAAAACAAAATGTACCACTGGCAATATTTTGTATCTTTTTTCTTTTCCAATTAATATATTTTCTTTTCCAATTAATATATTTCTGTAAGGAGTAAGAAATAACTTTCAATCTTCTATTGTGACCCTGCCCAGTCATACAGAAATATTGAAAATGTTAGATATTTAATTTATAGAATCACAAATATTAATAGATTCGGAACCTATGACACTTTAATTGACCTACAAAATGTCTTAGGACCTATTAGGAGTTATTTTCTTACATGATGAGTACTGCAAGGGTGCTAAATATCAGAGATCAGAAATTCCATTTCAGTTAGAATAAAGATTAGGTCTATCTCTGTTGGAAAACAAACTACATCTTTGTAGACCCTGCATGGGGACTTACTATAAAAAGGTCCTAGATAAAATCCAGACAATGTCTGTTCAGAGAAGAGGCACCATTAGCCTGGGAGGCAGCAGGCTTTGTGACCTCCACTCTGCCGGAAATTTTCACGGATCCCCAACTGTTCCATCCCCCACCGACTCCTAAGTTCCCCTCTCTGCAACCCCCCCATTGAATTGCCATGGATCCTCTCTTGTAGACGGTTTTATGAATATACAAAAGGAGTTTCCCCCTGAGGTGAACAAGCAACAAGCAAACCTAACCAAACCAGAACGTGGGTCATGTTCACCACCAATGATTTAATTTTACTTCTCTTCCCTCTACAGAGCAGGATGAGAGAAGCCGAGAGCAGATTGAGCAATGGCGCCAGTACCATTATGACGGTCTCTACCCACCGTACCTATATAACCGGCACATTGTCTAGGGCAGAGAGGAAGAGCGGGGAACACAAAACAATGAAAATGGGAAAACCCTGCTGAGCGTGCGATTGGCAGGACTGCCAGCAAGGCAATATAGATGAAGTCATGGAAACATGACTGATCCCCTCTCCATGGATCCTGTTTCACCAGGGCTTCAGCTAGTATCGAGTTGGCTCATAGGTGCTGCTTTGCTTTGTATCATGAAGCGCTGGTACGCCGCCACCTCCAGTCCTTGGAGCAAAGGCCAAATCACTGCGGGCAAAACGGGATCTTTTAGACCTGTGCATATCTGAACAAGGGAGCAAAGGGAAGCGAAACCCCTGCTTAGTCCAGCCCCCTGGCAGGAAGACTAACCAGCTCCTCAGTCATCAGCCTGACGCTAACCCCTCCTCCCCTGCTGATCTGCTTTGTGCTGGTTTGGGTGTGTGTCCTGCAAGTGCGTGCCTGGAATGTGGAGGGGGCACTGTTGCTTGCAGCCCTGGGCTGGTCAAGGCTGCATGTGGTCTTGGGCCAAAAAAGGTCGACCAAACTTTATGTTAGAGCAAATGCCTAAAATAAGCACTGTATTTTGATAGGGGCATTGGGAAAAAAACCCCAATGCCAGCTTGTGCTGTATCTGTTTCAAATGATTTTAGAATATGGAGCAAAGAACATTGTATTTGTTTATTAAAAATATATTAGCCTCTTGCAATCACTTTTCTTAGTTTATATATTTACTATTACATTTATTTCCTGCCTTTCCTCAAGGTGGCCTGCATGGTTCCTCCCCATCTTATCTTCACAGGTAGGCTAAATTCCACGGTTCCCCAGGATTTTCCCAGGTCCAGCACTCCAACTACACCACTAGAGTTGCTGCCAGTTAAAGATTTTACGATTAAGGGTGTGAGGAATCTTTAGTTTTGCACTTGACGTACTGGTGGCAACTTAGGATTCAAATGAAGTATTTAAAGTGACTTATCGCTTCTCCTAGAGGACGTGGGTGCCGCTTGGGCTTGCCAATCAGAAGGTCGAATCCCCGCGGCGGGGTGAGCTCCCGTTGCTGAGTCCCTGCTCCTGCCTACCTAGCAGTTCGAAAGCACCTCAAAGTGCAAGTAGATAAATAGGTACCGCTCCGGCGGGAAGGTAAACGGCGTTTCCATGCACTGCTCTGGTTTCACTTAGTCATGCTGGCCACATGACCCGAAAAAACTGTCTGCGGACAAACGCCAGCTCCCTCGGCCTTTAAATCGAGATGAGTGCCACAACCTCAGGGGTCCCTTTACCTTTATTACTTCTCCTACAAACTCTAGCCTAGCCTTCTCCCTGACATCCTCATTTTCTATATGCAGCGAGGTCCATTCTTTAACCTGCATCATGGTTCTGCAGAAAGAAAAATGTAAAAGCAGTTATCTTTCTGTTATGCAAAATAGACACAGATTTGTTTTCAGGTGCATAATTTATGTCCTGCTTCTTTGCAAGTCCTTGCAGTCCCACACCCCACCAGATGAGCTCGAGGGCAGCTCTGAAGTTTTCACAGGGCACATGGGGAAGCCGGTGTTTGCTGTCCTAAGGGCTGGAAATGTCATTTATACCAAATCAAACACAAAAACTCTCAGCTTAATGACTTTCTGCAGCTAATAACAATCCACTTCTGTGGCTTTTGGGGAGCATTGCAGAGTACACCAATGCCTACCTAGGCCTGGGAACAGCCTGCTCAGGCCCCCAACAAAAGTTGCTCCCAGCTATCCCACCCCGTCTTCAGCCAGGGCTCTTTGAAAAAGGGAACCAAAAAACCAGCTGACTTTAAGATGGCTGCACCATTTCAAGCAAGCATACACAGCAGCATTTCCATTTATTTATGAAGGCAGCCTTTGATTAAGCAAACTGCTGTAGTGGAACTGCTGACGACATCCATGCGTGGGGCCCAACCTGAGTGATTTCACAGTGTCTCCTGCCAAACGTCCCATCAACATGACTCACCAACAACAGCGCCAGCCAAGCACACAGAATTAGGCACTATTCACTGGGATATAGAAGTATCCTATGAAAATGTCCACCATTATGAATGCTTGAATGCTTCAGTAGCTGCACCACAAAGGTCCCACTTCAGTTAGTAATCAAAGCTGGCATGGTTTTCACACACAGTGTTAGTTTTGCTACAGGTGCTTTTAGATGCTGTCTATGCACATTCCTACATTTTCAAGAGACTTTTTATTATTATTTAACACTTAATGAGACAAAGCAAGTGTGTGAAAAGTTAAGACTGTTAGGTGTTCCAAGAGCAACAGAAAGAAATCCACAAATCCAGGGCAACTGTGGAGCACCAAATGAAAACAAAGTTGTTAATGGAAGGGTTAGGATTCATCTTTGAATATGGGAGCTTGGCAGTTGGCGTCTGGAAAATAACCCAGTGGATAAGCAAACATTTCTTACCTAGGAATTCCATTAGTAGCTGGCCTGCTACTTCTTCCAGCAAGAAAACAACGCAGCCCCTTACAAAGCACATTTTTAACATACTGCATCAAAGTCCAGTCACGTTTATCCTAATGGTTTGAAAGAAATGCCAAGCCAGAAACTTCAAAGGCCTTTATATTACTCTCCAAAGCAGGCACATTGCTCTTCCTTCACTAGAACAATTCCCCTAGGCTTGAGGATCTCCACCTGCAATTCATCTCAGCACCTTGTTTTTCATGATCTCCACTCACAATCCTCTTAATCCCAGTGTCTTCTGCAGCAACATCCCTCAGGCAATTGCAAACACAAGAAGAAAATCAGAATCAATGGCTAGTGCTGAATATCCTGCAAAGTGCATGACTAGACAGGCTGGAGAGCGATTTTAAAATCAGCCCTCTCCCAGGGCTAATTCAGGAGGTTTTAAAAAAATGGGTTTGTAAAGTATAGGAAGAGGCTCTTTTTCATCTTTGTATCTTAGGTGTGTGCATGAAAGGGAATGCCTTTCTTCTTTCCTCCTCCTGAGGTTAGACACAAACCAGCAGTTGCCTTAATTCCTCCTCACTGTAAGATGATGTTGTATCTTGGAGAAAGCCCTTTTAAATGACGGTGTTGCAGATTTCAGCAGATTTGCTCAGATTCCACTAAAAGAGATCTGACATAGTCAATAAAATGATGCTAGTGGGAAACTTCTCAGCTGAAATCATTCAGCTGTGGTATCACATCTAAAGAGTGAATGAATTATGACTGCTGATGTACATTGCCCATAAAACAATATAAAACCAGGGCTGTTCCTCCTTTCGCCTCTTCACGTTTGCTAAAGACTTGCTGCATTTTTTAAGCATGTTAAGAAGGATGATGTTATTAAATTCTTGGGCAGTTAAATGTCAAACTATCAGCCATAGACAAAAAAACCCACCCCAGTCTTCAGCCAATTATGGTAAAGGTAAAGGGACCCTGACCGTTAGGTCCAGTCGTGGCCGACTCTGGGGTTGCAGCGCTTATCTCACTTTACTGGCCGACGGAGCCGGCGTACAACTTCCGGGTCATGTGGCCAGCATGATTAAGCCACTTCTGGCAAACCAGAGCATGGAAACGCCGTTTACCTTCCCGCCGGAGTGGTACCTATTTATCTACTTGCACTTTGACGTGCTTTCAAACTGCTAGGTTGGCAGGAGCACTGGTTCACTGAACAAAATACAGTAGTGATTGAAGGAAACAATGGGAGCTCACCCCATCGCAGGGATTCTGATCGGCAAGCCCAAGAGGCCCAGTGGTTTAGACCACAGCGCTACCCGCGTCCCATAATTATGGTACTTGAGGGCAAAGCAAGTCATTCTGCCTTGTTCAAAACTTCCAAAAGAAAGAGGGAGGGGAAGTAAGAAACTCAAAGCACCTCAACACAGATTTTTATGGGTGTTTATTGTAAACAATATATGTTGGGCTGTTTAGGCCCTCTTTGTACATTTTACAATGCTGCATATACACCAGGCTCCAATACAACCTGGTGACATTTTCAATCACAGCACTGTGGTTAAGATATTTACAGTTTTCAAGAGATTCCAGTAACAATAAGATGCCAAGAAACTGTACCCCACTGGTTCACTGAACAAAATACAGTAGTGATTGAAGGAAACACTTTTGATATTCACAGTACATATGGGCACAATTGAAAGGGAAGCAAATTAATTAGTGATAACTGATGAATAGATAAGAACGTTTCTAAGCCACATCTCAAAGTCCCTCTCTACATAATGTCACAAGGGAAGACAGAAGAGCCAACTTGGCATACATTCAGAAAAAAGTCCTTTGTTTTATGAGGTTTTAGCTCCATTTCACACAGCCGTATCTTCTAATTTTGGGGATTCCATTGTTTCTTGCTGTGTTTAATAAGAAACCTTATAGCCATTTGGAGAGAAGAAATACAGGTTTTTCTGACCGCTTCCACAGAAGATCATGTTTTTGCAGCAGACCGTTCACAGTCTGAAACAGCCTGTACCCCTCTAAACTATTGATAAAAGATTCCAGCCCAAATTTAGAAGAATTTTTAAACGTTAAGCTAGATAAAAAAAGTTTTAAAAGCAAAGGCAATAAAAACAAGGTAACTTGCCTCACTAAAAATCACAAACTACTTTCCCCTTCAATAGGAAAATTATTCTAGGTGGGTATTTGGGGAAATATGTTAGTGTGGAGAGCATATTACAAATATATAAACAGTCACACAGTTTGGTGTAAGTTCTAGAAATAAAAAGGACTATTTAATGCTGATATCGCTCTCTAGACATGGGCCTAGTCTGGTCAATATTTCTTGTGGCACTTCTGAGGTAATGTCAGATAATACAGCTGAATTTGGCTACAGTTACATTAGCAGAAACTGCAGTTTCAAAGAGGCACCCTCTAATTCATTGGAAAACATACAACACGCAGTCTAGGAAAATAGCTCTGTCTTCTGACATCAAGTGACAAGCAATTCCTAAAGAATGACGGGTTCACCCATTCAACATTACAGACTGAGCAAAGACAGCCCAAAGCAAAGGATCATTCAGACTTCATGAAGGAAAGGTGGTTGGGGGTCTCTAGGGCTGAATCCTGGCCACATCCATCTCACTGAACTGGATGTGGCTTACTGTCAGGTAAGTGGGGTTACTACTGCAGTCTGTGTCTTTCAGAAGGAACTCCTCAGTCATTCTGAAACGCAGAGCTACTTGCACCTTTCCAGACATGAGAGATAAATTCAAAAGGCAAGTGTAAATGAGAGAAAGAACTTTTCATAGCTATTTTATACTGCTGAGGAATCGCGGTTGTTCTTCCCCTCTTGGTAAAAGAGTTTCTGCACCAATCTTGGGACCTTTCTTCTCCTAGATAGGAGAAACGTGCAATGAGGTTGTGTCCAATATGGTAGAATAAAAGCCAGCTCAATAAATAATTCTCAATAAATTATCAAGAAGCAAAACACAGGGATACAATTTTCTTCAGGTAAAACTCACCAGAAAGTTCACCTGCTATGCAATCCTCATTCATTTCAGTGAGGCTCACACAGGAGAACACCCCAGGGGATTATAGATATAAACCAACTAGTATAGGAGGACAATTCCAAAGATGGAACTCCTCTCCCCCTTCCTCAGCTCAGCTCCCAGCCTAGGCCCAATGGAGAGGACTACTCAGCTCTTCCCTCACTCGCTTCCCCTCAGGCCTAATCGCTGTGCATATTCCAGGAGTTTTACTTGAAAAGCAGTACATAAAGATAAGGTTCTTAGGATGAGCTGCAGCCTGCAAGGGCCATTGGTGTGTATGGGGCCATTTCTGGGAGGGTCCCAGCACACAGGGAGGCCTAATCCTTCCCTCCTCAGATGCTATTAGGATTTCCCCCAGCGCCAATCAAGCTTGTAAAAGTTGAGCTCTCAGAAGCATCATTGGGTCCCAGGAGGTTTTTCTAAAAGCTCAGTTGCTCTGGGGCAGGAGCGGGAAGAAGAAACAGATGAGGGAAGGAGGGGAGGGGAAAGGAAAATGGAACGGATGGCTGTGTGTGTGTGGGGGGGGGGGTGGTTGTCTCTGGCTCCAGCCACACCCGCCACTGGCACGCCACCCCTAAGTATGTTCCTAATGAGGGACCCTTGGGCTGATAAAAGGGACAAAGTGGGACTAAATGGAAAAAATTAAAATAAACCACAGCTTCCCCAGCTTCTTAATGTAGGTAGACAGTCTTGGGTTTACTCTTACCTTGAGCATTCCATCACGTTCCCATTTAAAGAGACCACAATTGCTGAAAAGGGAAGACAGAAAAATCAGGGTTGCTTCAGTAGCTGTTGGTAGCAGAGCTGCACCAAACTGTTTTAAGGTTTCATTTCCTACATGAACGTTACCATTTAAGTGTCCACCCCCCCCCATTCCACTGCTCTGGGCATTATCTTCATGCCTCTTCATAGCCATTTCTCATTGGAAAGGACTGCCTAGACCACTGGTCTCAAACTTTTCTCTCCGGGCCGCACTGGCAGAATAAAATCTGCTTGCATCACATCCAATGTTTTATTGACAAGAAAGACAGTTGGAAAACACAACTAGGATTGTCCACGGTATCACCTGAGGCTCTTGCTCTCATTTTAAAAGGATATCTATCCATATTCTGCATATTAAAAAATTATTTTGATACTACACTATACTGCACTGAAATGTTTAAATGCTTCTTTGATTGTCCTTGAATCTTCCAGCCACTCTTGCCATCCTCTCCTGCCACACCAGGGTGGCATTCCTGAACCCTTTGAGGGCCACTGGTCTAGACAAACGGTGAAGTGAGCTCTTGCCCACCAAACAAAAATAAACAAAATGAATAAACCATATCACTATTATTTAGCAAGTCTTTTCAGAGTCTACAGCCAGGGATGAGAGATGCACGTTGACAAACCTTTGCAGACAGAATGCAGGAGGGTTGAGAGATTGTGCAACGGTCTGTTTGAGAAGGGGAGAATGCAGCTCCTCTTACCTGCAGTGTTTTTTCGGCAGCTTGTCAAGAGATATGGCTCTATTTCCACACTGACACTTGAAGAATCGCTTTACACCATCATGCCAGTGATAGTCATGATTTTGTTCCACACATGAATCCAGGAGCTTGAAATAGGTATACTTGCACTTGTGTAAAAGGAAGAGAGAGGGAAATAAAGAGTCACACACACTTTCTCCAACTTCTTCAAAGTCACTGTTGTAGTGAAAACCCAGTCCTCTGCTGTGGCAGAAGAGCAAATTACTCTGCAAACCAGAGGGAAGCAGCTATATTGTACACCTGAGAGGACATCCCATTTGAACTCTTTGCTTCTGCTCCCCCAACACTGGTCCCTCTTCCTCTTTAAGACCACCTCTGTTGCCACAGTGTAAATCCTGGCAAAATGCAGATCACACAATAGCTATCTGCATCAATGGTGAAACTCACCAAAGGATCAGGGCATTTTAATGATGGAAAAGAGGTCCATCTTCTGCAAGTCTTAAATACAAATATGCAGCCACATCACCAGCAATTAATACAATGAAATGCTGTGTGATGGGTTTGTTCTTGTTCTTATGGCAGCCCTGTTTAGGGAAGCTTTTAATGTTTGATGGATGACTGTATTTTAATATTTTGTTGGAAGCCGCCCAGAGTATGTATGTATGTATAAATAAATAAATAAATTATGATGATGATGATGATGATGTGTTTTTATGCTATGAACTGACCTGGGGAGCTACAGATGAAGGGTGATATGTAAATTTAATAAATAACAACAACATGCTACACTTGGACAGGGATGAGTTGGCCACTGAAAAGTTTGCTCTCTCACTCTAGCCTACCTCAAAAGGTTTCACTATTCTGGGTTATTCGGAAAGACAGGATACCAGTGTGAAAAATACAACCTGGATCTGCTTATCATTGTATTCAACAGGACTTGGCTACCAAGCTTTAGATGGTTATGAGGCTGGAAGTGCTGGACTAGGACCTAGGAGAGGAAGGTTCAAAGCCCACTCTGCCATGGCCTGGGCCAGGAACTATGGCTCTGCCTGCCCTCTCTCACAGGGTGGGTGTGAGGCTAAAATGGGAGAGAAGGGATGGTGCACGTCGCCTTCAGCTTCTTAGAGGAAAGATGGGGTGAGAATGTAATAATAAATAAGTAAGAGTGGGCTTTTAACGGTGAATATTCCTTTTTGGAGAGCAAACTGACCTGTGCATGAGACCACAAGCCGAGGCGGATCCAACAAGGACATTCTCCCTCCCTGGGACTTCATGTGCTACGAGAGGCACAGGAAAGCTAAAGCTTGTTTCTTGGCACCAACCCACCCAATAATAGCTAATGCTATTATTTTTTTCAAATGCTATGGCACCTCACGGGAGGATCACTTTCCACTGACCTGGGGCTGCCTTCAAAACTCAGGTCACATCCTGATATGCTTGGGAGATGCAGTTTACGCCCCTAGCAGGATGCGCTGTGTTTTTGCAGGAGCGTGAGTACATGCAGTGCGGAGCGTGGAGTCCTTGACATGCCTTTTTGGGGTTAAGGATGGGAGGATTGCAGTTCACTTCATATTTTGGAACATACCTACCTATTTTGCCTGCCCATCAGACCCACGCATGGATCAGAATATAGATCTTCAGGTTAAGCCACATAATCGATGAACCGATTCACACCTGCATCCATACCTGTGACCCTTCAGATGCTGCTGAAATACAACTCCCATCAGCCCCGGCAAGCATGGCCAATGGTGGGGAGGATGGGAGTAAATGCTGTCCAATAATATCTGGAGAGCCACAGGTTCCTCATCCCTGGTCCACACTGTACTTATGAGATGGCCAGAAGGCTTCCTTCTCCTTTCTTTAAACATGTTGAAGCTGTAAAGAGTGCAACTACCTCCTCCGTGGCTGTGACAGAAGGGGGGGAAGGGAAGGGAAGAAGTGGTTTTAAAATGCTTATAAGTCTACAAGGGACACTGCCATCTTTTTGACTGCACAATTTCCAGGAAAGGGACTGCATGTATGATGCAGTCATTTCAAAGCAACCTTTTTTCTGTGCAGCCATGGAGGATGCCATTAGCTGTTCTAAGCAGCTGTAATCATGAAAGGAAAAGGCAGTCTTGGATCCCCTCATGAGCAGATTTCTCAAGGAAAGGTTCCTGAGGGTCAAAATGAATTTTTCATCCAACGCTGATCAAGCTGGACTTCAAGGGGCTGCTTCACTCACCGATTTGCACGTTGCAACACGGCATTTCACTTCTCGGATGCTCCGCATTTTATCTTCCATTTGCTCCTTCTTCACCAGGGGCTCAAAATAGCGTTCCTGCAGCTCAGCCTCAAACTGTGGCAGGAGGAGAGACGAAACTTTAATCTAGATGTGTAAACAGCTAATATAAAACTTGTTAACACTGTAAATGAAACTTTAAAAACCCCCACATAGCTGAAAAAATGATTTTTAGAAGCAATAAGCAATTAATTTCAATTGAATCCTCATCCTGAAATTATAAAAAGAATTTTTTTAAAAAATCACACACACAGTTGTATTTTTTAGCTTGTCCAGACCCCTTCTTGATTTTCATCCCTGAAATGCAGCCACTCTTAGAGCCAGTTCAAATATATTATGTAAATCCACTTGATCTTTCATCACTCAAAACCCCAACATCTGACAATTTGTAACTGAACCATTCTCCCTCAAAAGGCATTGCACCCGAGGAAATCCATAAAGCTCTAACTGTGGTATCTACTATGCAATGTCTCATTTGGAGGCAGGTTGTAAGTGTTCAACATGTATGGGTACAAAAAGGGCGCGGACACACAAAAGCCCGCAGAGAATTTCCTGATAAAGGCAACTGCATTAATATACACTTAAAAAGGAAAACTGCAGGGTCTGCTGGGTGATGCCTAAGGCAGCATGCATTTCCAAAACAACAGCAGGGAACTGATTCAGAGCTGACTCAGAGGAAGAGTGCCATCTACTGAACAAAGAGCAAAACCAGAGGCCTTGTGAAAAGACAAGGTCGGTTGTTAAAGACGAAAAGCATATATTGGGATATTTAATGGTACTCAAAGCTGAATAAAACAAATAATAAAATAAACCAGGCACCTGCTCCTCCCACTGCAAACATCAACAAATAAGACAAACGTCTGATAACAAAAAATGAAGTTGTGTAATCATGTAACAGTGGGGGTGGGGAACCTTTTTCAGCCTGTGGGCCATTCTCCCTCACAGGCACACTTGCCCAGGCCAGAGGTAAAAGTGCAGCAACAGGCAACTCACAACATGGTTGCAGCTTAAGGACACATTCCAGCCAGGCAAAGCCACTCGAGGAGGGGGGAGAGCAGGGCCACTGAGGGGTATAGTCTGGGAAGGGTCCCAAGGGGCAGACAGAGAGCCCAGGGGCCCTCATTTGGCCCCCAGGTCTGAGGCCCCCACCCCTGCTTTGCAGACTTATGAAGAACCCATATTTTTGCCTTTGTCAGAAAAATGTTTCTCTGCATTCAGATTCTTCTTTGGTCAGCAACTACATTTCCCAGAAGTCTGCTTGGCCTTTCAATACTTGCCACATTCTTAAAGCAGACTTCTGGGAAACGTAGTTGAGGGGTCAGATGTGAAGCCCACTGCAGTCTCTTCTCCTGCACTGAAAATGGTCAATGCTGAATTTCTGGTAGTGAATTCTGACACACAATGCAGGCCAGCAGATCAGATCAGAGTAATGCCTCTCTTGCAAAACTGTTAGGCATGTCTCTTGAAGATGACACAGTCCCATTTTCTGCTGCTGGGCAGGATCCTTTCCTCTTTACACGCTCCCAATAGCACCCACATGCAGGCATTCCCAGCCAGTTCCCTTGTATGCGGGAGGGGCTTACCTCCTTAAGGACACCCGTGTGTTTGGATCTAGCATTCAAGATCTCTTGAAATTCATCAGACTCCAAGTACGCAAGCTGCTGGCGTAGTTTCTTTCCGGCAGGTTCTGCTGCATCAACATCTACAAAAACAGAAGAGAAACATATACACGTGCTTAGCCATTATTTCCAAAGGATATTCTGCTGCAACAGAAACGAAGGTAATGCATTCCGCTGACAGTAGGTGTTGCATAGATATTGTGCCATACAAACAGAAATCTTTTACCTGTGCCTCTCTAATGTGCAGAATTTTGATTTGCTTGGGTCACCCCAGACAAAAAAAAGGGCACGCCTTTCTCCACCATGCCCTACTTATCAGATTCCTCAGGGTCATCCGGCTGGAAACTTCTGGAGACAAGGGATACCCCAGATGGGCCTTTGGTTGGATCCAACAGGGAAATTATTTCAACAATATACAGTGAATCTATTACATAACCTGCCAAGATCCTTCATTTCCCCAGTCATTCCAAGGAGCAAACTCTTGCTGCTGTGGGGGTATTTTTGGTCATGCATCTCAGCTGCAACTCTCAGGGTAAACTCAATAGGCTTGCCACTTGACAGCCAATGACTGACAACAGAGGAAAAGGGAATGAGGTAAATGGGTCTGTCAGCTAGTGGTGGGAAATGAATTTCTAAAAATGGATGAGGAAGAGAGAATTCAAAATTTGTATAAATATCTACTGGCATGAATATTGAAGCCACGGAAGGCAGCAAATTATGTTGAGGGACTTTATTCAAATGTTATGAATCAAGTTAGGAGAAGTCAGGAGAGCTATCTTCTTTTGCTACCTCAATTCTGCTCGTATAGAAACCAGTGATTTCCAGCACAGAAATCTCAGGGATTTCCACAGAGCAGGCATGTAGCCCATAACCACACATTTAAGCGAGAAAGGAAAGATGGAAGCCCGCTGCCTGTAGCCTGCGCTGTTTTCTGCCCATTGTCTCAGGGAGAAACTTCAAGCCAAACCATTCAGCTTGACACCAGCTGGTTGAAACACTGGGCTGGACCCAAGTGACTTAATTCCGATGAAAGTCTGGCTATCTTTGTAAAACGTTTCTACACTTTCCATACCTTGGGACAGAGGGATGTTTTTCTCAGCTCTCTCAGAAATCTCCGGAATGTCTAGACTGGATCGTTTCCTTTTTATGCTGTTTGGGTCCACTTTGGCGAGGACCCGGCCTTTTGCACGTAGTTTATTTATAGCTGCCATCTAAAAGCAACAAAAAAAAAGACTCAAGACATGTAGCAAAAGTCAGCAATTAAAACCAGTATGAAAAGCCAGCAAGGATCACTGGAGCTGAATGTCAGTTTGAATTTCTTAGTGTAGAAAGTATTGATTTGATGTGTAATTAATTCAAGAGGGTTCTGGGAGCCTCTGGGAGCTTCTCTGTGTGAAAGAAACAAGCATAAGGTTCATGATGTTTGGGTTATTCCTTCAGAGAAGCTGAGTACAGCTGCTTTAAACTGGTCCTATTATCTTTCTCTCAAGGTCATGCTGACTATAATAATAGGCCAGAAGGAGTCTGGGTTTCACTTTCACTTTCTATCCCTTTTCCTTCTGGTGCAGCGTTCTGTACAAAGTATGCTTCGTGTTAAGGTTTAGTCTTATTATACTGTAAGCTTAAGTTAAGTCTGCTGCAACTGGATTTCTTATGGACAGTTCCAATCCTGAATGTATTGGATTTGTGACCATTATGCTCATTTGCCTTCAGTAGCAGTAAAGCTCTGCTAGATGAAATATAATTGTCTCTGTCTATTTCTTGGGAACCCGGCAATGTGTTTAAGTTTTTACTCTGCTCACTATACACTGGAATCTGCTCTGGATCAATACTGAGTAGACTTTAAATGTCACTGAAGACCATATAACCCCTTCTCACAGCTCTACTGTGCTTGTGGAAACTAGGCCAATGCTTGTTCTCCATCACACACAAATATCACCCACCCACAAACACCCCATTGCACAGATCAGACACCCCCCCCAATCCTGGGAACTGTAGTTTGTTAAGGCCGCTGTGATAAGTTACAAAACTCACATAATTACTTTCCTGTTTATCAACTAAATTGGCTAAAAGTCTATTACAACTGAACATACAAGGCAAAAGCTACAATCGAAATAATCATTTTAAAATAATAAAACCCATCCTATTATTGTCTTTTAGCACAGTGTATGTCCAGTCCTGAAAACTCCCACAGTCCTTTGTGCTGGGCTAAAAAGCTGGCAACCTTATCACAAATCTTTGACAACCCAATGGTTGGTCTCCAAGCCCACCTGGAATGACAAAGTTACAAGCTATTAGCAGCTTGACTGATCCTTGTACTATGACTCTGCACCCTACCCATGGGGCAGCAGTTAGGGAGAATTTGAGGAGCTGATACCTTTTTAGCTTCTGCCAAGCCATTCAGTTTGGGCACCGGAGGAGGCAAACTATCAAAGAAGAGAACATCGTCTCCTTCAGAGAAGCCTGTGCCAAGTCTAGGAGTTTCGGGGCTTGACAGTTTGGCAGCTTTGGGAAACTCTGCCGCGGGAGTTGGAGAGCGTAGCACCGCTGGTCCTGAGGAAGGTGGCATTGCTGCCACAGCTGCATGACTTGTATTTTGAAGAAACCTTAAACAAAGGGACAAAATCCATTATCATCTTGCTTGGGGAGGCGCCAGATGAGCCCCTGGCGCCAGATGAGCCCCTGAGAGCACATCTTAAGGCTCCCCTACCTGCCCCACCTCCCAGGCTACATGTGATGACAGGTGTGGGGCAGGTGGGCATGGTTTGGGTAAACGGCCTTGCAGGCCAAACTGGGACACTTGTTGGGTCTCATTAACCCCAATCCCTGTGATACACAATAAAGGGCCAGATGGACAATAGATCTGGCTTGATAGAAGGCAGATTCCTATGATCCAGTTTGGATTTTACTGGAGGCTTTCCCCCCCTTTTGTTCATGATATGCTAACTTCAACTTTCCTTGGTATGCTTCCTTAACATGTTAGTTAGTTTGGAAAATGGAAGGATATTTTTTAATGGTTTTATGGGCTTCTGCGCTGGTTCTTTAAAAAATTGGATTGGATTTTATTCTGTGAGTCATCTTGAGACATCTGCATAAAGGGACCAACAAGTTGAGTAAACAGTAAAAATAAATAAAAATGTATTATATATGCTAGATATTTAATATTGGATTTGAAATAGCATGGATAGCACCTAGGTCTTACTCAGAGCTGACTCACTTAAATTAATAGATGCTGGATAGCTTAGTTGGTAGAGCATGAGTCTCTTAAATGTCAGGCTGTGCATTCAAGCCCCACGTTGGGGAAAAGATTCCTGCATTGCAGGGGGTTGGACTAGATGGCTCACATGGTCCCTTCCAACTCTACAGTTCTATGATTCGAAGTTACTTAGTGTATCACACCTACAGTGAATAACACTGAAAAAGCAGCAGTTTGGGCTACTGAACCATGTCCTCACATGACTATCATGGTGTTACCTCTTCTGCATCTCTTCAGACCTCCTTTTCCTGGCTTCCAGCATTTGCTGCTTCTGCTGCTTAATCAGTGCTGAAGCAGAGATGGACTGGAATGCTGGATTTTGCTTCCCAACAGATACTGGGGAGGACATAAATAAAGTTGTAGGTGAGTCAGATGTTGCTCAGCAGGAGTCAAATAGGTTGCTTTCCCCCCACAGACATACCTGGTGCACTGGCTTTGGCTAGGTGTTTATTCAGGTTCCTTGCTCCAAAAGAGGGCATTGACAATAGTTCTTTGAATTCCTCTGAACATGGCAAAGGTTGTTTTGGCAAACCTGAAACAGAACATGCAATGTAACAATGCAGCAGACTCACAGACGAGTCACAGGTGGTTGATGACGCTGAGTCCTGCTTGCCCTTCAAAGAAAATTCAAAACAAATTTCTAGCCCTCAGGAGATATTTAAAACTGGACAAGTGAACCATCCCTACTAAAACTGCAGAAGCCTGTGAGCTAGCTAAATAGATCTCCATTGGTTGGCAACTCTGAGGCAATGCAGCTCAAGGAACACAACTCGTGTGTTGTGACTAGTCAAAATTATACTACTCGAAGCACACACAAAGAAGCCTAAACCTGGGATGAAAGCAGCACACAGATTAAGAACAGCCTAGGCCAGTGGTGGCGAACCTATGGCACGCGTGTCCGAGAGCTCCTGGCCACTCCCCCCCCCGGTAAGGGGGGGGGGGAGGAATAGAGGAAGGCTCCGGCAATGCCGTTGTCAAGCCTGCAGCTCTGCCTCCTGTGGGGGTGGGAGGAGGAGGAGGAGGAGAGGAGGGCTTGCAGGGCACCGCAACCAAACCAGAGGCTGCCTCTGGACTGACTCCGCCTCCCCGCCGTCAAGTCTGGTTGTGCCCAACCTGCCTTCCTGCTCTGCTCTTGGGCGCGTTTAGAGCCACGCGACACTGGCATGCGAGCGAGGTGCGGAGCAGGTGTGACTTTCGATGCTCCCTGGCTTCTCTCCAGTCTGTTTCTACTCAGGAGTAAGTTGCCTTAAGTTCAACAGGGTTTAACTCCCAGGTCAGTCAGTAAGCATATAAAGATAGCAATCTAAGAAGGGACTGCTAGGTTTATATGTTCGCTGGGCTGTCCCACAGAAGCCAACAAAGGAATTCATTCCATAGAGGCTGCGATCAAATGGCAGCTGAAGAAGTGGCAAAATTATTATTATTATTATTATTAATTATTTTTAACCCGCCAGTCTGGCTGGGTTTCCCCAGCCACTTGGGGTGGCTTCCAACAGAATGTTAAAAACAGGGGGGGGGGGGACTTCAAATGCAAAATACTTTGCTGAACAGGGCTGCCTTCAGATGTCTTCTAAAAGTCAAACAGTTGTTTATTTCTTTGACATCTGATGCAAAGACAGGGCTCATAATGAAGCTCAAGCCTTCTTTCTTTGGGGGGAATATATATATTATTTATACACACACACACACATTTGTATGTGCGTACACAGACAATTATTATCCCAAATTAACAACTGGGAGAGGGTGGCTCTTAGTATAGCCCTCCAGTGCACACTAGTGTAGTGGCCAAAATGGTGGAACCTTCTGGGAAAAGTGTATTTCAGAGGTTTGATGGCTCATAACACCAATTTTTTTTTTAATAATACCAGTGCTTTTTTACGTGGGGACACATACCCCTAAACATTTTGTGAATTTAACAGAAGAAATTCACTGTATTTATTTTTCCCAATTTGAACTGATTTTCTTGAGTCAAAATTAGAGTACTCCTAAACATTTTTAAAGGAAAAAAGCACAGTTATGTCATAAAATTATATGTTAATGGAAAGATAACTTAATGAAGAATGTTATGTAATAACTTTTATGAAGGATTATTTATTACACCAGCAGTCATAAAGAAGAAATGTGAAACACACAGAAAAAATGAGATACATTCATACCTCTAGTTACGTACCGCTCTGGTTACGCAACTTTCAGGTTATAAAGGTGGCAAACCCAGAAGTGTTTACTTCTGGGTTTGCCTGCGCTTTGCGCAGAAGCAATCTACGCACTTTGCGCATGTGCAGTAGCGGCGCTCTACTTACAGACTTTTCAGGGTGCGAACGGCACCCCGGAACGGATCGCGTTCGTAAGTAGAGCTACCACTGTATACAGGTTAAATTGCCGTCTTGGCACTTTGTGATAAATAAGTGGTTTTGGGTTGCAGTTTGGGCACTTGATCGCTAAAAGGTTGGTCACCACTGGCCTAGGCATACTTTTCAAATTGGGAGCCTGCCTTGGAAATATACTTGTTCTTCCTTAGTTAGTCTCTGGAACATCTCCTCCCTCTCTCTTCCCTTTGAAGTAATAACCATGGTATCTTGCTACCTGTGAATCAAAAGTAACCATCATGAACACCAGCCAAGTTTCATTCATGAGCCACAATTTGAAACAGGTTTTGAGGAAACATGGTTAGGGTTGGCCATGGCTTGTGCCAGTCTTCAAGTAACACAAAAACCTGACAGAGAAAGGGAGAGGGTGAAAGATTATACATTCCCAAGGCTGGCTCCCAACTGCAAACCATGGTTTACAGAGTCTTCTGCGCAACTGACTGAGCTATCCATGTTTGACGGATGTTAAAGACATTTTACAGCAAGGGGACATTTTAAGAAAACAGAAGAGAACGTGTTACCCAGTTTCTGCTTGGTCTCCTGTAGAATTGCATCAACTCCTCTTACAACCAAATTGGACAGAGTTGTTTGGATTTTCTTCTTTGGGGCGGCAGCTGCTGCACTGAAGAAGTAAAGCAGAGCGCAACTCAACAGAGGGAATGACACCACCCATATAAGGGGAATCACCGTGGTTGTGATTATAGTAGGGTAGTCAAAAACTGTGCCTAATTATCTGTTTTTTACTATCCAGTTGCATTCTGTGGGCCATTTACAGCATGTAGAGACCAATAAACCAACCACTAAAAACTCCAGCAACACAAAACATTTAACACAATGTGGAGCTGCAGTTAAACATTTTGCACCAGCACAAGTCCACGGAGTCTTCCATACAAAGGGAAAATTTACTTTTGCCTCTGGCCTTGCTCATCGCCAATCTGTGGCCCCAGAAGGTTGCCCAAGTGAGAATGTGGTCCTCTGGCTGAAAAGGTCCCCCGCCCCTGTTTTAAACTGATCTAATAAAGTTAAATTCAGAAAAAAATGCAAGTGAACAACGTTCACATTCATCCGGAAGGGAACTTCCACAGAAGGACACTGAGATGTAGTTTCTCTTACGCTGAAGCTGCATAAGCAGCTGAGGAAACCCCGCCGTAGTAAAAGCCATCCTGACAAAGCCTCTCTTTCAAGCCAAGGCTCTTCTTTGCTGTTCTCTTCGGAGCTCGGGAATCTGAGAAGGTCGACTGCAGGTCCGCCCGCTTTGAACTGAGCCGCCGGTACTGGGACTGGACATGGTACTGGCAATATTCACATTCATTCTGAAGAAAGAGAAAGACGAGGGAGTTCATCCTTGTGTACTTGTCACAACAGAGCAAAATATGAGAAAAGGAAACATGCTTCTGTTTGCAGACGCATTGGGCTCTAGTGGAAATCAGAAGCTACGGGCAAACACTAAGCTTGAAAAAGTAAGGCGCCAGTTGTCTCTGAGATGCCTTGCGGAAAACAACTAACAAAAATAATTATAATTAAAATACAAAGAACTATAGCCGTTTATGGCAGGCAGGAGTACACAAGGTGGCTTCAATCTCCTCCATGAGAAAAGCTTTGATCAAATTAAAGTCAGTCATCTCTAGCGTGTGCTGCTCCAAACCTGTAGCTACTTTCGGCAGTCTCTCAGGTTCCCGGTAGATTTATACATGCAAATGGAAAAAGAGAAGAACCCGCAACTGGGAGGAGTGGTATTGATCAAGGGATTTGGGCAGGAAAAATATGGAAGGGGACACATTAGGACTGAGCAGGGAAGATTAGTTTTAGAAATCCTATTACTGTCTTCCTCTGCCCTTTCCCATCAAAACCTGGTAAATTCTCATTGGAGAGAAAAATAACAGGTGTGACTTTTGGCCATATGTTGGGTGGACAGTTTGGCCCTCCAACACACGTGAGGTCACCATCTCTGCTCTGATATAAAGGGCTACCAATATGGTGGCTGTGGGCACGTACGGTGTGTGCCATCAGAGCCTTTCCTGGTGACCACAGGGTCCCCTCCCCACTCTGAAATCAAGCTTGGAAGTAGCATTAGACTCTATGCAACACAGTAGGTTGTGGTGCCCACACCAGCTTGCAAATGTGCCCATCAGCCCCAAAAGTCAGCAACCTCTGCTATAAATTGTGACTAGCACAATCACAAAACTAAACTGTAAGCCCTCAGGTGACATCTGCACAAGCTCACACCAAGCACAGTGTAATGTCAGATGAGCTATACATACCAGGTTAACCATCTGTGCACAGGGCTCGCCATTTTTCTTCCTCGCTTTACAGGTTCCCAAGTCCATAGCCTCACCCAGAAGTAAGATCTTCTGGGGATGATCGACAGACACACACACCTAACCAGAAGAAGTACAACAAGCTTCAGAGAGATGAAGGGACTCGTCTCAGCCAGGGGCATCAGCTTTCACTGGAGGTAGTGCTTTAAGTGCCATTAGCAAGTGAAAAATTGTGTCACTGTGAGAAGTCAGTAGGGGTCCACAAATTTTGACTCTACTCGGTCACCAGTTGTTTCTAGCAAGCACCAAGGCTCGGCTTTCCCATTTCCTGCTCCGAAAAGATACAGGAAAATGTGTGTTCCTTTTGTTTGCTCCCCAGCAAAGTTGTGTTTTTTTAAATAAAAAAATAGATAAATAGATAGATAGATAGATAGAGGGAGGGAGGGAGAATGGTAGATAGGCTGTGTATATCTGTAGCAATGCATCCCCTCTTCAAGTCATGACGGGGTCCCAGCCAAGATGCCGCCTGGTGCTATTTTGAAACAGGGACTCTCTGCTTCTTTTCATTGCCAGCAAGGGTTTCTAAAAAACATTTCAGTCAAAAAACACAATATTACTCCAATATATACTGGCAGGCACTTGCATTTTCTCCACCTCCACGCCTTTCGCCCATGGCTTGATAGCTGCCATCAGGTGAAAAGAATGCAGTTTTTCCTCAGCCTTGAGTAGGATCTCATTCAACTGGGCACCTGGATGTGACTGGGATGCCCTGACAGTAACTATTTGAGATTTAGTCCGAGGACAAACACCATGTTTTCTTTTTCATCAATGTTATCCTTTTCATACACAACATTCTTTTGAACTGAAAATAGCCAAGGATTCAGTCCAGGGCTCAAGTTAACATCATGCTATGCCAAGGGTTGTGCCACTTCTTCCTTAAAAACTTGAGAAGTGGTGGGAGGATTTTCCACACACAGGTGCATAATCCTTCCTCTGTGGGTCTATGTCATCTGCCTCCCACCCACTGCCTCATTGCTACACATCATGGTCAGGACAATTGCCATTTCCCAACAAACCCCATACCCTGCTTAACAAAAACCTCAGCAATGAGGCTGGATCAGGTCAGGTCAGGTGAGTGAGAGATCCAATAAAAAGCAGAGAGTGAAAGCGACCTCTGGATCTGTAGGGCGAGGCATTTGCAAGTAAAGAGAACTGCTTCATAGGATACTTGTTTGCAAATCAAAGACTCCTGCAAACTTGTTACAGCTCTATTTTCTCTTAGTCAATCTCACGAGCTGCTTCCCGCAGCTAACTGCCACCAGGCCTCATCTCCCGAACAATAACTTGAAGCCAGTCAGTATGATCAGAGCTGCACTGTTCAGCTATGCTATTTGCCTTTACAGAGGTTTCCACAGTGCTATGTACCCTCCGCAAAGGGGATACAAAGGCAGAGCCCTTGCTTCCCTCGTAGTCAAAGACCCTCCAGGGACTGAGCAGCCATCAAGAGAGGCAAGGGGCTGCTACCTCAAGACGTAGTTAAAGAGAAGACTTCAAAGACTTCCTGTGTGACAGACGCAACTGTGGCCAAGGAGAAGGAATATTTATATGGGGAGACAGAGAAAACAAAGGATTTCCTCATCTTTTCTACACTGATGTCTATGCAAAGCGTTATACAATATGGTTGAAAGAGTTCCCTATGGAGAAATCAATAAACTGTATGTCAAAAAACCAAAATCACCTGTTTTTAAATACAGTGGTATCTCAGGTTAAGTACTTAATTCGTTCCAGAGGTCCATACTTAACCTGAAACTGTTCTTAACCTGAAGACCACTTTAGCTAATGGGGCCTCCTGCTGCCGCCGCGCCACCGGAGCACGATTTCTGTTCTCATTCTGAAGCAAAGTTCTTAACCTGAAGCACTATTTCTGGGTTAGCAGAGTCTGTAACCTGAAGCGTATGTAGCCCAAGGTACCACTGTATATATTTTATATAGAGACAGATCTACACACACCTCGTCTGATCCTTCTCTCGGTTTCATGAGATTAGCATTGAGTAGTCCTATGACCATGCCTTGCTCTGTCTTCCAGTGATCTTTGTGAACATCACCAAACAGAAACAATGAGACACAGCGGCTGAAGTTATGCAGGTCATTCAAGCGCCAGATGCTGAAGGTTCTACCCTGGATATGCAGAGTGGGAGCAAATAAAAAGAACAAAATAACTACAATCCTTTGAGTCAGCCTTAAAATAATTACCATCACCAGAGAATGTTACATACACAGCAAGATGTCTGCTGTAAAGGTGTTTAATAGCACAATCCTATGCATATTTACGCAGAAGTCCCACTGTGTTCAAGGGAGCTTGCTTCCTAGTAAGCATGCTTACGATGACCTGCTTGGGGAAGCAGCTACTTTGAATGCTTTAACCATAGCAGCCACTATGGTTTGTTTTCAGCCAAGCACTGCCTATACTCCATATACTGACTATGCGCTGCATGAGTAAGTACTTTCTTTTATCTGCCAACGTTCAGCTTCACCAGGAATGTGGAGAGGACAGCCCTACCTGTGATGGTGTTTACAGCACCAGTACTGAAATAGGGCAGAGGGCAACATTCCAGGTGCCCAAGAGGACTGTAGGCTTATTCATACATTAAACAAGAATTTTGAGATGGTAACCAATTTTTTACTTCAACAAAATGTCGTACTTGAGAGGACATAACATCATAAAACCATTTACGTTATTGGAGCTCTGAGGCGTGACTTTCTTTATGATGACTCCAAACGTTACCCAGTCTGTTTCCTCAAGGTTTAATGAAGCAAGCTTGTCTTGCAATTGAGAAAGTCTAATAAACTTTCGGCCTGTCATTTTTCTTTCCATCTCAACAGAGGATACACGGGGTTTTCTGCAATGAAAACAAGGAGGAAACTATTAGAATGACAAAGGGATAGGGAAACTTCCATCAAATCCCCTCTGTGGAACTCCACTAAATACCTGCACTCAGGGCAACAAGAGGGGCTTCATCACTAGTCTGTGTAAACATTTCCAGCCCAGGGAAAGGAGGAGTGTGGAGTTTCAAAAATACACAGAGAGCTCAGAATCGGGTATGGGATGCAAAAATCAGCTTCCTGAGCATCTGTACTTTCATTTTTTTTAAAAAAGACACAAAGGCATGTTTCTAGTTATTAAGACTAAAATATATATGCACGAAGACAATTCAGTCTCAGAACCTAACTTGTAAGCTTTTCAATGGCTGAAATCTGGTGCTTTGCACAGTCCTTTGCCATGATAAAAAGACATAAAAGGGAGGGTGGGAACGAGTTTCATTTGCTGTTGCTATTATGTAATCCTGTTTAAGTTTGAATTCAATAAAGCATTTTTTAAAAAAAATATTCAAAAGAAATGATGCACTTAATTTGCAGCTTTCATGCAGAAGTCAAAATCCATAAATCTGTGGTGCTGATTTTAAAAAATAATAATATTAGCAAGGTATCTAAACAGTTTTAGGCCACAAGTTATACTCAAGGAACAAACCCAACATTTCCCCCATAAGCTTGCTGACCTTAGCCTCAGTCCAGAGAAGGTTTCAAAGGAGACTTCTTGACTATTCACACCGGCATTCTTTGGCCCTTGGGATCTCTGACTGGTGCCCAAATCAGGTCTGTTCCCAGTCATAGACTTCAGAGGCTGAGGCGACAAACCTGAAACTGGTTTTGAAGCATGTCTTTTATTCTCTGTAAGAGGAACAGGGGAAAAACAGAAAAGTCATACCTTGTGAAAAGCACAGTTGAACTTTTTTCAGAAAAATAATCTTTGGCAAAAGCTGTGCATCATGTCACAGAGCCAAGACAGACAACTAATTCTGCATTAAAATGTTTTCACCTTCCCATCTGCTGCCAAAAGCTAGCCATTTTGAGCAACAGAGGACAAGCTAGAAGCAGTGGCGGACACAAGAAGTCTTGGTGGCTGTGTGCTACCAGGAACCTCCGAGTACCAGCTGCTGGGGCGCCCAAGAAGGGAGGGCTGCTGTGCTCATCTCCTCTGTGCAATTTCCCACAGGTACCCAGGTGGTGAGAACTGGATGCTGGACTAGTTGGGCCGAAGTCTGATCCAGCAGGGCTCTCCGGTGTAAACACCATCTCCCTCAGCATCAGTCCCTCTTCAGCAGACACGCCTGTAATTCGCACATGTACAGGCTTCCCATGCTCAACACATTTCAAACTCTGCAGGCAGAATTATATTCAGCCTGCCTGGTACATTCTTGCTGCAGAATTCACAAGGTAGTAAGCCCCTTTTCTTTAGGGGTGATCTGGGATTATGTGTGACCTTCTCCATTATAGCTCTATTCCAGAGTGAGTGGTACTAAGCACCCAGTGTAAGATTCAGGGTTGTTTTCCACTCAGTTGCAATTACTAGTCATGCTGCCAAGACATAAGATCAATTCTTTTGACAACATATCTACATTGGCAGCATCAAAAATATTCAGCAATATTAATTTCGGAAAACAAGCAAAGTAATATTTATCATTTTTGTGAAAATGAAATTCAAAACACCGTGCATCAACTGACTTGACCGAGAACAAATATTGACTACTATACCAGACAGTGAAGGTTTCATCTTCTGGCCCTGACCTGTGTTTGCGGCCAATGCAGGACAGATGAGCTGGGCTGAGAAACAAGGTGACTCGTGAAGCTTCCTTTGCTTTAAGGGGGCAGCAGGAGACTTACCTGGTTAAGAAATGAAAGAATATTTAAAAGACTTACAGTGCACTCTTCCACATATTTACAATACGTAATGGGGTTACTCCCTAATTAAGTGCATTTAAAGACTGCAGCCCTAATGGCTTCCTGGATAATAAATTATGAACTGACCCAGATGGTGAAACAGAGTGTGCAAACTCAAGTTAGGGTCAGGGGTGGGCAGCCGGTGGCCTTCCAGCAGTTTGTTGGACTCCAACTTCCATCACTCCACTCCCAGCCAGCATGATCAATGGTCAGGGATGATGGTAGCTGGTGCCCAGCAACATCTGAAAGACCTCATGATTGAGTTAGACACAGCCTTACGTTCCCCAGGCATCTGAGCTAGAGCAACAGAGAAGAAACAAGCCTCTTAAATAAAACATCCTGTATATTACTAGCAAACTCAGTTCTACTCCTTATGCAGCCAAAGCAGCAGTGGAGGGATTAGCATGCAATATTTGCTGGCGTACAAAAAGATTATGTTTACTCCCAAATGGAGATGGTACATTTTGAGAGACAAGAAGCATATGTTTCCATATTTTTCAATTGGGATTTCTGGGGCCATCAATGCACCAACCTTTAAGTTCATGGGTAATATGGAAGTCTGGTTATTATCTTGATAATCTCAGGAGTGCACCAGCAATGTAGTGAATTTAACAACTTGCTCAGGCTGGCTCTTATAAAAATCCACACAATCAAATAGAATGCTTTGATATTAAAGGCTCCAAAGAGATATCACTAAGGATTACCACAATAACCTAGCAATAAGCTTGAGTTTAGATGCTGAACAGCTACATAAAACAAATTATCCAGTTACCAGAACTTTTCTTGCTAGGGGCCATGTTAGCAGGCTGCCCTATTGCTGTCTTTTGCAGTTGCTCCTGGAGTGTCTTCATCTGCTCCCGCAATTTCCTCAGTTCATCTAAGTTGAAAACAATAAATGGACATTTAAAAAGTATATCTTATTTAAATACATGGTTAATTAAACAGCCATTTGTCATCAATAAAAATAACTTAGGTAAAAAGTAAAGTGCATAACCAAAAGTCAAATTTTCACTGTGTTCCCTGTAAAGTGCCCAGCTCTCACTCCCCAAGAGCCAGGCTTTGACAGGAGAGATCGCCTGTGATATAATAGACTCCATTTAACACCGCACCATACGGGATTTCTCTCTGATCCCAAACCATCATTTCTGCCGCCTTGAACAATGTGAAATGCTTAACACAGTGGTGTCCAAACTTTTTTTAAAGAGGGCCAGATTTGATGAAGCGAAGGGCCATGAGGGCCAATAAACTGCCACAGGGGACGGATTGGGCCCCCGAAAGGGACTTTGGAAATGCCTGGCTTAACAAGTGTCATCACAACCACTACTCTTTCCCTAGGTCTATCCTTCCTAATCTGTGCCATGACAGAACACAGGGATGTTTGAGTCTTGAGGCCCTTGATTATTTCCCTATCTTCCCACTTGCTTTCAAATTAAAAAGCTAGAAGGCACAGAAGGAAATCTTCCGAGAACAGAGGAGCCTAGAGCACAGCACAAAGGTCCTTCACGTGAGGGCGGACTCGGCTCATGGGCCGAGGGCGGATTATGCATTGAAAATCTTTTGTATTCATAGGTATGGTTAAGACAAAAGCCTCAAGTTGGCACGGTGAGCAACTTTAAACCATCCAAAATGAAATAATGATTTTTACCTTGCAGATGTTGATTGGTCTTCTCCTTTTCGGCTAGAGAATGAGATGTTTCCTGCACAGTTTTCTCCTCCTCTTCCTCAGACAGGTCACCCACATCTCCAAACAACTCAGACACATTTTCTTTGCCGCTACTGGACTCTTCCTCGTGAGCTTCCACTTCCTCGGTATAGGATTCATCATCTTCTGCATCAAACAGCTCATTATATTCATCCGGCTCTCCATCTGTAGCCACATTAACACCATTCTCCTCACACTCCAGCCCCACAGCTGCCTCATTCTCTTCTAACAGGGAGGCTAGCAGGTCCAAGTTATCATCACCTGGAAATAAAAAGGAGCAACTTACCAGGGCTCAGATGACACACAACCCCCAGCCCCAATACAATGCAAGTGTGCATCTAATGAGAGCCCCGATTAGAAAACAGACAGTGCTTAATCTAGTTCCAGTATTCAAGCCAGCTCAGAAATGATGTTCCGAAAACAAATGGGGATGCAGTTCAGCAGCAGAGCACATCAAATAATTCTGCACAGGAATCCACAAAGTTCAAGTTCTTCAAGCATCCCTCCACGTGCCACAGCACTGCCATTTATCTGGCTGAAAAGAACAGAATGGGACTGCCTCCAAATCAACTGGCAACAACCTTCTCTTCCTGGCTGGTTTGTTCTACCTTGCATATGGAGCAGTGACAACATTTTCAAGTCTGGAAGAAACTGAATGGCTTTAGAAGATTAGACAAATTCAAAACTCACCATCCATATTTTTTCCAGCAGAGACTTTACTGAAGAATTCACGTACCCTAGAGACACATAAGAACACCAATATAAACATGTAATGCCTAATAAATGAAGCTAATTTCTGTGGAGTGCCATAAAATTAAAAGGCTAGCAGAAGGTTAATGTATCACTAACATTCAAAGCGGCAGAGAAGCCATGTAGAACTAAGACCTGAGTGGAGAAGCTGAGTGGTATATATTCAATAACTGCTGGGGCTCATCAAGCCTTGCATGGTCCAAGATAACAACCCTTTTCAGCAGAATACACCCCAACAGTCCAATCCCCAGTGTTACTTATTCACAGAAAGTATAAATAAGTACTGTATTTTTCCGTGTATAACACTAGGTTTTTTCCTAAATAATAATGCCAAAAATTAGGGGTGTCTTATACAGGGATACATCTCCCTCCATTTTCTTGGAGTCCCCCAAAATAGGGGGCGTCTTATAGACGAAAAATACAGTCCTCTGCCTTCCCAGCTGGAGGCAGCAGTGCTTCTGAATTCCAGCTGCTGGAAACCTCAGGAGGGGAGAGATGCTCTTGTGCTCGGATCCTGCTCCTGGGTTTCCCATAACAGGCACCTGCTTGGCGGCTGCGACAGGGATCTTCCCCTTGCCTTTCATATTCCGGCGGATCGTAGAATCCTAGGTCCGGAAGGGGCTCCCAGGGTCATCTAGCCCAGCCCCCTGCGCCTGGCCCCCCAGCCTCGGGATCCGCGGCAAGCAGCATTCCTGCCCCTGACCCGGAGGCCGCGGGGCCCTCGCGCGCCAGACCCGGGGCGGGCGGGGGGGGGGGTAGTCCAGGCACCTGAATTTGCGACACTGCTTCGTCTTGCAGCCATTTGGGATCTGAAGGGGACCCCCCCCCGCCGCCCTCCCCCCCCCCCGGGCCCGCCTGCCGGCCAGCGAGGCGCCTCCAGGCCGAGGCGCCCCTGGCCTTCCCGCGCGCGGCCTCCGCCTCACCTGCCCCGCTCCGACCTCCTTCCTGGGCGCCGCGCTCCCGCCAGAATTCCCGCCGAGGCCCCGCCCCCTCGCCCGCGCGCGCGCATGCCCCGGAAGGGAGGCCGCGGAATCCGAGAGCTAGAAAGGGGCGGAACGGGAAGAGGCGCTCTTCAGGCTGCTAGAGAGAAAGCTTCCGGGCTCCTTCGGGAGCATTGCAAAATAATAGTAGGGTCATGATTTGCCAAACCAGGGCTCCGCATGGCGGAAGTGCCCACGAGAACAATGGAGAAGCTCAGGATTTTGACAGAGCATATGTATCCCACACGCAGCGAGGGAGAAGGGCTGAGCCTGCGCCGGAAAGACTGTCAGGACAGCCCTGCAATGGAGTCCACTGGGTATTTCTAGTCACAGGCAGAGCTTCTTTTCTGGCGCTCCTCAAGGGTACGCAATATCAGCATCTCTTTTCCCCCAAATGTTAAAAGTGTGGCACTCGCTGTAACAACTTGCTTCGAGAAACCTGCTCTGACTCTCCAGAGTCTCTTGCATCAATGTTCCTCCTAGCAAATGTAATGGAAAAACCCCCCATACAAACCAGGTTTTGCAACGTAATTTTATTTTTGATGGATTGCTGTTAATTATGAGAACTAATTGAGTATCTCTTCTTCAAGCATAAAATTGCCTCTTTTTCAAAGTTAGGTGAATTTAAAAAAACACATTTATTTTTATATTAAACTGGGTTTATCAACATACCAACATGACAATGTTTTTAGGACCAATTAATCTTAGTCTATAGTTTAAAAGAGCAATTTTATCATTAAGGTGCCTTTGGAGGGACTACAGGATTTCCCCTTCAAGTATTCAATTACTAAAATACACTGTATTATTAAACCCACAATTTAGTTTCCCCCGAATAGAATTAAGTGAAACGGCAAATGACGTCAGATGCACTTTTGCCTCCTTGATATTTCCTAACACAGTTCTCAATTCCATTCCAAAGCTACACAGGCAATTGCCTTTATCCTCTTGAAAAGTGCTGGGCATGTGCTGCCAAGGCGCCAGACCAAGAACAGCCACATTTGAGCATGTAGCAAGCATGAGTTTTATAAATGGGACCTTCATAGCCTCTGAACTCAAGAACCAAGTTCTCTAGACCCACCTTTCTTCCCAACTGTGAGAAGAAAAACCCATCACTTTCATCCACATTCTGTATGTATATACATACATATAAGCACAGATATGTATAGGCAGAGAACATTGACTCTCATGAAGCACCTGAGCTCATGCAGGCAGACAAACAGCTGCATAGGCTCAGTTGCACTTACAGATGCCCAGAAGACTGCTAAAATGGGCACACACACATGTTCACGCACATACATAAATGCACATCCTTTCGATTCTCAAACAATAAAACTACCCAAAGGAGTTTATATTCTACCTCTTATAAATATTTTAGTTCAAATAATCATTATGATGTTGGCATCCTCAGCTTTAGCCAGCTTAGAAAAAAAGAGGCTAACTGGCTTTTTAAAGGGGGAAACCATTTCCCCCACAAGACATAAAATGAAAACCTAAAAATTCCTGTTGAAATAAATAGAAAAAAGACTATTAAATTTCAAAAATCAGGCTCTTTGCTAAGGAGTGTGAATTGACATATTCTGTTTAAAAAGTGCATTTCTCATCTTTGAGAATTTTTGAGGCCAGTGCTTAGATGATACAGTCCATGACATGAATCTGAAGTGTGTCCATATCAGGAAGAATCATTCCACACTTCGGACAAGAATGTATTTGGACACTCCTTTGCTGCTGCTGCCAAACCCGATCTTCTGTTCCTGCAGAGACAAATTTCATTTTTGAGAATGAAAGGAAGAGATATAATATTAACAAACATCAAGATGGTCCGGTCCTCTTGTTGAAAAGTCAGTGTTGCTCATCTTTTTGCACTCGTGGGCACATAGGGAATTTTGAGAGAGCTGTGGGCACCAACCCCTCAGGTAACTTTTCTCCTCTCTCCCGCAAGTCACCTCCACAGAAAGAATGAGAGAACACACACACTCTGCTTTTTCCCACTGGGTCTCAGTAAAAGTCAGATCCAATAGAACTGAAATGGATCCTCTTGAACTTGCATGATTTTACATCATATCTTCCCTGCCAAAAAAACCAACCACAATAACAGTGACCTATGGCATGAGTCCTCATGATTCCCCCCCCCCCCCATGACAATAAAGCAACCAATAAATTGCAGAAGACATTTGTAGATAAATAAGCGGCCCAAGTGGGTTCACAGGCGGATTTCAAAGCCAATCCCCATGCCCATGGAGTTCTGGAGACAGTTCCTAAGAGAAAATGTGGGCCATCTAACAACTGCAGCTCCCTTAACAAACTACAGTTCCCAGGATCCTTGTGGGGGGGAGGGAGCCCATAACTGCTTAGAGTTGTATGCTACTTTAAATGCATAGTGCAGATGGGACTCAAATGCTGTACCATACAAAAGTCCTTGCATATGTATTTTGAAGCCACACAGCCCAAGAGTAGATTTATCTCTTAAACTGGGCTTCCCCCAGATGTTTTGAGACTACAATTCCCATCATCCCTGACCACTGGTCCTGCTAGCTAGGGATCATGGGAGTTGTAGGCCAAAAACATCTGGAGGGCCGAGGTTAAGGAAGCCTGTCTTAAACTGTTGTGTGAGACCTGGACTTATGGGAATCTCAACAGTTATGCGACACGAGGAACTATTTTTTGGATGTGTCTACTAATCCACATGGTAGTCCTCTGACCTCCTGCAAGGAGCATAGTCAATGAGCAATTACAGTCTATCCACAGCTGCTGGAATAGATAGGTTTGCAAAAAGTAAGTTCTGATGGCAAAAATCTGTGGGTGGCATTCAATTAAGTTTTACTCAGAGGTTATCCACTGAAGTTAATGAACCTAAATAATTAATAAAATAATAATAATAATAATAATAATAATAATAATAATAATATATTATTTATACCCCACCCATCTGGCTGGGTTTCCCCAGCCACTCTGGGTGGCTTCCAACAGAATATTAAAATACAATAGTCTATTAAACATTAAAAACTTCCCTAAACAAGGCTGCCTTCAGATGTCTTCTAAAAGTCTGGTAGTTTTTCCCCTCTTTGACATCTGATGGGAGGGCGTTCCACAGGGCGTGAGCCACTACCGAAAAGGCCCTCTGCCTGGTTCCCTGTAACTTGGCTTCTCGCAGTGAGGGAACCACCAGAACGCCCTCAGCACTGGACCTCAGTGTCCGGTTAGAACAATGGGGGTGGAGACGCTCCTTCAGGTATACTGGACCGAGGCTGTTTAGGGCTTTAAAGGTCAGCACCAATTGAATTGTGCTCAGAAACGTACTGGGAGCCAATGCAGATCTCTCAGAACCGGTGTTATGTGGTCCCGGCGGCCACTCCCAGTCACCAGTCTAGCTGCTGCATTCTGGATTAATTGGAGTTTCCGGGTCACCTTGAAAGGTAGCCCCACGTAGAGCGCATTGCAGTAGTCCAAGCAGGAGATAACCAGAGCATGCACCACTCTGGTGAGACAGTCTGCGGGCAGGTAGGGTCTTAGCCTGAGTACCAGATGGAGCTAATAAACAGCTGCCCTGGACACAGAATTGACCTGCGCCTCCATGGACAGCTGTGAGTCCAAAATGACTCCCAGGCTGCGCACCTGGTCCTTCAGGGGCACAGTTACCCCATTCAGGACCAGGGAGTCCTCCACACCTGCCCGCCTCCTCTCCCCCCAAAACAGTACTTCTGTCTTGTCAGGAATCAACCTCAATCTGTTAGCCGCCATCCATCCTCTAACCACCTCCAGGCACTCACACAGGACCTTCACCGCCTTCACTGGTTCCGATTTGAAAGAGAGGTAGAGCTGGGTATCATCCGCATACTGATGAACACCCAGCCCAAACCCCTTGATGATCTCTCCCAGCGGCTGCATGTAGATGTTGAAAAGCATGGGGGAGAGGACAGAACCCTGAGGCACCCCACAAGTGAGAGCCCAGGGGTCTGAACACTCATCCTCCACCACCACTTTCTGAACACGGCCCAGGAGAAAGGAGCGGAACCACTGTATAACAGTGCCCCCAGCTCCCAGCCCCTCTAGACGGTCTAGAAGGATGTTATGGTCGATGGTGTCAAAAGCCACTGAAAGATCCAGCAAAACTAGGAAACAGCTCTCACCTTTGTCCCTAGCCCACGGGAGATCATCGACCAGTGTGACCAAGACAGTTTCAGTCCCATGATGAGGCCTGAATCCCGACTGGAAGGGATCCAAATGGTCTGCTTCTTCCAGGCATGCCTGGAGTTGTTCAGCAACCACCCGCTCAATCACCTTGTCCAAGAATGGAAGATTTGACACTGGGCGATAGTTGGCCATATTGGCCGGGTCTAAAGATGTTTTTTTAAGAAGTGGTTTAATGACCGCCTCTTTCAGCGGGTCTGGGAAGGCTCCCTCACAGAGGGAAGCATTCACCACCCCGCAGATCCCATCGCCCAGCCCTTCCCGGCTCGCTTTTATAAGCCAGGATGGGCAAGGATCAAGGAGACAGGTGGTCAGTTTCACTCGTCCAAGCAGCCTGTCCACATCCTCGGAGGTAACAGATTGGAATTGATCCCATGTAACAAGACTAGACAGGACTCTAGCCCTCCCCCGCCCTGGTCCTGCTCCCACAGTGGAGTCTACCTTCTTCTGAATCTGAGCGACTTTATCTGCAAAAAACTTTGCAAAAGCATTGCAGGAGATCTTGGGTCCCTACCAGGCCCCGGTGACTCAGGTGGTTCCGACAGATTGCGAACCACCTGAAAAAAGTCTCCTGCTGCTGTTTTCTGCAGATGCAATACAGGCCCTCTTCGCCATCGCCATTGCCACTTGGTAGGCTCGACATTGAGCTCTAGCCCGTGTCCTGTCTGATTCAGAATGAGTTTTCCGCCACCGGCGCTCTAGCCGTCTCAACGATTGTTTCATCGCCCTCAGCTCTGGGGAAAACCACGGGGCTGTCCAGGCTCCATGCAATCGGAGAGGGCGCTTCGGAGCCAAACAGTCAATAGCCCTGGCTAACTCCGCATTCCAGCGGGCCACCAGGGAATCAGCTGAAAGGCCATCAACTTGGGATAAAACATCCCCTACCACTCTCTGGAAGCCAACTGGATCCATTAAGTGGCGGGGGCGGACCATCCAAATCGGTCCCACCTCCCTGCAGAGGGGAAGGGTCGCAGAGAAGTCCAGTTGCACCAGGAAGTGATCTGACCATGGCACTTCTTTCGTTTCGTTTTTACTTAGTGTCAGATCACCAACATCCATAAAGGTGAACACCAGGTCCAAGGCATGTCCGCGGCTATGGGTTGGGCCAGACTTATTCAGGGACAGCCCCATGGAGGCCATGCTTTCCACGAAGTCCTGAGCAGCCCCTTGTAAGGTTGTGTTGGCATGGATGTTATAATCCCCTAGGACAACCAAACTAGGTGTCTCCAGGAGAACATCTGCCATGACCTGAAGCAGCTTGGGCAGGGAATCCTTGGTGCAGCGGGGAGGTCAGTACACCAAAAGGAATCCTGTACTGCCCCTATGGCCCAACTTCCAGAACATGCACTCAGAGAACTGGGTCTTCCCAATAGGACACCTGGTGCAAACTAATGACTTCCTAAAAATCACTGCAACCCCCCCACCCACCCACACGGCCTGGGTTGCTGTGCGTAAGAGAAACCTGGTGGACAAGCAGCAGCAAGGACAGACCCATCTGCTTCATCCAACCAAGTCTCTGTCACACATGCCAGGTCAAGTCCTCCATTCACGATCAAGTCATGGATGGCAGTAGTCTTATGAATCCTTGACCTGGCATTGCACAGCAGCACCTTCAGGTCATGTGGGTATCCCTTGCTGATTCCAGTACCCGTCCGGTCAAGACCAGACCCAGAGGTAGGGATAGTCCTCAAATAACGACTAAACCTGCCTCCTCGGTAATGAAATGGTCTGGTCACAGTCCTTTATTTCAATGGGTCTACTACTTGGAGTAATCCCTGGAAAGGACCCTGATGTTGGGAAAGATTGAGGGCACAAGGGGATGACAGAGGACCGGATGGTTGGACAGTATTCTTGAAGCTACTAACGTAAGTTTGACCAAACTGTGGGAGGCAGTGGAAGACAGGAGTGCCTGGCGTGCTCTGGTCCATGGGGTCACGAAGAGTAGGACACGACTAAACAACAACAACTTGGAGTAAAAGTTATTTGGATGCCACCCTGAGTTGGTTGTGTGAACCAAGAGCTGTGGTGTGGCAAGTTTCTCAGTTTGCCCTTTTAATTTTACCTCCTTGAGAAAAGTGAGACTGGCCTTGATCTGATGGGAGTCTGTGCCGAGTTTGCATTTCTGCCAGCATATTTCTAGAGAGAGAGAGAGAGAGAGATTGCTAATGCCATACCCTCATTTTCTATGGCTCCCCCCCCCCCCCCAAATCAGCATGGCAGTGAAGAACTGAAAATGGAGAGAAAAGATGCAGCCCAATAAACTTATTTTTTAAAAAATAGTCTCACTGTTCTCTCCTCTCACAAAATATTGAAAACGTTACAGTAGCTAAACATTTCCTCTGATCCATTTCTCACCTTCCGAGATCTTCATGGTCTTGCTTCTCTGTCAGCAAGTACGCTAGCTGCGCAGCCAATTGCTCCTTTTCCTCGTGGATCTTCTCCCGTGCTGCTCGTTCAGCGTGGAAGTCAGAACAATAGAGCTCCATCTAATTAGGGAACAAACAGGAATAAAGATCACAACGTGCTTTAAAAAGAGATAAATGAGTCAATCTGAGTTAATATGCTGCCCTAATCCTGATCCAAATCAAGGGTGGCTGTACTAGCTAAAGGATCCTGCCTCACCGAGCTTCCTCAGCCATCATCCGCCATGAACCACCATTGGCAGCAACAGCTGCAGGTGTGTTCTATGCTTATGATAATATTTTATTCTCTTGCTAGTTGTGCTGTTTTAAGTGTGCATTTTATATTTGACTTCCTCTAGTAATGTTTTCTCTTGAAATCTTTTAAGATAATATTTTAGTTTCTTGTTAATTATGTAGCCTTGAATGTATACTTGTCTGTCTTCAGTATTGTTTTATTCTGGATTGTTTTATTTGATCCTTTAATGTAGGTTGTAAACTGGTTTGAGATTTTTTTTCTTAAAAAATAAAGCAGTATAGAAATGAAAATTAACAACAACAAAAAACTCGTTTCTTTACACAATCAAGACTTCAGAATTTGGATTACAATCATAGCAGAAAGACTGAATAATCTTAGCACTAATAAGTTGGATTTATTAAAAAGCAGAAAATTGCAATCAACATCAAATGCCTAATTAACTGCATAAAAATATTACAGTCAAACCAAGAATAAGCAGTTATTTTCCCCAACGTGTAAAAAGCTTTTGACCGTGTAAAATGGTATTTCTTATATAATACTCTTGAATCATTGCCTTGATATGTATAATATAGGATCACAGTTTAAGAACTGGATTACTTTAATGTACTACAAACCCTCAAACAACAGTCTATGTAAATGGCTCACTCTCCTCCCAATTTAATTTACAAAGTAATTTACGAAGTGATATACGCCAAGGGTGTCCATCCTTATGTACTGAATTATTTCATTAAGTGGCACACACACATATGAGTTTATATTAGCATTTATTTATTTATTTAAGCTTATCTATATATCTAAAGTTTCTAAGATCAATTCTTGTTTGCCTGTTATAATAAATAAAACTTTTTAAAGGGGAAAAACTAACTAAATAATAATAAATAATAATTTTATCATTTATACCCTGCCCATCTGGCTAGGTTTCCCCAGTCACTCTGGGCAGCTTACAAAATAAACGGATTATCTTCAATGTTAGTCATACTTAAGAGCAGACCCACTCAACTCAATGGGCTCAAGTATTTTAAGTCAATTGATTTCATTCTCTCTGCTTCAAAGTGGAGCAGGATTTCACCCAACCACCACATGACAGGTGTCCTTACCATACCTGAGCTCGGAGGATAGCCATGGTTTCCAGTTCTTCCTCCTGCCTGGCAATGGTCTGCTTCATTTCATCTATCTGGAACTGTTTGGCAGCTAGGGCTTCCTCTGCCATATCCAGTCTGTGAATGAGTTCCTCAGCTGTAGCCTTATTGAGCCTTTCAGCCTGCAGCAGGTTTAATCAGGGCGGGGAACACAGTGCAATCAGAAACATCTTATGGCTTCTGGTGGCCTGGCAGTCTAAACCCGCGAATGAGCTGCATCGCAGTGCAAGCAGCTGCTCCCAATGCAAAAATCAGGAGGGGAAAACACTGTGGTCACAGCTTGGTTATGTGGGGCTCTGCATCCAGTTCTACTTCCCCTGATGGGAAAACAGTGTACTAAAGAATGGCTCCACCACTGTTGCAGGTGAAGGAGACCATGATCTCTCCTTAGGATGCCATCATCCTAAGTGCCGTCATCCCTCCCCATTTTCTTCTCCCATACCAATAAATGCTCTAAAGCATAAATGCACATGTCATAACCTACCTCTCCCACAGTTATCTTTTATCAATTGCACTTCTTCTTTAGTCTTCTTTATTTTTTCTCTTCTACACTACTTAAATCAGGGAAGTCTTTATTAACACTGGGTTAAACCTCAGTAATGTTGCTATTTTTATTCATTTTTGCTGTTGCATTTTATTATTAAGAATGCAAATGGAAGAAAGCAGCTTGTGCAACACAGCTGGAACCATGCAGAGCAACTGGGAGATGTGGGCACCTCCTGTATGTTCTGACCCTATTGAACCCGAAGGAACTTTCACAAAGGGGGTGGAAATGCTGTTCATTCCACTTCCTTACATAGCACTGAGACTATTCTTTAGAGCAAGGCTTACCTCTTTGTCTTTTAGTTCTTCAACTGTCTGCTTTGCTTTGGTCAATTCAGGTACAAGCTTGCTATAAGCATCCTGCAATGTGTTAAATTTCTGTCTGTTGGAAGACAAGTAAGACAGATATGAAAATAAGCAATTTAGGAAGAAAGGCTTATTTGATGACTTTCTGCTTTGTTCACTTGTGTCTTTCAATGATTTCACAGTTCCTTAATAAAACAGAGATAATTTCTCGGTGTATTAAATTTCAACAACAAAATACATATAGACTGTGTGGCAGCCTTAGGACCCTTTCACATACTGCACTTCAACAAACTGGGGCTTGCCACAGAATGTACACCAGGACAGGGATCTACAGCAAATCCTCTGACAAGTGTATCATTTTATCATATTCACATTTTCTCTACATATATTGGGGGAGAGGGGAGAGACTGAATGTATACTTGTAAAATGCAATGCAAGAAGAGGCCTGTACCTTTTCTTCAAACAATGAATAACCAAGGTAGGGCAATTTCAGTTGGAAACCTAATCAGCACCACAGGTTTCCCTAAAGAGAAGGATTTTTTTGTTTTTGTCAGATTCTTCTTTGCAAGCTCAGTTTAGCTGATCAGCAGTGACAAACATGGAGGTGGAAATAGAAGGCGTGCATCGCAGCCACATTTTGAGCCTCACTTTCTCACCACCTGCTCCTGAGCCCATACTCACTGCTCTTCGTTTGCTCTGGCTTCCTCCAGCTTGATTTCTGACTGCATGCTCTCCACTTGAAGCTCCAGCTTCTTAATGGCGTACAGCAGCTGCTGCTTCTCATCCAGGTCTCCAGCACTTTCACCATGTTGCTGTCTCTCAAAAGCCTGGCACCTGGGAAGGAGATCGTGGGGAACTTCACCAAGGAGTGAATGGAGGGAGAGAAATGCTCTGCCAGAAACTGGCTGCACCCCTTGAGGGATGCTCTGCCTCAAGAAAATATAAAGGCCTGTTCTGATATGTAATTCAACAGCACTCTTACTTCTCTTGCAGCTTCTTCTGAATTATCTCAGCATCTTTTAATTTAGCATGTGTCTCCTGAAGTTCTTTGAACAGGGCAGACACTTGTAGGTTTAGAGTCTCTACTTCATCACCCACCTGCAAGAAACAGGCAAATCCACCTAAAAACACAGGTTGAGTCCATACACTTACTGCAGACTGAATTAACAATACAGCCCTGCTATTATGCTTCTAGTTTTTTGCATAATTAGTCAGAAAAGCATGTCACTAGTAGCAGATTTGAGTCTAAATATTCTGAATATACACGTAAGAAAGAGCCTCTTGTCTGCAGCAGAGGCAGGACAGGCACAATAGCCATTTCCATAATGGGGCAAGCAGCTTCTGCAAAACCAATTTGCATTCCCAACTGTTTTACCAAGCAAACAATTGCTTGAGGGAATATGAATCTCTTTGAGGAGGCCACACAGACCCTGAGCTGCAAGGCATCCACGCCAACGCCCCTGACCTCCCTCATTTGGTGTCTGCATGGAAAAGGCCAAACATTGGTGAAATATAGGTGGTGTCACCTCCAGTTCAATGAGGCCGTGGAACTCTGCCTGTCAAGTTTCCCAGAGGCAAGTTTACAGCATCACCCAGAATGTGTGAGATATTCTGAGACCCAATGGTCCAGATCAGCATTTGCATTAGTGGGCAGCTGCGTGCAAATGAAGGCGTGAGAAACTTTCGAAAGTTCACTCTGCCCATTGGGTGACGAGCATTCTAGAGCCCATCCGTAGGAAGGACAAGTCTACCCAAAAGCTACCAAGAAGCATGTCTGGCATGGTGCATTAATAAATGAGCCACACTTACGCTTTCTGCTCTCTCTTTTACTTCCTCCTCTTCATGTTCCATCTGAGTGCCTTTCTCTGCAGTTTTATTTTCTAACAGAAGTCTGTGAAACACAAGAATCCAATCCCAATTTAAACATATTAGTATGTAAGTCATATTGCTATAGATTTGATGGGAAAGGTCATGAGAACAGGCAACAGTCAATGATATTTCCCAGAAGCCCTTCTCCACTCCTAAAGCAAGTGGGATTCATTGTGGAATCTGTTCACTGTCAACACAAGAATACAAGATTGCTGCATTTGGGGGAATGTGTAGGTAGCACAGGTCAAAACCACTCCAGCTACAGGGCATTCTCTCTTGCAGAGTAGAACAAACAGTTGCCAGTGAACTAAGAACAATACAGTGGTACCTCTGGATGCGAATGGGATCTGTTCCGGAGCCCTGTTCGCATCCTGAAGCATCATTTTGAGGGTCTGCGCATGCGCGAGTGGTGGAACCCGGAAGTAACGGGCTCTGTTACTTCCGGGTTGCCGCGGAGCGTAACCTGAAAACACTCAACCTGAAGCACATTTAACCTGAGGTATGACTGTAATTGTTTTTTCATGCTACTAAAACATTTAAAAGGTTTTATATATATAAAGATTGTAAGTAGTATAATGGGGGACGCGGGTGGCGCTGTGGTCCAAACCACTGAGCCTCTTGGGCTTGCTGATCAGAAGGTTGGCGGTTCAAATCCCTGCGACAGGGTGAGCTCCCGTCGCTCAGTCCCTGCTCCAGCCAACCTAGTTGTTCAAAAGCACAAAGTGCAAGTAGATAAATAGGTACCGCTCTGGCGGGAAGGTAAACGGCATTTCCGTGTGCTGCTCTGGTTTCGCCAGAAGCGGCTTAGTCATGCTGGCCACATGACCCGGAAAAACTGTCTGCGGACAAACGTTGGCTCCCTTGGCCAGTAAAGCGAGATGAGCGCCGCAACCCCAGAGCCGTTCGCGACTGGACTTAACTGTCAGGGGTCCTTTACCTTTACCTTTTAAAGTAGTATAATGGTTAGAGTTTTGGAGTAGGACCTGGGAGACCAGGGTTCAAATCCCCACTCAGCCTTCATGAAACTCACTGGGTGACCTTGGGCCAGCCACTGCGTCTCAGCCTAACCTCCACAGGGTTGTTGTGGAGATTAAATGAGATGGGGGAGAACCATGTACACCCCACCTTGAGCTCCTTGGAGAAAAAGGCAGGATATAAATGCCATAAATATAAATATTAAAATCTCTAACACTTTAGATGCAACTTAGGTTATTAGGGGCTTACAAAAAAGCATTAATTGCCTTACAGTGTAGCTGAACAGATGACAGGGTCAACATGTGTGAAATGCTTAGGGGAAACACTCAGAAATACGATTTTAAGTTCAGGACTTAACAGCCTTGTTTGAGATCATATCTATACATCAAAACACTGAAAATGGATTGTATTCAACGTTAACAGTGCTTAGACCCATTGAAAATAATGGACATGACCACCTGAGATCCATTAACTTCAATAGGTCTCCTCTGAGTATGACTAATGTTGGATTCAACCCAATAATTATAAACTATAGATGGTTGCCACCTTTCCTTCTGCTCCTGGAGCTCCTTTTCCAAGGCTTCTCTCTTCTGGGTCTCGCTCCTGAGGGAATGAAGAAGCTGGCTGACAGTCAACTCTTCGGTTTCCAACTTTTTTTTTGCTTCATCCAGAGATCTGCTCCTGTTTTGACAAAATAGAAGAGAGCAGAGAAGAGCAGTAGATGGAGTGCTGCACTTCACTCTTCTTCTTTTAAACCCCTTTCTCTAACAGAAGACTAGGAAGGGTAGCACAAATCAAAATCTACCATTAGGAGCAGCCCAGGAATTCTACTTACACATAGGCAGCTGCATCCCTCGTTGTTTTGCCACGAAGGTCTTGAATTTCTTTCACACCTACGTTTAATTCTCCTTCCTGTGGAAAATTGGAAGGGGAGAACATGACAACTCTGAATCTGACATGTTGCAGTCATGTGATGCATTGCATTAATCTCCCTCTAACATCATCTAAGAAAATACACACGGAAGACACTAGGTCAATAATAATATGAACCAACAAAGCCCAATCTACAACTCAGTTAAGCCAGAGTGCTGAGATTTCTAGACAGCGGTGCTGTCAGGGTAGGACTTTTGATTAAAAGCTCAGGGCCCCTGTCAGCTGATGAGCGGGATTCTCCCCCCTCCAACATCAGTGGGCTGACTTCCCACATTTTGAAATAATGAACATTACTACCAAAAGTCGGGGGGGGGGGGCACACCATAAGACTATGAAGCCCAGAGACTGCACAACTGCTTCCAGACCAACCGACAGCACCTGCCATGCATTTTTTTCTCTGGGAGAAGGGACAGCTCTCGCTTACGTGCATCCTGATCTCCACAAATGAGTCATCAGTTCCAATGTTGAGTTTAAGCTGCAGCTCTGAAATGATGGCAACCAGATCGGCCTTCTCAGCCTGCAGCTTCACCACTTGCATCCTCAGCTGCTCTAGCTCCTGGGCCATCTCCTTTTTGGAAACCGTGCATCCCTAGGAGAAGCAGTTTAGACGGAGAGGGTTAGAGAAGCCAGGAGATACAGAAGGAGAGTGTGAAGCACGTGCCACATATTAACTAGGCCCTTTTAAAATGTGGTTCTTTGGGGGGGGTTGTTATTGGGTTGTTGTTTTTCTTTTGATTATATATATTGTTGTTTTTCTTTTCATTATATATATATTGTGGTTTTATATTTTGATTTTGTTCTGTGAGCTGCCCTGAGACCACCGGGTATAGGGCACTATATAAATGCAATAAATAATAATAACAAGAATAACTGGACATTGAGTTCATATAAGCCCAAGCTCTCTGCCCCTGCCGCCTTATTTATTTGTATTAAAATTTCTATTCCAGCCATCTAGTGCCTATGTGTTTATCTTCCCCTTTTATAATATTGCAGATTGTAAATCTTATTGTTTTATTCCTTTGATCTGTTTTAAACTTTTGGCATATACAGTTGTACCTTGGTTCTCAAATGCCTTGGTGCTCGTACGTTTTGGCTCCTGAACACTGAAAACCCAGAAGTAAGTGTTCCAGTTTACGACTTTTTTTTCAGAAGCTGAACGTCCGACGCAGCTTCCAGTTGAGTGCAGGAAGCTCCTGCAGCCAATTGGAAGCTGCGCCTTGGCTTCTGAATGTTTCAGAAGTCAAACAGACTTCCAGAACGGATTACGTTCAAGAACCAAGGTACAACTATGTGTGTGTGTGTGTGTGTGTGTGTATATGTGTGTGTGTGTCTACACACACACACACACACACACACACCAAAACTGCAAGTCATTTCGAAGCATTTTATGTAGTTAGTGACAAATCAATGTAATAAAGAATATGAACTGCACTTACGACTGCAGCCTTGGACAGTTAGCTATTCACAGTCTCTGCTGTTGTTGTTGTTTGTCCGGCAATAAAAAAAAGTTTCTCTAGCTGTGCCAGTTTTTATAGCTGTGCCCCATGCATGCACACACGCTCATAGTTTTATTTACCTTTATGGACCCTTCCTCTCTCTCTTCCAGAGTCTGGAGTTGCTCTTTCAGGGCTTCATTCTCTACACATTTGGTTGCCAAGCACTGCCTGGCTTCCTTGAATTTAGTTTCATAGAACTCCCGCTCTTCTTTCAGCTTCTCTCTCCATGTGGAAAGCTCCTCAAAGCGATCCTTCATAGCTTGATTACGCTGCCTCATGGCTTCTGTTGGGACATGCCAAAATAGTGCATTAGCATGTATCAATATACTCCAGCTACTCTCCCTCCCCAAACCGGAACTTGGATATAGGCAAAATTCACTGAAGAGGGCAGGGCTCGCCCGAGACACTTTGCCACCTGAGGCAAAACACAAACGGGCTCCCCCTCTCCCCACCAGGGAAGCGGGAGAGGGTGAAGATCTAGATCAGGAACAAGTGGGGAATGAAGCTCTACATCGGGATCTGCTGCCCCTGTGGATCCTGCCACCTGATGTGGTTGCCTCACCACACCTAATGGGTGGGCCGGCCCTGGAAAGTTTCATGGATGAAACTGCACTTTTTGCAGTGCTGCCTGGCCCACTAGGGCGAAAGGGGCACTGCTCTGCCAACCTCAGACTGCCTTTGGCCAGCCCCATCTGCCTGCTTTCTTACTTACAACCTATCCAGGGGGTGGCACTGCCTGTCAGCTCCTACCTTGAGTCTCAGTGATGGCTTTGTAGAACTCAGCAGGTGGGGAGGACAACTGGAATTGGGAAAGAGAGTGCCTCTGAGCACTCACACAGTGCTATGCTAGTGAGTAACTACAGCTGACGGTCTTAGCATCAAGAACTAAGGGAACACAGACTTATAAGCTAAGACCCCTAGATCCTTTTCACATGTACAACTAGCAAGTCAAGTGTCCCCCATCTTCCTGCCTAAGTGTAGAACCTTACACCTGACCCTACTGAAATACATATTGTTAGTTTTGGCCCAGTTCTGCAACCCCGATTCTGTCTTCTGCAGCACTGGCTACCCCTCCCAGTTTGGTGTCATCTGCAAATTTGATGAGCACCCCCTCAATACCACCATCCAAGTCATTTATAAAGATGGGCTGTTTGTGAGGTGGGAAGAAAGCACGTTGTTCAGGCCACCTTAAGTCCCAGATATATTAACATTCATACCATGCACCTCTCCAGTTATGCCACCACAGAAGCAGGCAGTCTCCACTGACTAGACCCAGATCTGCTTAGCTTCACCGAAGTAGCTGCCTCACGTACCTCCTGCCCCAAGCTGAGCACTCAGCACTCAGTCAGAGGGCAATTGGCTCAAGCAAGCCGAGCATTCAAGGCCAAACAAGTTTACCTCAAGGCCATCTCTGTGAAGCCATGTGGAAGTGCATGCAATGTCAATTGTTCACCTTTAAGCTCATTGTTCTCGGTAATGAGCTCTTTCATCTGCTGGACCATCTCCTCAACCGTGGATGTGCCAAGGGGGGCAGGCGGCACACTGGGATGCCCATTTTCCACCTCAGTCTTGCTACACCGCCCATTACCAGCGAGACAATTTAATGGCTTCTTGGACATTGCTACAGTTACTTTGCAGAGAAAGAAAAAATAGATAATTGTAATAATACACCTTCCATTGGGCTGTGGTTTATATACACGAGGAGTTATTTGGGCTATGAGATTTTGATGAATGAAAACATTGTACTAATTAGTACACATAGTTCTCCTCAGCCCTTCTGTAGACATTGGTCAGAACGAGGTTCAGAAGTTTCTGGGCAGGTGTGCCAGGGGAGGGGGGCAGAGCAGGATCACACCCCACCAAGGCAGGTACTGGAGATTGGTGAGAAAGGGCTGCATACTGGGTGCTTTTTTGACTGCAGTTGGGAGCCCTGCTGGGCCCAGGCTTTGCAACTGCAGGGAAGAGTTCTCATTAACGTTGTACACCCAGCCACGGGAGAGGCACAGCCGGCAAGGGAGTGTGCCTCCGGGGGTGACGCTAACCACCGCTAGCAGCACCAAAGTGGGGGCAAGCCGGGCGACAAGACCCCCCGCGGGGCTGCAGGAGGGGCCAAGGGAGGCGCGCCAGCCCCGTCGGGCTCTGCCGGGCGTTTCCTCCGGAGCCTTTTCTTCTCCGGAGGCTCTCCCGCATCGGCGCCCCCCGCCCGCCCGCCCGCCCGACCCCCCATGCCCTCCCGGCCCGCGCCCCGTCCCCCCGCCCTGAGCCGGGGGCTCCCGCGCGCCTCTCCCCGCCCGCGCCGCGACGGGCTCTGCCCCGGGGCCCCCTCACCAGGCCGCGGCCCCGCAGCTCCTCTGGCCCGAGCTCCGCAGCTGGCGGCCCGCCTCCTCCTCCTCCTCGGGCGGCGACGCGGAAGAGGCGGCGGGAGGCCGGCCTTGGCCCTCGGGCCGGTCAGCTGACGGAAGCGGCGGCTCCTCGCTCCGGCGCCGGTCGGGCCTTTCTCCTCCGCGCCCCGAGGGCGGCTCCGTTTCCAGGCCCCGCGCCGGGGCTCCGGGCCGCGATCTTCCTTCGCCCGGAACTGGCCGCCTTTTGCCTGCCAAGCGCGGCCCCTCGGCGCCCCTCTCCGGGAGTCGGGCTGTTTAAAGCCCGTTTCGTTCTCCCAAAGAATCCGGGGAAGGCTTTTTAAAAATGTTTAATGCTTTATTATGTGTTTCTACATGTTGGCATCCGCCCAGAGTGGCTGGAGCAGCCAAGTCCGAGGGAGGAGGATTCTGGCCTCCGGGGGAGCAGCGCTGCACCTTGAGGGCCTTGGAAGGAAGGCGGGCTACAAATGCGTATAATAAACGGGCAGAGGGGCTCTCTCATTTGAGCACTCTGCAAAGCAATATGCACCCTTCCCCTTCTGGTACCCTTCAGCCAAGACAGCCTCTGATGATGCCCAGAGCAGGGGGGAGATGAGACAAAGTTGTTGTTCAGTCCTGCCAGACTCTTCATGACCCCAACTAAGCCTATTTGGTCTCTCTTGTTAGGGGTCCTGCCTTCCTTCAAGCCTTTGCAATGCAAAACTCTCTGTTTTCCTCTTGAGGTTATGCAGCCATTTCTCTGGTGGCTTCTGCAATTTCAGCAGGCATGGCTCCATTGTCAAGCCTACATTTTAAACAGTAAAAACATGCTGTTAAAAAAGAAATCAGAAACTAATTTTGTGGCAAGTGCTTCATCCAACCTCATGCCACATGCAGCCCCAGCTGGAAGGGACGTTTAGCCTTATACTTGGGCAGACTTAGCTCTGCATCTGTGTTGGCCTCCACCAGCCGTGTTTTGGACCACAACGCCCATCCGTCTCGGCCACTAGTCCATAAGACTGGAGGGCAGCAGGTTGGTGAAGGCAGAGCTGTGTGATTATTAGCTCTGTTCTTCTATTAAAATGGAACAATCTGTTAGGAATCGTATAACATGGAGGATGTTTCCTTGCTGCAAACTGAATGTCATCCAGCTTACACAGTTCCTTCCAGCTCTGCAGTGCTATGATTCTTTGTTTGAGACAGGGAGCTGTCACACACTTTTTGGGAGTCTTTACTTAAGGCCATTATTTATCTCAGCTGCAGTCTTCCTTTGCTACTTCTAGTTTTTGGTCCAGTGCCATGACCTCTAATCGTCAACATCAGTGCTGCAGTAAATTGCAAATTAGTTTTAACAATTTCTGAGAAATGCATTGCTTTTCTAGCAGCCTATATAAAGGGCAGATAGGGAACTGCAGAGAAACGGGCACAGTTAAATATCTTTGCCTTCTTGTCAAGATAAGAGTATGCTATGCATTCAGACTGTCTGAGCTTTTCTCCCAAGCAGCAGGGAACTTAAAGCACCATGAAGAGCTGACCCTTCCAAATTTAAGTATAATTTTGAAAGTTGGGTGCTTTTCCCAGCAGTATCACAGAATGAATGTCACCACATCATATGGAGTGGTGGCATAATTAATGCATTTTTAAAAATCATTGTCAACTGCTGTTCAGCTAGTGGAATGAGCTAGGACCTATTATTTGGTTTTTAAAGGACAAGTCTAAATGTTAGGAATTTTTTTAAAAAAGATATATCTGTTCATTGACCATGGGGAAGGACCATAGCTCAGAATCCCAAGACTGGCATAAGTACAAAAACACTTTAGGGGGGAGAATCTGGGAGTGGGGACAGGACTCAACAACAGCTTGGTGATGACTGAGCATGCTCAGTGCTAATGGAATGCTGAATGAATGTTGGGGATGGCAATAAGCCACAAGGAAGAGGAAAAAGACTGGAGAAAGGTATGGTTCTTGGGCCAGAATCTTGAATAGGGTCACTTCCAAACTAGCCTGTTTATTGAGGATTCATCCTGATATATTTACACAAAGTTTGTGGGAAGGTTCAAAAATGTTGGCTGTTTATTGAGCATTCCTTCCTAATAATTTGTTATTCTACTTTAAACTGCAATCTCAATTTGCCAAGATGTAATTGAATCCCACCTGCCAAATAACACCAGTCTGGAAATGCCTGATGAGCACTTCAGCTGCAGCATTTTCCTGCAGGGCACTGTGCTTTCCCATTTATTTTTGCCTAGAAGAATAGACACTGTACTCTGCTTACATCACTGCAGGAGAGGCTCTTGTAAAATAAAGGAATACAGCAGTTGCTGTTGATTGTATGTACATTAGCCAGTGATCCTTATTGAGCTGATAACTACACAAATTTTAACTTCTTTTTTTAAAAAAGAAATCATCAGCAGAGTGTTGGAGGCTATGTCTCAACATTCAGGCAGTACATGAAGGCTGCCAATGAGCATCCAGTCTGTTTGCAAATGACCCATTTCATTTGTCTTCAAGTGGTAAGGCAAATTAGTATTCTGTGAAAATAAGGAAAACGGAGGGAGGGCCAATTAGCTTGTGTGCAGAAGGTAGTAGACTCCATCCCAGGAATAGCATCATATGCAAAATATTTCAATTATCATGACAATTAAAGAACTTCAAGTCATGTTTGCATGTCTCCAGCAGATGGCACTGATAATCTAGCTAGATCAAGCAGGCAGGTTGGATTACACAGGTTGGAATACAGTCATACCTCAGGATAAATACACTTCAGGTTGAGCGCTTTCGGGTTGTACTCCGCGGCAACCCAGAAGTAATGGAGCACGTTACTTCCAGGTTTCGCTGCTTGCCCATGCGCAGACGCTCAAAATGACATCACGCGCATGTGCGGGAGCGGCGAAACGAGGCACATGCGGACGCGCTGTTGTGTCTTACGTTCTGTTCGGGATGCGAACGGGGCTCTGGAACGGATCCCGTTCACATCCTGTGGTACCACTGTATTGAATGTACAGTGGTACCTTGGTTTACGAACTTAATCCATTCCGGAAGTCCGTTCTTAAACCAAAGTGTTCTTAAACCAAGGTGTCCTTTCCCATAGCAGTGGGGGAGTCAATTTACAAATGGAACACACTCAACAGGAAGCAAAACTTTCTTATTCCAAGGCAAAATTCACAAACCAAATCACCTACTTCTGGGTTTGCAGTGTTCTTAATCCAAGTTGTTCATAAACTAAGCTGTTCTTAAACCAAGGTACCACTGTATCAAGATGACTTGTTCAAGGCTGTTCAAAACGTTTGGAGGGCACCAGACTGGCAAAGGCTGCATTAGACAATATAGATCAGCTGGAGCAGTTGCCATCATTAAGTTAATATACTTTATGTGTGTTGGTCCCAGCAGAATTTCCCAGCCAAATCTACAGTTTGCTCTATTAGATACAGTATGTAATGCCCTTCCAGGTTCTCCCTAATGGGGCAAATTCAATGGGAAAACTGTTCTCTAGATCTCATCTGAATTGCCCACTTCCATGGCTGCTATTTCTGAACATTCAAAGAAATGATCTTAGCACAGATCTCAGTTTTCTGTTAAGGCCCTTGGATGTGTGAAAATTCTCTAAATTGAACAGTCCAAGCTAAGGAACAAACAACCCATATAGTGAGAGGTATGTGACAGGCTAGACTGTAATCTAAACAGCAGCAACAACTTTAAAACCGAAGCTTATGAGGAACTGTTGAGAGAATTTGATATGTTTAGCCTGGCAAACAGGAAACAGAGGAGATATGATAGCCATCATCAAATATCTCAAGCGCTGTCACGTGGAGGATGGAGCAAGCTAGTTTTCTCCTGCTCTGGAAGGTAGGATTTGAACCAATGGCTTCAAGTTGCAGGAAGGGAGATTCCGACTAGACATATGAAAAAAACTTTCTGACAGACCTGTTCCTCAGTGGAACAGTCTCCCTCGGGAGGTGGTGGACTCTCCTTCCTTGGAGGTGTTTAAGCAGAGATTGGATGGCGATCTGTCATGGATGATCTAGATGAGATTCCTAAATTGCAGGGGGTTGGACTAGATGACCCTTGGGGTTCCCTCCATCTCTACAGCTTTACAATTCTCCAATTCTAAAACATCTAATTGGTGAGACTCTGGCTTTGATCAGAGCAGTGGTGCTGAAGGAGAGGGCATTCTGCATTCTTTCCCACTTTCTAAGGTTACTTCCACCCTAAGCTGCTTTTATTAAGCCTGTTGGGCAGGAAATACATGTATGATATGTACCCTAATGGAGCTAATAGCCAGAGAGAGAGAGAAGGGGTCAGTTTAAATTAAGGGGGAAAAGATTCAATCTTCCCCCCCACAGCACAGCAGCTCCAATTAAAATCATCCCCCCTCCTCACTGACCCAGTGGTGCTTTAAAGTAAATCAAAACAACAACACAATGGGCATCTGATCACAGTTCTGTGTTGCGTGTTGTTTGACCCTCTCAGATACACGTTTAAGAATAAATAAATACAGGAGAAATGGTTTGATGTTTGAAAGCAGGACTCAGTAAAACTAACATCAAAGAAGCCACGCAGGTTAAGCGAAGAAGACGAGAGAGCAAAGGCCGCTTTAGAGTCGCAGAGCTGCTTTGTCAGTTGGCCTGAGCCGTGATGCTGATGCTCCTTTCTAGCTGCCCATTCCTGATGACAGCATGACGTGACCTAGTCAAACTCACTCCTCCTCCTGCAGATCAGAGGCAACACTTTTCACAACATCACTTTATGGTCCCTTATTCCTTTGATGCTTTCTCGAGTTTAGCTGGCAGATTCAGTTAAATGTAGTTTGCAGTTGTCTCCTTGTTTTGCCTCTTCCTATGCTTGGCCATTGAGAGCAGGCAATAAGTACTAAGGAGCAGCTGGCTGTTTGAAGCATCAGGAACTTGAGTTGCCCCCAAGTGCCAGGGCTGGGGCTAGTTCTACCAGCAGAGTGTAGGCATGCGGGGGAGGGGGACAGAAACAGTTTGGAATCTGGGTGGGATATGCATTGGGGGAGGACTTTAGGGTACTGATGTTCCTTTGGGGTGATCAGTGCTTTTTTTCTGCTCTCATTTCCATGCCTATTCCACAGTGTATCCCACAGTTGTAATTGATGGCATTGTAAGTAAGACTGCTATACCTTGCCAGGCACAGGATGCCTCTTTAGTGACCTGAAATATCCTATGTGCTGCTGCAGGTGAAACAGATTT